ATTCTATTCTATTCTATTCTATTCTATTCTATTCTATTCTATTCTAATATCCACTTGAATCAGGTGATATAATTCAAGGGACTGCACCAGTATTTGAGGCAGCTACAGGCTGGATGAAGCTGATGAAGGTGAAAATGAGTCTTGATCAGAATGCTGAAATTTTGCAGCTCTATGTCTCTCAGTATTCCTTATCTTCATTGTTAACTTTAAATGTATTTGTAAAATTCCAAAGAGCCAATTTGTAACTATAATTTTTACAGATGTATAATAGTAATGAAAGCAAAGCAACTTTATGCCATTTTAACGTAGATATCTGACTGTCTCTGTATAATGACTCTACAAGGTGAAGTAGTAGCATTAATGTCTTTTGCTTTTGTCATAATTTTATCTCCCCATCTCAATTCCAACCATTGGCAGGTGAAAGTCCTTCCCAAATTTGAACCCTATTGATTCTACATCAATGGTCCCCAAACCTTCTGGCTCTATGGACCAGCAGCAGCAGCAGTAGGGGGAGGGGGGACAGGGGATGAGTTTGCTTGCTGCCCTTTGCTTGCGCAAATGGAGCTGTGTGTGCTTGCCTGCTGTTTGCATACCCCAGTTCCCAACAGGCTGTGAACCAGTACCGGCTGTGGACTGAGAGTCGGGGGTCCCTGTTCAACATCACCCGAAACTGTAATCCACAACAGCCTACAACTACTGCAACATTGTGATCACACTAAAATTTGTCTACTTAAATCAATTAGCCCATCATTTGGTTTTGAAAATGAAAGCTGTCTTCTACCTGTACGTTAGGGTCCTTCAAAAACTGATGAGCGGTATGAATAGTAGACTGCTTGTTTCGGTCCAACTTTACTTCTGACAGTAAAGAGTTTGCTTCTCTTTCTTCAGCATCTTCAGAATTAGGAACTTGGCTGTCTGCCTCTATCTGCTCAGGTCCTAGGATTGAATTATACACACTTGCTAATTACTGCATACATCCATATCCATTCCTGTCCTCTACTTTGGCTCATTTAATACATAGCCATAGCAATGTCTTAGATAAAACTAACAAATTATTATTCACTAGTATTAACTTATTTCATTAATAGTATTTTTTGTGCTATTTCCACAAACATACAGGAAGCTATTTCTTTAAAAAAAAAAAGAATTCTCAAGGCAAGAAGTTAATGACTTACCAGATTTGGAAGCTCCAGACATTTTTACTTCTGGATTCAGTTTTTCTACCTCTGAAGTTTTGAGTTCCTCAGCAGAGTGATCTTCTGTTTCCATAGCCAGATCTTCAGAAACGGTTTCTTCGCTGTCTTCATTAACAGGTAAAATTGATTTCTGTTGTTCTTCACTTGCTACGTCTGGTGGGGACATAAACCAATACAATACTGTTTTCAGATCATATTAAAAAAAATTACAAGAAGTTCTCCAGCATCAGCACACGAGCCATCATAAAAACCGGAGCCGATCTATTAACAGTCTAGACACAAGCATGGCATTTGTGAAGCAAATTGTCTTTCCTCCTCGAACCAGCCCAATGTAGCAAAAATAAATTATGGCTAGCAGTTGCGCACAAAACATAACACAACACTATACATTGTTAAATCAATATTAAGTCTCTTTAATTCAATGAGATTTAAATTTGCACAGATGTGATACTGGGACTGACTTGTAAGAGGCAACAGGAGGGGATGTGTACTTCAAAAGGTTGTGAAGAACACATTCTCTCCCCCCCCCCAAGGATTTCATTTAGTTTACATTTCAAGCTAAACAAAATATTAAGTTAGTTATCATTGCTGTTTTATTTACAAAAAGTATTTATCATTTTCTAAAATGATTTAGAATTAAAAATATTCTCTAGTAACCAGTTTAATACCTTTCTCTTTCTGACTACATTAGCAATTACCATTAGATAACAATGCCTGAGGATTTTAAGGGTCACACTCAAGGCTTAGAAAGGTTTCATGCAACCCCACAATCTTAAGATATAGAGCATTGTAGACTAAATTGTACAGCATTAGCTAAGGCAGAATGAAAAATACATTTCTCAAAATAAACCTAAAGTATAAATGAATGTAAAAGGAATACAACACCCAATCGTCACATATCTATTTAGTGAAGAAATGTATATGTTTTTCAAACTATGATGCCATAAAGAGCTTTTCATTATTATTCCATGTGGTTTGTTGTGAATGTTGCCATACCGTAGGTCTGGGCATCATAGGATTCTCTGCCTTGTTTAATATGCTCAAAGGTGTCAGCTTCCACCTGATGTTGCCCTGGCTGAACTGGTGTTTCCTCTGCTTTCTGGCTAGACTCAACAGTTCTCAGTCGCTTGTGAACAGGCTGGTTCTGATCTCCTGTTGTGCGCTCGTTGTCAGCTTGTCCTGGCTTTCTTTTATAACTCTGAAACACAGGAAAGCACAGCCAGTTAATTTTTCAAGGGGATGAGGCAAATGCAAATTCTATTCAGGCAAAGATAATATAAAGGTCCTGTTCCTTTAAAAAAAAAGAGAAAAGAATTTTAGAGGTGCATAAAGATGACTTTAGGGGCTACTTGAAAAGCCAAAAGGAACTGGGCAAACCTCTGTGGCTTCACATTATCCACTCCTTAAAATATCAATTTTGTTTGTTTGTTTATCTATTTATTTATTTATCTTGACTTGTACTAGGAGGTGATTTGCACAGCAGGAGAATCTGGCCTGCAGGTTAATCTTGTTTGCCAGGCTCCAGATGGGGTACCTGCAAATCTGTGCAAATAAGCAACTAGACCAAAGCCAGATGCCCCACAAATTCTGGTTTAGTCTATCACTGGCTCTCTAGTTCAAGTAGAAGCTTTGCTCTTCTTCTTGCCCAAGATATTTTTAGGCTGAGAGCCTTCTGTATATGAAGGTTCATACAACATAGAATGTACATTGGTTTGTTTTTTTTAATGAACCAAGACGAAACACCATTTAAAATTCTAACTCTAAATGGTATATGAGGAAAAGATAGAGCCAGAACGAAGCCAGTAAGAGACTGATCTGCATGGACTACCGGGCTATATCATTTTCATACGTGTTCATCCTGCTTCTGTTTCTAATAGATATTGTACAAAGTTTGTTTGATTCTGTATTACTTCTAGATCAGGGGTGGGATTCAAATTTTTAAACAACTGGTTCTGTTGGTGTGGCTTTTTTTTGGCAGCCCCCCCACGCTCCATTTTTGGCCCTTCTGGGCTTCAGGGAAGCCTCCTGGTGGGGTTTTTTTGCTCCTAGAAGGCTTCCCTGGGATCCAGGAAGGCAAAAAATGGAGCCTGGGGAGGGGGGAGTGTGTGTATGTGTGTGTGTGTGTGCTGTGCTCCCTCCCTCCATGCTCCTGGGCCTCAGGGAAGCCTCCTGGGCGAAGCAGTAAGACAGCGAGCGGAATCCCGGCACAGCTGTTCGTCGGGAGGGGGAAAAAAAGAAATATCTTAAGGTATGACTGGGCAGGGGAGGATGCGGTCAGGCATGTGCACGATGTCACGCATGCACGATAAGGACTGACTGGGCTGGAAGGGAGTGAGCGGGCTGAGAGGGGCAGGGCCAGCCAGGGGCACGATTTGCTGGTTCTCCAAACTGCACAGAATCATAACAACCGGTTCTATAGAACCGGTCCGAACCGGTAGAATCCCACCCGTTCTAGATGCAGTTTCTCTTCAAATATGTATCAGCAAATTCTGATACCTTTTTCAGTTCAAAACTTTCTTTAAACACCCAAGCAGCACGAGAGCCAACGAATAATTATCAGTCCCTTATGTTTAGTTTTTCTTTGGCTTTCCATTAAAGAGTCTTCAAAGACCATTAGTATAGGAGCCTCCAATTGTAAAAGAGTAATTTGCACATTTCAAAAAAAAAATAAGACACCTGGGTATTTTTTCTGCTTTGTTTCTGTGAAGCTAGATGTGCCATTAGTTCAGATTCATGTCCTTCTGGCTGATTTGCATCCGAAGTTCCACTCCCATGTTCCTGAAATAAGACATACAAAGTAAGATCTTGTTTGCAAAAACACATCACAAGCTTATTAAGTTTAAAGCCCAAACTACATTATCTTTGGAATAGAGACGTACGTTAGATTGTGGCTCTGCAAACAAGCCCATCTGTCAATTCTAGTGCTGCACCATAAATTCATGAAATATAATGTGAAGTCTGGCTCATAAGACAGGGAAGAGATCCCTAGTGAAGTGTGAAGTATTAAAAATAGATATAATCCATAGTCTTTGGCAAACACAAGCATGGTTTGGCATGTATATTTATGACACAAAGCCCTTTCAGCCTTACTGGAGCAATTGATTAATTTAGCAATTTGAGGATGGTAACCAAAGGGAATAGTCAATGAAGTTTAAAAAGCACTGTATATACAAAGAACAGCTATAATACATTCAGTCACTCTTATAAACTATTTCCCTCTTAAAGTGGAAATATGCTTTCCTCTTACTGGAAAATGGATGCTGGTATCATCATCTACCCTTATTTTCAGTGTTTTGAGGCCTACTGAAGAATATGAACAGATCCAATATTCTCCAAAATACCTGAGGGCAAGACAAGTAATGGATGGAAGCTTAACAAGAGACATTTAGTCTAAAACTAAGGAGAAATTTTCTGACAGTGAGAACAATTAATCAGTGGTACGACTTGCCTCCAGAAGCTGTAGCTGCTCCATCACTGGAGTTTTTAAAGAAGAGATTGGACAACCATTTGCCTGGAATTGCAAAGGTTCTCCTCTTGCTTGAGCAGAGGGTTGGACTAGAAGACCTCTAAGGTCCTCTCTAACTCTGTTATTTTGCATTCTATAGATCTACAAAACTCAAAGTCAAAGTGAACAAAAAAAAAATTCTGGATATGAGCCAGCCACTAGTTCTTAAAGCAATTACTCAATAAGTTGATAGGATAGAAACAAATCAGAGACATGAAGTGGCTGCTAGGGAAGTTATAAAATTCTCCCTCTACTGCAATTAGGGTTAAGGTTATAATTAGGGTTAAGGTTACAGTGAGATGTGCTGAGGTGAGAGACGGTGATCCAAAGGCACCAGTGAGCTCCCATGGCTAAGGTACATTTGAAGCTGTAATTCCTCCAATACCAGTACATTTTCTTTTCTAAAGTTGCTCCATTTCACCTCTTTTGCCTGATCCTTCTCAGATGCAGTTCCAACCAACTCAACAGCTGTATCGCTCTGCAGATTCTCTTCGCCTGCCTCTCCGTATGCCTCATGTTCCATTCTTTCCACGGCTTCAGGTAACTGTTCCTCGTTTTCAGTATCATTACCAGCTTCATCAATTTTCTGAAGCAATTAAAAAAATGAGTCAGTATTAGCATTAGCTTGGCAAAGTATCAGTAGCTGATATATACCGTACATAACAGAATAGGTTTTAGGCCATAGACAAGCTTTGTTTCATAACAAGTTAGAGAAAAATTCATTTACTGGGATTTTAGACAGGAACTCTCCCTCTCACCCCTCCTCTCTCATACACACAACTTTTATTAATAACAACATGTGAAACCTGAGGACAAAGGCCTTGATCAGTAGTGGAAACGTTCTGTTCTTTCTCTTCAGCTTTTTGCTCTTCTACTGTAGAGTCCTCTTCTTCCCCTGTATTTGCATCAGAATTCTCTGTTCCTTCTTCATTTTTATCTTCAGAAGGATCTTTTTCGACTTGCTCAGAATCCTGTCTATCTTCATCCACATCTTCAGTGTTATCTTCCGTTTCCTTTTCATCTACATCTATCGCCTTCTCTTCAATCTCAAAAGGATTTTCTCCTAGTAGAAAAAGAGATGGAATATAGTTTTTAAAAATCACACACATACAATTGGATAGAATGCCCCAAGCCTCCTAAGTTCCATACATATTATTTGTGGAACTGAATACCTGAAAAGACAAAGGCCACCTAGACACAATTCCCAGACACAAGAGATCAAGGTCCAGGGAACTGAATAAAATGCAAAGCAAGGATGTGCTTTGGATACAAAGATCTGCACAGGGTTGGGGGTATCCATGAAATCATCAATTTCAATTCCTCTCTCCTCTCAATTTCTTCCATAAATAAGTTATTTCTTTTCCTGGAGTTGCATGGTAGCTGCACAGTGCGTATTGCATGGATAGCTCCCATGTGTTCAGAAAGCATCAATTGGGCCAAAAATTGGACACAATGTTTAACCCAAAGACATATTTTCCTGGAATCACATAGCTACTGTATGAAGCTGGGGAAAAGCACAACTTCTCCAAGGAGCCATTGGCAGATATAGCATGAATGCCCATAAGCCCTCTGAAGCACCTTTTTGGCTTCAAATTTGAAAAAGAGTACATTCCTAACTTACCTGCTCCACTCATTCCACAAATGTTCATTGTTCTATCACTTTAAACTATAACATCTTTTGCATCAACTCTTCAAATTACTAAGATAATGGTATTAACCTACATTAAAAGATAATGATCTTTTTACTTCATCAAGCTATGAAAATAGTTGTAGATGCAAACATAACTTGCTGATAGCAATGGAATCCTAATTTTCAACCATTTAAGTTACACAATAGCCAGAAAGTTTTAAACTCTGATGCCAAGTTTATAAGTTGTAGTTTTTGTACCAGGACACAAGTTTTGTAAAATGGTCCCCCTTCACCCCACTAGAGATAACAATGTGTCTGGTACTAAGTATCATTTAGCCATTTCTACTTCTACCTTCTTCTTCTTCTTCGTCTTCCTCATCCATCTCTTCATTTCCAAGATTCAGCTCATGGTCAAGCTCCAGGGCTTCGGCTTCAGGTTGTTTTTCTTGCTTTCCATGGTAAGGATCCACTTCATTCTCATCATATTCACCCTGTAAGGCAGAACACACTATAAGAAGAATGAAGGTGGCAAGCAGAGATGGGAGGCAAAGTTCCTGAGGCTTGAAATTCTATTGAATCTGCTCAAGCAGAAAAATCTCTGAATGCTTTAAGGAAGCTTATCTCCCATTGAAAAAGATATCCTTTCATATCACAGGGTACAATTCTAAATACACATTGATTGTTGTCTTCGTTAATATCTGCTTGTTGGTTTGATTGTGAACTGTGAATAAATCCTTGCTATTGGATGGAACTTTATGATTACTTCATTTAATCCTTTAGGATTACTATATTTATAATATATTTTGGTAAAAGTGAATAACAATAATGATAATAAACACTGTCTGGTCATCAGCTAGATATCTTGCCTTAGTTGCTTTCCCCACTTAGTTAAGAATATTGATTTTGACTATATTTTTTTAATTAAGAAGTTATTAGATTGAATCTGGGTTTAATAATATTATAGAAGCATTCATAATGGAAAGGGAAAATTCTAAAATGGACACCACCCTTTTCATCAAGTGACATACTTCAAATATTTATAATTAAAAAACAAGAAAGGTGGGAATTCTCTAAATACTTATCAAGATTAAGGTGACACATCTTTTGAAAATGATTTGGAAAAGTATTCTGGATGTTGTATGAACACAGCCCTATTCTGCTTCTAATTAAAGCAGCCATCTCCTCCCCCCCCCCCCCCGATTTTTGTGCCAAATTTAAATATACAGTAACTTTAAGAATTGTTTGCAAAAACTGTGTGTGTTCAGCCAACTTGTGTTTTATTTTGTTGTACAGATAGTTAAAAATGAAAACAAACAAAAGGGGGGAAAGAATGGAAAGCTGGAAAAAGAAGAGAAAAGAGTACATTTAGAGATTTAGAAATGAAACAATTGAATAAAGAAACCCGAAAAAAAGAGGTGGCTGCTTTAACAACAGAGAATTGATGCACGAAAGGTCCAAAGCACAATTAAATTAGCAATGCACACTCCCAGTTAAGAGTACTTTATTGAAACTCTCACATATGGGTTCATACTCTTTCAGCTTCTTAACTACTATCCTCTTCTGCCATTTCCTCTTTTAATTCCCCACTCAATGCACAAAATAAGTAAATCATGCAAAAGGTAAGATATTTATTGGCTAGTTTTGATGGACACTGGTTGTAAAAACTCGTCTTCTCGGAATTCTGTGCATGCATGGCATGTTTTGGAGACAAAGTAATTTACTATTAATTTACAGTAGCCTCTTATTTCTTCTTTAGTGAAGAAACAAGAAGCTGCTGTGCATCTCTGCCCTGGAGGCTGTGGGATATACTCATCTGTTCCCAATTATGCTTGTAAAATCTAACTTCGTCTGAACTATGTAACTTCAATTATTTCTACAGTAATATGCATGTTCACACACACTCTAAAAAAGAACAATAAGCAGTTCAATACAGAGTTGTTAGGCTATTACCTCATCTATTTGTTCATGGATTTTCTCTTTGGCTTCACCGTCACCTCCTTGGTTCTCTTTTTCTTCATCCTTGGGTGATTTCTTCTCATTTTGATTATCAACTCCTATATTGTCATCTTTTGCCACCAATTCGGAATCTCCCTACATAATTAAATATATATATACATATCCATGTTACCACCAGTGTACACATAATTCTCAGGCTAACATTATTCAACTTGTTTTGAAAAACATGGTTACCTCTTTATGAATATAGCTATTAAATTAAAAACAGTTCCCTACTTTTATAGAATGCATGTGTTATGCTTTCTCAACATCATGCAGAGCTAAACTAATAAAATATGCTATCATAGAACAATCTGAACTTTTAAATTAAAATAAAAGTAGATTCATTTACATCACACTCAGACTGTTTTAAAAAGAAAGCTCAGCATATTTTGAAATATTAATGCATACTCCATTCCAAAATAAGCTAAAAAACAGACACATCTATTAAAATAATAAACTGAGTAAGATGTTTTAATTTTTTAAAAAATTACAAATTGTCAAAAGCCTCAAAATCTTTTCCGAGGAAAAAAAAAAGCCCTTCAAAAGTTCCAATACAAGAAATCGACTGATTGGGGTTTACTTTCTATTTTGCTTAGAGCGAAGAGTAACTCTTTGGATGAATCCCACACACTGAGAGAAGTCAATCATGTGCTGAAGGCATTCACCATCAGGGTAAATGCAACAGAGTCCTCTAGCAGTTCTTGGGAGTGATTAGATATTAACATCAAATATTCTGATAATAAAAGCCGCCATCTCTTTCATTGTCTGATCTCCATATGAAATGAAGTTTTGGCATCCACTGCTATTATTTTTCAGAGAAAAACTCTAATTCATTGTATGAAAAAAAGCACTTCCTTTTATGTGGCCTGAATGAAAAAATAACTTGAAATGAATTGAGTTATATGTAAAGGTAAAGGTTTCTCCCATCCAGTTGTACCTGACTCTAGGGGACGGTGCTCATCTCCGTTTCTTAGTCGAGGGAGTCAGCACTGTCTGAAGGTATTTCTGTGATCATATAACCAGTATGACTATACGCTGAGGCAGCTGGAATGCTGTTACCTACCCACTGAAGTGGTACCTAGTTATCTACTTGTATTTGCATGCTTTCGAACTGCTAGGTGTGCAGGAACTGGGGCAAATAATGAGCTCACCCTGTTCCGTAGCACTTGGGTCTCGAACCTGGGCTGTCAGCTCTTCAGCTGAGAAGTTTAACATCTTTAACTGCTAATCCATCATGCCCCTTTTCTATGTACTCTCATGCATTTTACATAATTAATCAATGGTGCAACCATTCACTCCTTCAAACATTATATTCATTTAAAATTTTACCTCATCCATCCCTGGTCCAGTTTCTGTTTTCCCATCTTCATCTTCATCCTCTTCTTCTTCCTCATCATCATCTCCCCAAAGCCTCTCGTCCAATTTGTCAGCATCTCCATCTCCAAGATTTCCCATCTGCTTATCCAAGTCTTCATCTTCATCAGACTTATCATCCTCTTCTATACAACATAACATAAATAAAGCTCAATGTAAATCTTCAAAGAAAGAACTCCCATAATCGTAAAGATCAAGCACTTTGAGTCTGCAGACAGACTGAAGCTCAATAGGAGAACATATACTTTCCAGGTCACTAAATGGACTAATGGTTTAACTTGATATATAGGTAATTTCTTGTATATAAAGTACATTTATACTGGGATATGTGAAAGTTCTCAACCCCTGGGCAAAAAGAACTTCTACAGCAATGGGAATATTTACCCTTTTTATCCAGTATACATGAAACAGAGAGTTAAGATTAAAAACATTTAAATGTATAGTTCTTTAAAGTATTGATAAAATACTAAAAACCTTATTTATTTCTGGCTGTGTCATACTACCTACAGTAAGTGACTCATAATATATTGCTAGATAGGATTATAAACACTGCACTAAACAGGTCTTCCAGTGAAAACTGTAGATTTTTAATTAGAACAGCTACTAAATACCCAACATCTTCTTTCTTAAATACTTGAGAAAGACCAACAATATTGCCATTTTTGTGTAAAAACCATGACATGTGGACTTCAAAATCCTGCTGAAGTCCTCGTCCTCCTGGTCTGAAAATCTTTATTCCAAGTATACAAAGAGATCAACAAGAAGGAAAGGAAGGCTCTGTTTGGAGCTTAGATTTGATTAATTTTGTCACTGAGGGTCACATTTTAAGTTAATTCTGCATAAGACCATTTGGTTCTATCAAGTTCCAACTTCAGTAAGAAAAAAAAAACCAAAAGTGCTTCAGTGTTACCAAAATTCAAAGTAAAAGTTATTAAACCTCAGTATCAGTTCCCAATTGTGCAATGAATTCTGGAGTTACTGTACATTAGGTCAGAAACATGGGAAATATACACATACCTTCTTTTTCTTGCTCTCCATCATATGTTTTCCCTTCAAAATCTTCAGACATTTCAATTGCATTATCCTCTCCCTCAATATCTGGTTTAGAATCTGGATCTTCCTTTTCCTGACCTTTTTGGTAAGTATCTTCTACCTGGAATATTTAATCAAGCTTTGTTTTAATGGGGTGCCTTCTTTAAAGTAGCATGTATTCTCCTTGCTCCCTCCTCAACTTTCAGCAAGATAATTTTAGCATTCCTTCTCCCCTCAAGAATGCCATAATTTCCTGATATTTTATGGTATATTTCCTAAAAACTGAAGTAGATTATTAAAAGGAATGAAGGGACTGAAATAACTTTAAAACCCAGTAAATGAACGAACAAAAATAATGCAGGGATTCCTATATTACTCCATACATTAACTGTTCCTTAACATTCCATGTGTTAATCTTTCCTGCACAAATAGAACAGAACTTTGTGTTGTGCCTTAACAAATACACAAATTTCAGTTGCTTTATTCCAAACTAGAAAAATCATTCCGGGCAGAGGTGGTTTGATGGTGGCTGGTATGGGAAAAAAAGCCAAGGATGTCACTTGCTATGACTAAGGAGAAGCAGGTTAACTGTTGGCATATGCCATGCTGGAAGCATGACTGATCCTGCCAAGACTATCACCATAAAGAATAATGACCTAGGTCAGGATATCAGTAGTAGCAGGGGCTGAGGAAAGGGATGGCACTGGGAAGATTAAGGGGGCAGCAAGCCGTGGGCATGCCAGGCTGATTTTTTTGCAGAAATGATTGAGGAAAAGGACTGAGAGAAATGCTTGGAAGATTGAGGGAGTGTGGGCTAGTTGAGATATCCTGTGCTGGGATACCTCTGATGCTAGTGGCCTTGCCTTAATTACCCCAGAAAATTATTCTGAGATTGTGTTGGATGTTGTAGTATGAAAAACTTGGGACCAACTCAAATGTTCCAGATTTTGTTTCTGCTGAACTTTGACATGTTTTCCATTTTGTGTACATCCTTATGCAATGTTGTTTGTTCACCACCAAAAAGTATAAGTGCTTTTCCATGTTTCCCATAAATACTAAAACCTTAGCATTCATTTGCTTTGTATAGACTATAAACAGACATTTCAAACCTTACCTGGTCTTCATTTTCTATCTTGTCACTAACATCCTTTTTCCCTTCCCCTTCTCCAATGCCACCATCTTCATAATCATGGAATTCTGTTCCTCCTTCTCCTCCATCCTCAATAATTTCTTTTGGTAAACAAAACCCCTAATAATAAAAAGCACTCAGTTAAACCAAGGATAGCAGTCATTAAAATGAACACTGAGTTTCACCATTTTAAGGTTTCTTCTGCTTGGCGTCAAAGTTTTTGTAAGCTTTCTTCCAAGGACAGAAAATTCTACTTCAGCAAAAATCCATTAAGGGTCAGTTACTTATTAACATGTAAATTAATTGTCATATAACTGGGTTGTTCACCCAAAAGTTCCTAAAGAACTTATGTCAAATTGCTTCCCTCCTAGAAAAATAGTCTTTTTTTTATTCATATCAGAATATTAAAAGAAAGTCAAAATGATATCACTTTTCTTTTAAAAATGTAGACAGTCCACTTAATATTTCTTCTAGGCAAATTGCCTAGAAGGAAATGACAATCAAAATTTAAGAAACAACTAGGAGTGCAGGAGAACAAGATTTGCTCAAGCATGACTCTAATTCAGGGGTCTCAAACACAATTGACCTGGGGGCCGCAGGAGGCAGAGTCTGGGTGAGGCTGGGCTGCATAATATTATACTTTATATTTATATTATACACTAATATTATACTTTCATATCACGGTGGGGGCCACAGGATATCGTATCGTCCTGCAGGCCGCAATTGGCCCGCGGGCTGCGAGAATGAGACCTCTGCTCTAATTGTTTAAATACAGCGCATCAATAGTGGAGAGTAAGTGGGCAATTTTCTCACTGGAAAGAAGTAGAATCTTCTCAAAGATCTCTTTTGTAGCCAGTGATATTTAATTTGTTTATAAATGATCTTAACTTAGGAATAAATAGTCAGGTAGCCAAACTGTGGATAATACTAAACTATTCAGAATAGTAAAAGCTAAAACTGATTATGAACAATATTTTTAAAGTGAGTAAATTGTCAATCAAAGAGCAATGCTAAATATGTGTAAAGTGATGTACATTCAAACAATCAGTTCTTGTCCTTCCATTTCATATCTACAGTGTTGGGGTCCAAGCTGCCTGCAACTGATCAGGAAACAAAGCCTGAGGTCACAGTGCACAACAGAATAAAAATGTTGATTAAGCTGCTAATAGAAGGGAACTTCTATGTTAGAAATGATTAGAAATTACTTGAAAATAATATCGCTATACAAATCTATGGCACTTCCACATCTGGAATAGCATGTACAATTCCGGTTGCCATACTTAAAGGATATAGGAAAGCTGAAAAAATTGCCGCCAAAATGATCAGGAGTTCAAACACTTCCCTGTGAGAAAAGGCAAGAATACCATATACACTTTAACTCCGTGATGGCGAACCTATGCCACGTGTGCCAGAACTGGCATGCAGAGTCATCTCTCTGGGCATGCCAGCTGTTACCTGTTGCTATTCCGGGTTCCTGGTCTTTGTGTGTGCGGAAGTTCTGGAAACTGAAAGAGCAGCTCCCCGGCGTGCATGCAAGCACTGGCCAGCTGGCCTTCGCACATGTGGGAGTGCCGGAAACTAGAAGAGCAGCTCATGCACACAGGAGGCCAGAAACTGGAAGAGCAGCTCCCTGGTGTGCATGCGCATGCTAACCAGCTGGTCTTCGCATGCGCATGTGTGTTAGAAACTGGAAGACCAGATGGCTGGTGCACATGTGCATGCCAGGAAGCTGAACTTCCAGTATCCAGTGCTCCCACGTGTGATGTCTGGGAGCTGTTTTTTTTTTGTTTCCGGCGTGCACATGCGCATGCTCCCGTTTCGGTACTTGGTGCCGAAAAGGTTCACCACTGTTTTAGCCTATTACAAAAAAATGATGGAGATAGGACATAATTGTGGTACATATAATCTTGCGTGATATGCCAAAAATGAGAGGAAGGTGAGGATCTTAGCTTTATCTACATACATCTGACAGAAACTGGTCCAATTTTATCCGGTATTTCTATCACTGAGAATGGATAAAATCTGGGCCATTCAGTTCTAGTCCAAGAGCTTACTAGTTAATATTCTGAAAAGTCTGCTAAGCCTATACTAGAAAACTAATACGATATGCAACAATAAAGGCTACTCCATTTCAAAGGCCATGTTTTAACTTCAGAAAAAAACAGTAGAAAGTAAAAATCTTTTTTTCTTTTTCCTTTGGAAAATGAAAGGCAACTAATAAATGTAGATTCTCACAATGACATTCACTTTCCACTTCTTACCTTTTGTGCAATTTCTGTAAATATGTTTGACAAGACAAAAAGCAATTTTGCAGTACTCCTATGTGTAGCCAAGGAAACCGTGAGGTAGAAAAGGACAATACTGGAATATTTGCAAAGAATTGGCATTAGGCGTACCAGCAAGTGGCAGGCCTGATTAAAAAGCTGAAAAAAGAAAAAGAAAAATAATGTCCATTAATTATGGAAAATATTTTAAGTGTCTACATATTCTTTCTCCAGGATTGGTTTCACTGTTTGTAGTATTTATAAGCAATTTCAGAAAAATATTTTTATTCTTACATGCTACTGAGTATTTGAGGCAAGATGAAGAAACAATTTTTACATTATGTTTAATATCTTTCCCTGAGATACAATTCAGCTGAAAAATATTACCTTGCATTTGTATGCAGTGTAATCCTCGCCATAAGATTTCAATTGCTCCAGGAGTTCAGAAATGACTGAAATTATTTTTTGTATATGCAAAGAATTCACATCGGAACAAATTTCTTCATCTAAGAATTTAGTTAAATGCCCTCTCTGGAGCCCATCAACCGAAGATTCTTCCCCTGGAACAAGAATTATAAAAAGCAATGATAAAAAATGCATTCCAATTGAATATGCCCTATACTTTGTTGGTTCTCATTTTTTAAAATTACTGTGCTACGGAAGTGTCATATACAGCAAGAAAAATGCATTTGACATAACAGTTGCTTTCAGAACAAGTGAAAGAATGTTCAGTCTTACCATCTTCTTTTGGGAATATCTCTTCGTCTTTTCTTCTTTCAACCAAACACTGGACAGAACTCAAGATAACGTGGATTGCAAGTTCTATTTGTTTTGAAAAGTGTTCTACAAATCCATCATCTGATGTTTCCTCATCTATAGAAATATCATTGAAAAATTAAATGGAAAAGGCTTTTAGTTTTACAATGGAGAGATGAATAGATGGATGGATAAATGTGTGTACAATTCAGCTTCCATAGTTTCTACCTATCTATTTACTTAAATAAATGCTATTGCCCTAATTTTCTCCCTATTTGAGTATCTGAGGTATCAAAATTCTCCCTCCATTAGAATTGGGATCAATACATTATAGAGAAAGTTGTTGGTTGTTCTTCGGAATTAAATCAGAGATCCCCTTTCAGGGCTCTAATATAGAAGCGACTGGAAGTGAAGTCAATAATTTCATTATTTCAAATACAATTTCTGCACATACAGGTAATCCTCAACTTACTTGAGCCCAAAATTTCTATGGTTATGTGAGACATTTGTTAAGTGAGCTTTGCTACATTTTATGACCTCTTCTGCCTCAGTTGTTAGGGAATCATTGCAGTTGATTAGCTAGAAACATGGTTATTAAGTGAATCTGGCTTCTCCATTGACTTTGTCAGAAGGTTGCAAAAGTGACCCTGTGACACAGCAAAAGTTATAAATAAAAACCAGTTACCAAGCATCTGAATTCTGATCACATGATCATGGGGATGTTTCAAAGGTCACAACTGTAAAAAAAAAGGTCATTAAGTCCTTTTTTTCCAGTGCCGTTGTAACTTTGAACCGTCACTAAATGAACTATTGTAAGTCAAGGACCTCCTCTAGTTCAAAGTTTAATGACTTAGGAACCATATAGCCCCCTTTCAGCCTCACAGTAAGCTAAAAGTAGCCTGAGGGAGCCGAACCTTCCCTAAGCCCTAAATCTTACTCATACAATTCTATTATAATCTCTCTCAGGATGAGAAAACCCCATAAGCCCCCCTGATACATTTGTGACCTCAAAGGTAATCCTAGAAGAGCCAAGAGAAAATCAATACAGCCAGTAAGCTTGTCTTCAATTTTTAGGTTGATTCCCTTTTTTATTTTGCTTTCCAGAAGGTCCATTACTCAAACAATCTGCTTCCAAATATAAATAGTCCTCGACTTATGACCGCAACTGAGCCCCAAATTTCTGTTATGTCCTAGATCCCAGCCCCTTAAAAACTATACTTTCACTTTCAAAAAGCTCATTTCTAGAAAGAAGAATTGTGACCACCGGATATCAAGCATAAAGAAATGCTTAGGAACATAAAAAGTAATGATGTAGTTAATCCTGCAGGCAAACAGAGAATGATATTAAATCAATAAAGCCCCTGCGTTATTGAACAGGAGGAGGAAAGAGAATCATTTTACCTTCACAGTGTGAAATTGAACTGAAGAGCTGTGTCTTCCAGATAGCAAAATCATCTACACTGCTATTAATTTCTCCTTGGATATATATGAGACTCCTGATTAACGCCATCTGTGATCCAATTTGATTGACCTGAGAATCAGGTGGTGAAAACAACAGCTCAATATCTTGCAGCTGGGTTGAAACTTTCAGCAAACAATCCACTCCTGAAGAGCACACTTCAAAGCTTCTCCTGAGGAAAAAAAACATTGAAAGGGAGATTTGAAATGGAATAAAAACTGCATGAATAAACATGGAATGGTTTCTGTTGCACTTATGGGTGACTTGGCATGAGAAATACCATACATACATATACACATTTACAGTAGTAAAACAGGCCAGATCTAAGCACCTTGCGAGTCAGATCCGGCCTGTGGGTCTTGAGTTTGACACCCCTGAGCTAGGCTATCAGCTTCCATAGTACTGAATACCTTTCTGACATATGATGGACTCTGATTATAAGAGCGGTTTAGTTTTCCTATGGGTACAACCTCTAGAAAAGGTATAATCCTACTGAGGCTGCTACATGCAGCTTGCAAACAAATGCAACCCCCCTTTTTGTCCCAGTATGATAGGATGCATCTCACTTACCAAGAATGGAAGAGTGTCTCAGAAGACACCTGTCTTATTCTGTCCACGTCTGATTTTACTGTCTTCACCTCTACTAGCATCTCTTTCACCTTGGAAGCCAGCTGCTGATATAGCGTATCCTGCTTTCGCATCCTGCATGCAGCAGGCAGCTGTTCTGGACTCACTGGTGTGAGATACTGTAGGTCTGATGGATCCAGTTCTGGAAGTGACTTTAGAATAGTAGAAGAATTCAATTCTACCCCTTCTGATTTTATTTCTGTCCGAGGGGTGTTCAAAGTTTGGTCTTCTGGACAGCACTCTATAAACCAAGACAGCTGTTCTAGAAGCACTACACACTGCATGGAAAGATACTGCAGTCTGTCAGTCCACTGCTGAACACCTTCTTGAGGAGGGAAAACCACTTCGTATTCACTCCCAGGAGACAGTCTGGCATCAATCTCTTGTATACAGCTTAGCTGATTCCTGTTCAAGACATTCATGTAAGTAACAGATTTATTTTTAATTAAAATTCAATCATTACAATTCGGTAATAAAATGCTAAAATGCCAGTATTTTAGTCCTTATTAGATGTGGACATAGAGCTTTTCCCTACATGTTTTGTTTTTTCTACGTCAATTATCTACTTGATTTCTCACCATCCTGTAAGAAAGCTATTTTTCTTCTGAATTTCTTTTCCAAGACACCCAGGAAGCCTGTGGATTTGTCTATTCAAGCTTTTCTCAATTTGTACCTTCAACCGAGAAAGCAGGGAAGTGTCGTATTCTCATTACAGACTGAGGAAAGCCTGAATAATGATGGGGATAATAATGGCAACCTCAGGTGAGCAATACTGTCCCCAAAGAATGACAACCTCATTTCTGTTCAATTTTCTTTAGCCTGGCTTACAGTGGGGAAAAAAAGAAAAGCCTGCTATGAAAAATATATATATATTTGAAATTAGACCAATTCAGTAATTATTTTAAGTAACTCCTAACTGTGAAAAAATCAAATCTTTCAAAAACTGAAAGATGTATTTGGGTGCCCCATGAATAAAATTAATGATTTAATTGGGCTTAGAGATGGGACATGCATAACTATATGATTTACCAATTAAGCAATTACATTTTAAATTTCTGCATCACAAAACTCTGTGGTACTTCCTAATCACCTAATGAGGTTTCCTCAGACAGAATGGGAATGCTGTCAAACTTTGCTCCCACTTTGGGCTGAGTTAAAGCTTGGGTAAAATGGTGAGCAAAGCCCAGGGTGAGCTTTAAACACCCTCCACAGTAATCTCAGCAACCTGATATTTTTAAAAAAATATCACCTGATCATTCAGGCCCTTGGCAACTGGTACCATTTGCAACAGCTTCTGACAAGCATATCAGTGGAGAAGTCAGCAGGAAGTTGTAAGTGGTGGTCATGTGATGTTGTGCTTAATGATTGCAGGTGATTTCCTTAAGTCTGTTGCTGGAACTGACACTATAAGCTGGCACAATCATGTGATGTTGCACTTTATGACCATGTAGCTTAGCAGCATAATAGCTGGTCTCTCCAGTTGTTAAGTGAAAACTACCTGTACATAGTTCTTAATCTGAATGAATAAGTTTGGAATATACACTGCTCAAAAAAATAAATAAAGGGAACACTTAAACAACACAATGTAACTCCAAGTCAATCATACTTCTGTGAAATCAAACTGTCCACTTAGGTAGCAACACTGATTGACAATCAATTTCACATGCTGTTGTGCAAATGGAATAGACAACAGGTGGAAAGCATAGGCAGTTAGCAAGACATCCCCAATAAAGGAGTGGTTCTGCAGGTGATGACCACTTCTCAGTTCCTATGCTTTCTGGCTGATGATTTGGTCACTTTTGAATGCTGGAGGTGCTGTCACTCTAGTGGTAGCATGAGACGGAGTCTAGAACCCACACAAGTGGCTCAGGTAGTGCAGCTCATCCAGGATGGCACATCAATGCGAGTTGTGCTGTGTCTGTCAGCGTAGTGTCCAAAGCATGGAGGCGCTACCAGGAGACAGGCCAGTAAATCAGGAGACGTGGAGGCCATAGGAGGGCAACAACGCAGCATCAAGACCACTACCTCCGCCTTTGTGCAAGGAGGGACAGGAGGAGCACTGCCAGAGTCCTGAAAAATGACCTCCAGTGGGCCATAAATGTGCATGTGACTGCTCAAACTGTCAGAAGCAAACTCCATGAGAGTGGTATGAGGGCCCAACCTCCACAGGTGGGGGTTGTGCTTACAGCCCAACACCATGCAGGATGTTTGGCATTTGCCAGAGAACACCAAGATTGGCAAATTCGCCACTGGCGCCCTGTGCTCTTCACAGATGAAAGCAGGTTCACACTGAGCACACGTGACAGACATGACAAGGTCTGGAGGCGCCATAGAGAACATTCTGCTGCCTGCAACATCCTCCAGCATGACCGGTTTGGCAGTGGGTCAGTAATGGTGTGGGGTGGCATTTCTTTAGGGGGCCGCACAGCCCTCCATGTGCTTGCCAGAGGTAGCCTGACTGCCATTAGGTACCGAGATGAGATCCTCAGACCCCTTGTGAGACCATATGCTGGTGCGGTTGGCCCTGGGTTTCTCCTAATGCAAGACAATGCTAGACCTCATGTGGCTGGAGTGTGTCAGCAATTCCTGCAAGACTAAGGCATTGATGCTATGGGCTGGCCCGCCCGTTCCCCAGACTTGAATCCAACTGAGCACATCTGGGACATCATGTCTCCCTCCACCCACCAACGCCACATTGCACCACAGACTGTCCAGGAGTTGGGGGATGCTTTCATCCAGATGTGGGAGGAGATCCCTCAGGAGACCATCCGCCACTTCATTAGGAGCATGCCCAGGCATTGTAGGGAGGTCATACAGGCACGTGGAGGCCACGCACTACTGAGCCTCATTTTGACTTGTTTTAAGGACATTACATCAAAGTTGGATCAGCCTGTAGTGTTTTTTCCCACTTTAATTTTGAATGTAACTCCAAATCCAGACCTCCATGGGTTGCTAAATTTGATTTCCATTGATAATTTTTGTGTGATTTTGTTGTCAGCACATTCAACTATGTCATGAACAAAGTATTTAATAAGAATATTTCATTCATTCAGATCTAGGATGTCTTATTTTTGTGTTCCCTTTATTTTTTTGAGCAGTGTATATATATATATAGAGAAAAATAAAAAGACAATACCTCAGGAAAACCCACTGTTCTGTCAAAGCAACGAGAGACTTCCTCTGTTTGACAAGCATCTTCATGAGGTGCGCAGTGAATCCTTTACATCGCTCAACAGTACTTACTCCAATCTCCTACAGAAAAAGATAGCAACTCTCATCCTTCTGTTAATCAAAACAAGTTCCTTTAATGATAGCTGTAAAATGTTTGGAGTTATAGGCTACACAGTCAATTAGTTAGACATGATTTTGCACATTGTTTTTAATTCCTTCAGGTTTTTTTGAAATATGCATAAAATTATATTGCAAATTTATTCCATACCTAAATTAGTGTGACTAAATTAAGCATTCTGAATACATAGAGTTTATTATTAAATGCAGCCAAGCGCTAAAGATAAGTAATGAAATGGTATATAGTTATCCAACTTCATTTCTTCATTTAATTGCCACATAGCTTCACAATATTTTTGTCTCTATGGTGCCCTCTAATATGTTAACTTGTAACATTCAATGTCCTCAGTCAATAGTGGTCAAGGGCTGGGGATGATGGTACTCATAGCCCAAAACACCTAGATTTTGCCCTACAGGGGAAGATTAGACTACAACTGAAGGACAAACACTCCTACTGAAGAATTAAAAAGAAGTAAAACGTCTGGTTTTGCTTGCTTTATTTATTACTTTTTACCTCTCCATTTTCCTTGGTGAGTTCAAGGTGATGCACATGGGAAATATCTCTCATTTTATCCAAAGCAACTAGTCTGTAAGGTAGGTTGCACTGAGAGAAAGTGACTGACCCTAAGTCACTCAGTCAGCTTTATGGACAAGGTAAGTTTGAAGAAAGAAACCTCCTATCTCCAGGGCCCAAGCCTAACACCAAAACAAGTATATTACATTGGCTCTGGGGATTTACCTTTGAAGGTGCTAATAATGCTGTCTGAAGCCTACAGTGATGTGCAAGAGACCGATAGAAGTATTTCTGGCATCCATCCCAGGACAAAGAGATTTGAGAGAGTAACCTGAAAAGCAAAACAGTTTGAATCCCTTAAGACAGAGGTATCCAAACTTTGGTTGAAGCCCACATGGGGTTGTAGAAAACTTACATAGAGTCACAGCTTTTTTAACCCTATAAGGCTTGAGAAGGCAAACTGATAAGCAAGCCCAAAGTGAATTTTGACTGAAGAACAGATCTATGGGCCTAGACTGCTGCTAAAATCATCTTCCCATCATAGAAATGTTTATTCATAAAAGGAGCCACACAAACTCATTTATCTTTTGAACAGTATGTGAGATTATAACAAATCCCTGCCCTAATAGAAAAAGGCAGAACACTTCAAAGTCTTCATATGATAGCATATAGTAACATAAAATCTACAGCTTGCAAATTCTTGATCAACAATTGATTGTATAGTTTAGTTGGATAACTGATCTTTATTGGCTTTCCCTGTTATATATTACATCCAGTAAATCTTATTACAGTTTTGGCTCAAGTGTTTGAGCAAAGAGCAGGGAGAAGATCTCTGATCTGAAGCAGAAACAAAGGCCAAAGATCCGCACCTTTGATATTATTATTGGCTAAAGTAAAAATAATCCCATAAAGAGAAAACAATAGGATATTCATCATGCTTAATCTGATTCTAAAATAACTGAATCAATTATCTCAGACTAGATTTCAAAAATCCAAGAAAATATTTTTGCCGCTCTTTCTGACATCAAGACATGAAGATTATAGTACAGAACTAAAGTAATACATACGTTGCATCCAATTTATGTGTGCGGTTAACTAAAGCCAATGCTCTGTTTAAATCCAATGGATGAAGGAAAAGCATATTTTGCGAACTTTTGGAACGAGACCAAGTCAGGCCTTTGCGATACGATAATCCTAGAAAGATATTTATTTATTAGATTTTTATTCCACCTTTATTGTTTTTATAAATAATTCAAAGCAATGAATATACCAATACTCCTTCCTCTTCCTATTTTCCTCACAATACTGTAAGAGTCTTGTGAGGTGGATTGGGCTAAGGGAGAATGATCTGCCCAAGGTCACCTAATTGGCTTTCATGACTAAAGCATGACTAGAATTCAGTCTCTTCGTTTCTAGGTTAGCCTCTTAACCCACTACATCAAACTGACAATACTTTTATCTTTCTCAGATCTGTAATCTATATATATAAAAGCGAAATACCACTCAAGCATCACCACAAAATCTCCAAAACAATAAAGCCTACAAACTTGAGCTTTAGTACAGAACAGTTGAGCTAAACCATGCCTAGGCTCCTGCTGTCTCCTTGCTCACAGTGAATACTGTTTCAATTTCAGAACAGCTTTCAACTCTCTCACACACTGACAGGACGCTAGCCAGATGAATACCAATGGATGCTGGTAGGCAGAGGCAGAATTTTCCCCCCATTATTTTCCTCCCCAAAAACTAAGCCCAACCACATAGTTTTGTAGTGAAGCACAGGTATCGAGCTAGTATTAAATATTTTTGCAAATCTACTCAAACAGCTTAAGAATCCAAATCTAGTGCTTCTTTGGAATCAGAATACCAATCAAATAATAGGAACAATCATCATTGGCCATACATGTTGGATAGATTTTCTTCACATTCACTGAATTTTCTTTATTTGTAATGTGACACAAAACTGTACCACTATGGCTTGTTCAACCAACTGTAATTTAAAAATATTGACCTAGCATGATTTATGAATGAATTCTCACCGTTTTGTATGTGCCCAAATTATGGTTGGATATTAAAATATAGACTCATATGCCTTTCCTCACCATTATCTCTTCTCATTTCAGTTCATTTAGATCTGATTTAAACTACAGTATTGTCAAAAAATAACTATATTCAAATGAGGAGAAGTATGTGAAGATGATCCAAATTCTCCGAAACAAGGAATTTAGAACATGCTTTTCTCATTGAGAAGGCACAGGCTCAATCACTAGCATCTCTGATTAAGAGAATGAGATAGCAGGTGATGGTAAATTTCTTTGGCTAGGCAATGTTGGAGTAAAAGTCTAGTAGGATAAGTGCTGGAATTTCTCTACTCCAGCAAACTTAACCAGAGACAAATTAAATGGGTTTGTACTGTCTATGTTTTTTTCTTTTTCTTTAATGAAAATGAAGGTAATTCCTCATTATAGGCAGGCTTCATGACTGATGGGGAAACAATCAATATAAAGTACCAGGGTATATTCAGAGGTGATCCATAAAACGGTAGGACTTGCAAAAACCATAATTACTACTATTTGTATCCACCTACAACTGTTTCATACCAATTCTTTTCCAATGTTACTGATGTTTCCATGAACCAAGACTAACTGCTTGCCAATGAATGAAATTCATTGCATGACTGAGCCCTAAAAAAAATAAGGGCATGTTTTGTTCTACGTAATATGTTAGAAGAACTTTCATTTAACTGACCTGTAGTTGCAAGGTGTTTGAAGAGCTCTGCTAGAGCCCTTTGTTTTTGCAGAAGTAAGTGTTTGGCTTCAGATTTCTGTTTTTCCTTTTCTAAAGTTGAATTCACAGACATGTTCTGCAATTTGTGGGCAGAAGAAATTACGTCACCTGCAAGGAGGAGGAGAAGAATCAATAGGAGCATCACAGTAACTCAAATTCTATGTATTTTTTTTCTTTTTGAGCAGGTTTTCTTTAGGAGAAAAAACAGTGTACTAATATTTTACTTTTAATATTGATTGATATTAAAACCACACTACTTTGTGAACTGTTGGGTCATTGTTTTAGAGGCATTTGCTTACCTAAAGAAAGAAACATAATGACCAAGGACAAAAAGACAATAGGAATAGGAGTGATTTCCAGCTTCATGACAGCTTGATTGTAGCTGTCTATCTTTCTGCAGCCAATGCTAGGACCAGTCTATATGACCTCCAGAGGGCTAGGGTGAAACCAGATTCCTGAACCTCCAGGCTGCAGCAGTATGCTAGCACAGCAGCACTGAAGCAATCACAAATTTGCTCAATTTCAACCCTACTGGAGGGTCATTGGTCCCAGTTTTTGGACTCATTCTGTAAGTTAGACCATTTGAGATACCTTGATTCAAACACTGTTGTCCTATGACGTACTACTTGTCAGCGATCCAGAAAACCTCAACTCCAATAAATAACTCAGAGACAAACATTTTGACCAGTTAATTACATACTTTCTTTGACAATAGTTTAAACCCAACATTCAATCCATTTCGAAAGCTATTTCTGTCTCATTTTTCAGGGCCAAAGTTTATTTTGCCAAGTTCTTATTAATTCCAGAACAACCTGTAATTAAACTGAGTGGTCCCTTGACATCAGCTAAATGATTAAGGGTTACATTTTGTGCTATCTATCTATCTATCTATCTATCTATCTATCTATCTATCTATCTATCTATATTAAAAAAGTTAATAAATTATAGCAAATTTACTGTAAAAGCTAGAACTCACAGTCCACAATGCAAAAATAATTTCCTAAAACAAAATGGCTAATCTATATATATAAAAGTGAAATACCACTCACACGTCATCACAAAATCTCCAGAACCGTAAAGCCTTACGAACTTGAAATTTGGCACGTATGTGCCTCTTGGTTTCTACGTGCTCACTAAGAAAGGATTTTTCGAAATGACCATCAGAGCATTAGTATTTCCTATATTATCATTAACACGCTCTGATGCTAAGGAGTTCTACTCCCCCTCCCCACCTGAAAAGAAATCTGTTCCAAATGCAAAACACAAGCAGAGGAGGACTTTCAATTTCACTTTTAGTTTCACAACACCAAGCAGCACAGAACAGTTGAGCTAAGTATAGAACAGTTGAGCTAAGCTATGCCCAGGCTCCTGCTGTCTCCTTGCTCGCACAACAAATACTGTTTCAGTTTCCAAACAGCCTTTAACTCTCAAACACTGACAGGACGCAAGCCAGATGAATACCGATGGATGCTGGTAGGTAGAGGCATAATTCCTCCACCTCTATTTTTCTCCCAAAAAACTAAGCCCCACCACATAGTTTCGCAGTGAAGCACTGGTATTGAGCTAGTTAAATCATAATATAAACATTTCAGATGCTTACCAGTAAAATTGTCAAGATTCTCCACCAAGTCCAAGATAGAATTATCTTTCACTAGATTTGCACATATCTTCTTCATTCGTTTTGTGAGTTTAGGTAAGCGTTCCTGAAGTGATTCTGGATGAAATGCCCACCCCTGGAAGTCTTCTAAATGAAGAGCCTGAGAAATGTTCACAGTAAGAAAGTCAGCACAACTGAAACCTTTGTGCTACTAGCACATATATGGACCTATCAACAGCTACTACCTTCAAGATGAAAGTTGAAACATCAGATATAATAATGGGGCTGTCAATTTGACATCTACCAAGATCAAAAAGTTACACCACAGATATCTATCCTGATTAGAGAAAGCCAATGGATTCATTTATACTTAAAAAATCAAAGACATTAATGGGTAAAATGAGACATCTACTCCAAACTGCCAGCTCTCAGTTCCCGAGATCTACTCCTTTAAAAAGGAATAGACTGGGACAGTAGTCTTGAGTAGTTTGACTGCTTACTAATGAAATAAACATTTTCCAAAGAGATCTCCACCATCTCAATCAGAAAAGGAGACACACACACCCCGCCCAGACCTTTAACTTTTTTGAATGTGGGAAGGTCAACATACAGCTTCAGTTCTTAAACTTGGAATGACACAGTGAACTACGTGCTTTAAATGCTTTAGGAAAATCTCATCTTATACCTGCCACATAAATAACTGGAAATAGTACTCTTTGAAAGCATAAAGAATCCATTGCACTGTATAAAAATCATAATAAATATCCACAGGTACCTGAGTAGCATCTAATTTTACAGTTAGGTGTTTCCTCAGCATATTGTTTAAGTTCTGAATGTTAGTTTCAATATTCTCTGGTGTTTTTTGATCCTGTAGGGAAATGAGTTGCTCTTCTTTAGGCATTTCCACCAAGGCTGATTGACAAGGTTCACCAAGAGCAGCTTCAAATTTCTTCATAAATTTAAACAGTGTCCTAGAACCCATGAAAATGAAAGTTGAGAACTAGGAGAACAGCAGGTGTAAATTTGTTTTTCAGTACCTTTCAAACTGAAATGTATTATTGAAACTCTGTATGTAAAGTTGCATATAACACTAAGCAAGAATATGGTTTGTTTGTTCTCAGTTTAGCACAATATGTGAACCCAACTAAGTTTACTGTTATGAATGGTGGCTTGTTCAACAAAAAAATAAAGATTCTGACAGAACTGTGTGAATTCAGTCAATATTGCAGTTAAGGAATCCAAGTTAGTTCAGTTTGAAGTGGAAGTTTCTATTATCGGCCTGCAACAATGGGACAGGTAGGCTGGTTATATCCTACCGTAATTCTGTTGATTTGTTATGCATTGTAACATTGGACACAATGCTGTGTGAGACAGTTGCTGAATTTTGTTCTTCAATTCTCTGTCTGTCTTTTCTTAATACTTTGCAGAGTTGGTTTTTTAAAAAAACCATTTTATTGTACTTTTCCACAATTACAAATCCCTTGTGCATTCTTTACAACACTATGACATCGACGTTTTCACTTATATTTACATACATACATATATATATACACTTTTAATTTTCATTTCTCTTATCTAACCAGCTATACCACTTATCCCAGATCATTTAATATTCTGCTTCCTCTCTATCTTGCAGTTCCAATGTAAGTTTAACCATCTCTGCACAGTCCAACACTTTTTGTATTACCATACTTCGGAAGAGGTACTGTCCAATTTCCAAGTTTGTGCACAGGCAATTCTTGCTGCTGTCACTACATGTACTATAATATATTTGGGTTTTTTATTGAATTCTCCTCTAATTATTCCTAATAAAAATGTTTTGGGTTTGAGTTCAATTTGAAGATCTAATTTCCTGTAACCAATTTATTATTTTTACCCAATATTTCCTTGCTTTGGGGCACAACTACATATGAAAGAAGGTATCATGTTTCTGTTTACACTTCCAGCATTCTGGACTCATATATGGATATATTTTTGCCAATCCTGCCGGTGCTAATAAAACATTTTATAGAGATTTTTTTTATAGGCAGCTGACATTGTTAATTTATAATTTTTTGTCCACAATTTTCCATTTTTCTAATTAAATATTATACCCAAAATTCCTTGCCCAAGCTATCATAGATCCTTTAACTATTTCTTCTTCCCTATCGAATCTTAACAGAGAGTTATACATTTTCGTTATGAATTTCTCTTCTGGTGCAGAGTTGGTTTTAAAGAACAAAGAAACAGACTGAAAGAAGAAAAAGAAGATCTCAAATGAATATCTGAAATGGACCTTTTACCAGAACTTCATTTACCTGTGTGTCTTTTCTACAGATTGTTTTACAGCCCAAAAGCTAACATCATTCCATCGTGAGATTTTCACAAACTCCTACAGTGGAAAAAAACAAATAACTTCATTTATTATTATGTCTTAATACACGCACTGCAAAATACTGCAGGTAGTTCTCACTTAGCAACCACAATTGGGCCCAGCAACTCAATGATTAAGCAAAGCAGTCACTAAGCGAAACCACAGCTGTTTATTATCATACTTCAGCTTTCCTTTGCTTCACAGACTTCCAAATGTCATAAATGTGAGGATTGGTCACAAAATTACTTTTTCATCATGGACAGTTACTATGTGAAAACTATCTGTAATGTGATTTCATGTTTTCAGTTTAAAGAAAAATATGATTCTTTTATTGATATTTGATATTCAGGAATTAGAGGACTGTCATCATATCTCATCCTCACCTTCAGTTCTTTTTCTATGGGATGTCGCAGTTCAATCAGTTTGGCATGGACAGATTCTGAAAATTGCTTATAATAATTATATAGATTCCATAACACATTGCACAGCACATCTAAAAAGAGAAAAAAAATCATTTGGTATCCTGCTTCTATAATAAAATCTTATGAATATCACAGCATCATTCAGATGTATAGTAACCCCAAACTAAAAAGAGACCTATTTTCACAAATCAGTTTGGCATTCAACCATATGAAAAAAAAAACTCATTTACTTAGCAAGTGTTTACAAAGACAATACCCAATGGGTGAAAAAAAATCTTACTGTGAAGGACTACCATGGAATGATTTTAAAAGTTATCTATAAAAAGTCATCTTGCACTGCAACAACAAATCTTAATTATGTTTACCCTAGGTATATAAAATATTAGCAGCATTGAATAAAAGGTAGAATAAGCTAAAAGAAAAGAAATGCAGTGAATAATTTTGTTAAATTCTTCAGGTAATACTGCTACTAATATTTGTCAATTTGTTGGCAAAGTTGATAAATTCATCTGATTATCATTGAAGTAATACAACTTAGTAACCACCTAAAATGGTTATCCAAGTATTCAGAATCAATCATATGCACTTCCATATGAGAAATCGTTTCCTACATACAACTTATTTTGATTTTAATTATGGAAAACACATTCTATGAAATATCATGCAACTCTAATTGAAGAAAATATTAACTAAAGAAAACTAAGTATGACAGTTAAATCAAGCCTTTATGATTGGTGAAATTTGGAAAATTAAAAAAACAAAACAAATATAAATGAGTTACTCTAGGTTGTGGGTGCTTATTTAAAGAAATAAAAATAATTATTTTAATGGACTATGCTAGTGAGGCCTGATGGGAATTGGCAGTCAAAAATATTTGGAATGATCTTGGTTGGGGGTTCGGACTACTAAGTAGATACCGGTAGATGGTATAGGAGGTTTGTAATGATTAGACAGACTGCTCCTTTGCATCAATAAGGGAGAAAACATACTTTACTGTCTAATAGCTAAATATTTTGTGTTTAATAAACACAATTATGTAAGTTCACATGGAAAATGGATAACTCTACTTTCATTGAGAAGTGACTTAATGGTGCAAAGTCCCACCAGCACAATATATGCAAAGGTGGTCTATTCATACACACGCAGAGAGGGGGGGGAAGGAGGGAGGGGGAGAGAGAGAAAAAAGAGAGGTAGGGAGATGGAGAGAAGGACAGAGAGAGGGAGAGCGAGAGAGAAGGTGGGGAAAAGTATTGCTAATCCTGATCCAGGAAACAAAAAACTGCACTTACTATTTTCTTCCTTTTGTGTCATCAACAAGACATGGCAGTGGAATTCTAACAACATTTGAAGTCTTGTATGAAATTCCCCCAATGTAGATCCTTCAATGAAAAGTTTCAGTGTATCGACCACAGATGTTAAATTAACTTCTATCAGTTTCAAGAAGTTGGAATTGTAAGGGATAAATGAACAGCAGAAAAATGAGAAAAACACATTATTGAAGTTGTTTAATGGCAATGGTTTCCAATATAAACATACCAACAAAACAAACACTCCTGCCTCCTATATTTCTTCAGTGTAAATATAACTTACATATAAATTACATTCAACTTCAAAACTATGATTGTTTCTCCTACAACCCCTCTCCCCATAATGTCAAGAGTGGCTAAGAGAATTAGTTAATACAAATTCTTATTCAATTCAAAAGAGGCTAGGATTGGATGAGGGTGGGGGAAAAGGAACAATGATACAAGTAAATATTCATTGAAATTATTCATTTCAACCTGATTTGAATGAGTTTTATTTCATCCACTGTTGTAGTTACAAATATACAAATTCAAACTATGGAATTCTTGTGCTATATTAATTTATCTCATTTAAAGAAATGCATCTTCTTCACTCCTTCCAGGAGAGGCTTCTATTAGCAGCTTGTTTCACTAACATGAATATTTTGTTACCTTCAGTTTTCTTCTCTGATTGTTCTTGTTGGTATTTTTCAACCATTTGATAGAGTGAAAACCAGTGCTTCATGGATTTTTCTGTGTACTGTTCCATTACACTGTCCAAACTGGCAGACCAACCACTGAAATCATCAGTGGAGAGAAAAAAAGTAAAGTTTAATGCTTTATATGAAAGGTCCACACATGAAGTTTAAATAAATTTATTTATGCTAAAAGCCTATGCACAGGAAACTTTTCAATAAAGCTTAACTGGGTAAAGGTCAAAGGCACTTAAGAGAGGGATTGGACTTAATTCTCTTGTGGACATATTCTAAGCTAATTCATTTTCACTCTGCTACCAGGTTCTGCCATCCTTTCTCCTCCAGTTTATCCTCAATAACAGTCATTTGTTTATCCAACACCAAGACCATTTTTTTTAAAAAAATCCAGCTTTCAGGTTAATCAAAGTTTGGCAGAGCCCTATTGTCTGTTGTAAACAAATCTAACCCTAACCCTTTACTATGGTTATTGATCTTTCATTATATTAAAGAATTGCTTATTTTATTTTATTTTATTTATTTTATGTAATGGTAGGCCTTAGTTAATCATTTATTTAGTGACTGTTCAAAGTTACTATAGGCCTGAACAAATAGTATTTACGCTCAGTTCTTGAAGTTATGGCTATTGGCGTGCCCCTGCAGTCACATGATCGTTTATGACTTCAGGATTTGCATACTGTACTATGCACAGATTACCCTGCCGCTCTGGACTCCATTGTCCTCAACAACAAGATATGAAGCCATGGCCATCCCAGTTCACTCCAGCCCTCAATGAAAGCCTCAACTGTTTCAGCCCAGCCCCACCCCAAGCTGCAAGACCCTGCTGCTCCATCTGCAGCTGCTCAGAACTCCAAGGTCCCTGTCACTCTACTGTCCACCACCCTGATGAACTTCACCCTCTTTTTGCTCCGACTGCCAATAAGGTGTAACCAGCCTGGCCTTCATGAGGCAACTGCTGGCTATGCAAGGCCTTCTTCTTCCCTAGGCTGTGAGCAGGCTGAGGCAGCTGTGTTTCTGTTTCTTGATGCTGGGCTGGGACAGTTGCAGCTTTACACCATGATGCTTGGTTGGGGCAGCTATGGTTTCTCAAAGAGCCAGGTTGGGCATACCTTGTCAAGCAGCGAGAGTCATAAGATGGCAATGGTAATTTAGAGGTGGCAAGGGTAGCAGAGCATAGGGTACCTCCGGTAGTAGCTACTCCGCTGCCAGCAGCAGCCACTCTTGGCCTGGCTGAATTTACTGCTGGGCTTAACAACTCACAAATTTCACTTATTGACAACTGAAGCTGCCAGAACCACTGTCACTAGGTGATGCAGTCATATTACGTTGTGTTTTGTGAATGCACTGCTTAGTAACAGAAATTCTGGTCCTAATTACTATAGTTAACCCAGGACTACCTGTAGTGTTTTTCCTGTAACTTGTCCTAGGATCTTTATAAGATATGAGTTAACTATTCCTATTTAAATAAAGAAAATAAAAAGGAAATTAATTTAAAAGTTACATACTTCAATTCTAGCTTTCGCCACTGAATGATCATCTGAGTGATAAGATCAAGATGTTTCCTCAGAGACACAGCCCGACTAGCATTCTCTTCCCAATCCTACAAAACAAAGTGATACCTTTCAAGTAAATTGTAGAAGATGATTTTAAAAAACCATTCCTTTCCCACTATCTATACTAGCCTTTCTCAGGCAATTGCTTTCCAGTCGTTTGGAATTCTAACAGTGTCTGGAATGCATGGGAGAAGTCAACACTGTATGCTGGTAGTTCTCATTTAGCAATTTGTTTCATTTAGTGACTGTTCACTAAATGCGGAAAAAAATTACTTTGTGGTCAAATGTCTGTACTTCTGACCTTCACAGGTCTGTAAAGCAAAGAAAACTGAAATAAAATTGTAAATACAGTTGTGGTTTACTTAACAGTTACTTTGCTCAATGACCAAGTTGCCAGTATCAATTGTAGATGCTAAATAAAGATTACCTTATTTAAATACAATCACACTTGTTTGATCCATCCTTTTTATATGGCAGCAATGTGACCCAGTGAGTTTTTGCTAGTCTACCTTGTTAATAAAATGCTGTCTGAATCAGAGGTGAGAGAGGTGTTTGGCTGTCTGCCTTCAAGATACAGTCTACATCAGGGGCCCCCAAACTTGGCAACTTTAAGACTTGTGGACTTCAACTCCCAGAATTCCTCAGCCAGCTATGCTGTCTGAGGAATTCTGGGAGTTGAAGTCCACAAGTCTTAAAGTTGCCAAGTTTGGAGGCCTCTGGTCTACACCATGGTGTCAAACTTGATGGTGTCACATGACATATCATGATCTTTTTTTGCCTTTGCAGAGCTGGGGATAGGTGTAGCCTGTGTGTGACGCATCCGACCCGCGGGTTGCCAATTTGACAGCCCTGGTTTACACGGACCCTTGTAATCCTGGCAATCTTTACTCATGAATTTCAAGGTGAGGGGTAAGGATGGGCTTCTTTACAATTTTTTAGGACTGCTCCTCCCGGGAGGCTCCAAATCTTTTTGGATTGTTATTTAGTTAGCTCTGCCAAAGGCAAAGTGAGTGGGATTATTTCAGCAACTCTTCATGCTAAGGTAACAGAAGAGACAACGCTACCCTAATACTTAATTCTGTGCCTGAGGGTCTATTTCACAAAGTGGCACAGAGCTCCTTTGTCAATATTACCATCATTCTGTCAACTCAAAAATATTTCCTCTGGTCTTTTAGAGTTGACAGCAGAAGGGGAGTGGGGGAAGTAGTGCATTCCTTAAATGCTTCATAGATAATGGCTAGGCTGCTGAAGCTTCTGGCACGAAAGATTATTACTGGAGAGCACGACTGATGACTCTTGGCTATGGATGTGTCCCATTGGAGAATATACATCCAGGGGATGAGGAGGACCAGGGTCAAGGTTGAAATGAATGATGTAAATCTCAGCGTTGGCTTCACCCAGGTAGCACCGGAATGGTCACTCCTAATAAATCTTGGTTTGTTTGTTTGTTTTTAACTCTGAGAAATGTGGCTTTTTTTTTAACTCTGAGAAATGTGATTTGAATGGGGGTGGATGCTAGAGCCCTGACACATTCACTTTGTTAGTTCCTCCTATCTGCAAAATGTTTTTTAATTAAATGAGAGCGCGCAAGCACAAAGATCACTGATTTCTCCTGTCTCATTCAGTAGTTTTCTCAAACCCTGACCTGTGCCTGACTTACTCCCCCCCACCCTTTTCCCATTGCAGGGCAGGGACATCGCTTTTAAAACATACCTCTTCCCAAGCTGCTTTTGTCTGTATTTTAGTGCTTACCTAAAAGTACTAACTGCAATTAAGAGGCTGAGCTCTGTGATCTTAATTATATTAGAATTGGGGGGGGGCATCTCCTGCCTGAAACTGACAAGACCTTAAATCAGTTTCATGATGAAGGCTTTTGTTTTATTACTGTTTATTTGTCAATACCTGTGGCAGTTGCTAAGCAAAGGCTACCTCTGTCCTATTACAACAACTCTCTTACTTCTTACTAGTTTTGTTACACATATTCACTTATACATAGAAGATCTGACCTGAGACTTGGCTAGCAGAATTTCCAAGCCATTTAGAATCTTTGAAAGAGGGCTGGAGAGCGGAAATCTACAAATTCTGTCCATCACCACCAAGAGCTGCAAATTGAAAAAGAAAGATGTTCCTGGCCCAGACTTTCCGAAGTTTGAAAATAATATTATAAAATAACACGCCTCTAAGAAAAGTTAAAACATTTGTCAATGATTTAATAGAAACATAAAACTGGTTTGTGACTACTATGTCTGGCTGGACATAATATTTAATCTAGCTAGTTCATAGTCCATTCCATTCTGTTACTCAAACATTTTAATACAGGATACATCTAAGGAAAATGTAAATGCACTGCCAGCATTCAACAAGTATTAATTATTGTATATTTCCTACTTTTTTTTAAAAAAAAAATCTAAATCTGCTTACCTGGACGAGTACAGGGTGTTCCGGCCAATCTTGCAATAGTGCCTTCACTTCTTTATGAAAGTTTTTGAGCAGAACTTGACATTGTTGCATTTGCTGAATGTTAGGATGGTGATAAAAGTCATAGGGCCCTTCGCTTTTCAAGGCAAGCTCTGAGTTTCCTCTTTCAAAAAGTGTATTCTGCAATATTGTGCTAGCTAGAAGTTGGCTGCCATGAAGATTATCATTTATTTCTGAACCTAAGGTTGCAGAGATCAAGAAGGGGGGGAAAAGTGAGTGAAAGAAAATTACTGTTCCAATAATGAAAAATGAGGGAGAAAATGCAGGTGCCAGATGTCTTGTATGAGAGTTCATTCAAAAGTGAGTGTGCACCACCAGAGCATGCACTTTAAGAAGATGCAACTTTTCCCCATATTAAATGGAAAACAAAACTGCAGATACTCCTCAACTTACGACTACAATTGGAACTGGAATCTTGGTCATTGATTGAAGTGGACTTTAAAAGGTCTATACCAAAATCCAAGCAGGATTTTCAGCTCCAGAACAGGGAAACTTCAAAACCCCTTCCATTCTGGAGTAGAAAATCCTGCTTGGATTTCAGCATGGACCTTTTTAACCAACTTATCCGTTGATTGTCTGGGGGAGGGAAGATTGCAAATGACCACATGATTGCAGGGATTTAACAACTGTTTGTAAGCATGAACAGGCTGCCAAACACCCAGATTACAATCACATAATTGTGGGAGCACTGCAACAGTTGTAATTTCAGAAACAGGCCTCAAGTTTCTTCATCATCAATTCAAATGTTCACTAATTAAATACCGTTTTGTTTTTTTTTGGCTCTATAAGATGCTCCAGACCATAAGACACACGTTAGCTTTGGAGGAGCAAAACAAGAAAAAATAAAAATCTGTCTCTGCCTCCCAGCATCCATCAGTTATTCATCTGGCTAGCATTCTTGTAGCAAACAGCAAACAGCCTGGTCAGTTTCAGCACGTTATCGCAACCTGATTCAGCACAAGTAGCTGATTGGTGGTTGGATCGGCGTCCCAAAATGCTGCTGATCAGCTTTTCCAGGCAGTGGAGATCGCCACTGCTGAACAACGCCACTGCCATTCGGTGGCGACAATCAGTGGCAGAAAACAGTGGCAATTCTCACCACCTGGAACAGCTGATCAGGGGTATTCCAGGAGGCCAATCCAACAGCCAATCAGCTGCTCAGCAGCAAAGGCTCCAGCATTCTCCAATGGCAACAGTGACAGGCAGCAGCAGCAAACACCGCTGCCGCACCAACCCCCCCCTTCTCCCCCTGCAATATTCCCTCCTTAAGATACACAGACATTTCCACCCATTTTTGGGGGTTGGTTGGGGTGGGGAGTGCGTCTTATGGAGCAAAAAGTATGGTAAGGACTATTTATATTTTCTTGCCACAACCATATTGGCAAAATATGATTAAAAATAATGCATTACAAATTATTGCATACAATATAAACAATGAGTTTCCTCTCATTTTATCCCAACAATAATCCTGTGAAAAAGTTTGTGGTAATGGTTCCCTGACATCACTCAGTGTATTCTAAGATCAGGTTGGTGCTTACATCTGAAACTTCCAATTCCTGGCCAGCACTTCACACTACACTCAGTTTGTATCAGTGATCAGCATGCTCTACAGTCTACACAAATAGTTTATGTCCTGGAATCTTCAATAATTCTTCCCCCCAAAAAATATGGAAATTGGGGTTCTTAACTGTGGACAAACCAAAGTGCCCTCTGAAAGAAAAACTACTGAAATCTTCTAACAAAAAAAAATACCAGAGAAAACTTACCAATCAAGGAATAAAAGTGAGCAATCAGGGAGACACCAGTCTGGTAGCAGGAAAGAAACAGGTTCAACTGAAGTTTACTTTGATTGGTTGGTATGTTTTGTTGATACCACAAGGATTGGGCAAAGGAAAGACAAAGTTGCTGATGAACTATCATTACTGTTTTCATTGAGTGATGAGAAAGAAGAATTTTTTCAGGGAGAATTGTGTCTTCTAAAGCAACTTCTGTTTCCATTTTCCCCTCAAGAGTTTCCTGAGCTGTAATATCTTCAAAGTCCTGTTAAGAGTTTTATTAAAACATGTTTAATGCAAATTTATCACATCATGTCTTAAGGTCAGAAATTGACCGTGCATATTGTATACTTCTATACAATTAGGTAGATGTACAAAATGGGACATAATTATAGTTTTATTTTCCATGCAGAACAGGAGCACCACAATGGATTAAGTCTCAGGCAGACTTTTTCATTAGCTGCCTGCCTACCTTTTCATGAAGAGGGAATTTCCTCCTGAACTCTCTCTCTTCCTCCTCTTCCTCACTCAGGCCACTTCCATGGCTCTTGGTCTTATATCGATAAAGACTGTTCTTTTGTTCCTCTTCCTCTTGGGCCTGGCGCTCTTGCTCATCCCATTCATTTATAATTACCTATGAGGAACAAACAAATACGAAGTATACATATGTCCTGAGTTAAGGCACATGGCGGTACAAGACCTTTTCATACAGTAGTTTGGGACAAATACAGTACATTGCAAGGAAAAAACCAACACCGCACATCTCTATTTCTATGGGTATTCCCTTCCTTCATAGGTGGAATGGTAAAAAAGGGAAGGTCTAGCAATATATGCCTCTAAAGGCCGGCAATTGCCATTGTGTCTGCTGCTCTTTCTCTGCACAGATACTCTTTTCAAATAATGTTTCTCTATGTGGGGTGTGGGTGTCTTTTAAATTTTAATCCATCCCACTTTGTAAAATACATTTTAATAGAACAATGTGTATGTCTATGTATGTATGTATGTATGTACGTATGTATGTATGTGTATGTTATTTAGCTTTGTTCAGGTATTTCCCCACGTCTTTATAGTTGTGCTTTTAAAGTTATAGCGACATTTTGGCAGAATCTCATCTGCCATCATCAGGCTTTTGTATTGAGTTCATCTTAGTCGTGTGTGTCAGGCTTTGGCAGCCATTTCTGTTTTAAATTTGGTGCTAGCATTGTGCTTTGTTAGAATGGTTTTTTCTTTATCCTGATTGGTTGGGAGTCTTGGTCTTTTATTGATCTTGGAATTTGTTGCGTTCTGCTTGATTGGTGTTTTTAATGTCTTCTGTCTGTTTTGTAGTTTTTTTTTATCTTGATTGGCTAGCAAGATTGTGTTTTGGGGGCTATCAGCGTGGTTTGACTTCAGGTGAATGGCCGGCTATCTTTTATTAGGAAGCTAGGTTTTATCTGGGTGGCTAGCTGGGGTGTGTTTGGGCTGGAAATATCGGGGGGCGGGGGGGTCTGTTTGTGTCCAGGTGTTTGTTTGGCTTGTGGTGTGGATGTATGTATGTATGTATGTATGTATGTGTATATATATATATATATATATGTGTATGTATTTTCTTAAGTTTTCACGGGTACTTACATGTATGGTATTCAGCTTTGTTTGGGTATTTTCCCACATCATTAGAGCACAACTATAAAAACAACTTTAAAAGCACAACTATAATGACGTGGGAAAATACCCGAACAAAGCTGAATACCATGTATGTGTGTGTGTGCGTTTTCATATATATGTAGGTGTATATGTATGTGTGTTTTCGTGTATATGTATATGTGTGTGTGTATGTGTGTGTATATAGACAGACAGACAGACCAATCGATCTCCATACATGCACACACACACACACAGAGTTTAAAATTGTTGTCTTTTGTTTACCAAATGTTCTCAGTCTCCACTATAACTTACATTTTGGAATAAATCCCTGAGAAAATTAAGATTATTTCCTAGGGTTCTAAAACAAACAAAACTTAATATGTGCTTTGCTGCCCAGGGTCATTACTTTGAGATGGTTGGCCATATAAGTTGTTTGGAGGGATGAATTGATTCAGAGATAGACTGTATAGACAGACAGACATTATACCTGAAACAAATGCCTGAAAAGTAGCAGAGACTTATGGTCCATTCCTCCCTTGAACCACACATGGCACTGGAGATACAATAAAGCATTCACTAGCAGCTGCTCCTGGGTAAGGCATATATTTTCTGCTTTCTCAGACTCTTCAGCAATGTATTTTAGAGATAATCTCTTCAAGCCACGAAGGACGTCCAGAGAGTTCACCGAACACAATGTATCTGCATGGAAGAGGTATGTGGGGAAGGTGCTACCAATGGAAGGGAACGAAAGCAGAGAGACAACAAGGCTTCCCAGTTTGGCTGGACTGACAAAACTGTCAAAGGTGGCCTTATGGACTTCAGAAGCTACCAGCCTCAGGCCGTGCTGCATCTGCAAAATGGCAGCTTGCAGAGGAACGACCACATCGGGGAAGGCGGCATAGTTCTCTGCCAAATGTCTCCTGAACTGATGGTGTGACTGCTGCCAAGCGACTTCTTCATTTAGCAAATTCTGCACCCCCTGAGACACCTGGGACTTGTTTGCACGGAGCAGCTGCAGAAGGCGAGACATGAGATCCTGGACTTTTGAAACCTGGGCAATACTGCCAACGTACTGATGGACTTCTTGATATAAGGACTCAAACAAAGGACTCTGAGATCGAAAGGCTTGCTTCTGGTTAAGTCTGGCAATCTGATCTTTCAGCTTTTGGATTCTTTGGCATAACAACCTGAGAAAGAAGGAGGCACATAAAGATTTAAACCTTATTCCCAATAATACTATTAATGCTACTTGGATAAAATTAAGTATTGTCCAAGTGCTTAATCTGATTGATATTTTTGACTGTTCTTTTTTTTTATTACAAAGAACCCAGACAATTCCTACTGTTTTCTAAAAAAAAAATGCTTTTTAAAATCAATACATCAGACATTATATTAAATGGCTTCTTCTCACAAAAATATTTTCCCTTTTATTCACCAATCAAATGACAACTTAAAAGATCCCAGCAATATAAAAAGAATGCTGACTTGAAACAAAGGCCAAATGGGCTACTTCGGCCATTTGCAATCATTCTTTTGAAGATGGAAATAAGGTGAACGTACAAAGTTCCAGAGTTGCATTGGTTGTTCTGAATCTCAACTGTACCTAATGTGAGGGTGATCGTGACTGCTGACAGGCTCATCTTCAAGATCTTTTCCTGTATGTAACTGAGTGGACAGTCTGTGAGTTTTCCATTCACATTCCAGATGGTGCAGCTGAAAGCAGTAGAGAAAAATTGGCTTGATTAAAATGCTACTTTATTTCAATTAAAACAAAAATGATTATGATATATCAAGAATGTACAGGTGAAGATAGGCATTTCCAAGTCTTCAATCTTTAACAAGACAATTAGACACATCAGACAATTGAAACTATCTAAAACATTATGCTACTAAATACAGTATCTGATTATGAAGAAGAGCTACTGGCTTCAAATTCTGCTATTTTCCATCAAATTGCACAGAACCATCATCTGTTCCCACATTTTATGAGCAAGGGCAATATTTTAAGCTTTGCCTATTTATGTACAGTTTTGCCTATTCATTCTATATGAAAGATTCTGCCCTTGTAATTACTCAAATATTTTTCATCTAGTTTGGAAAATCAGCATGTCTTTATCCTTATTTCTGATAAGTTTAATGTACTTTGCATATTAAATGCTATGCTGCTTTTTTCTCTCTCCATATGATGGCAAATTCCTCCTGTTGCCTTAACATCCATTTGTTTATGTTACCTATTGGTACAGATTAGCCTCTTAAAATTTTGAAATATTGCTGCCATTTAATACATCCAAACTCACTGCAAGGTAAGGAAACGTGCATCAACTCCAAGCACTCACCTCTTCTACTGCATATTTGAGTTTATATTTTCTTTTCACTGCAGGATCAAACATCGTCTGTGGAAGCCAAAGGTAGATTTGCAGAAGACCTAGATTTACCCAGAGGCTACCTCGCTGAGCTGCTTCAGGCAAGTTATGGAACCCTACTTCCTGCCCACAGAACTGCTGAACACAAGTCAGCCAGAGACAAAGGATCTGTTCGGGCATCATCTCTTGAGCACCAACGTCCCTGAGTACTTTGCAAATATACTGAAGGGCCACCAAATCCTTTGAGAACACCTTGTTGCAGTTTCTGAGATATTCCTCTTGCATCTCTACTGGAATCAAATCTTGAAGGGCCAGAAGTTGCTTGTGTAACATTACATACTGAAACCTTGAATCTGTAAGCCTGAAATAAGGAAGACAGAGTTATGAAACAGTGAACTGCAACAGGAGAGGGAATGAAATAACTTGCCACAGCCAACTTGCTGCAGCCAACTCACCCTGGCCAACTCACTGCAGGATTATTCAGTTTAATTATTTAAAGTAAATAAAAAATAATATTTTATTTTTTGCCATTCATATTTCTTTCTGTCCCTCTTTTTGCATCCTTTCTTTAATGATTCTATTCCAACATTTCTCTGATATTAGTGTAACTCTTGTCCCGCAGCAAGTTGTCCTGTGGCAAGATGGCCATGGCAAGTTGGCCACAGCGAATTGTCATACACCCCAGAAGAGATCCAAGAGACAAATATGACTACTTGAGATTTTCAACTGGTCTCCTGTTAACAACAGAGGAAAGGGGCACCATCAACACGTTAACCATCTAAGACATATTTAGAAGTGCTTCTTTTTTTAGAATTAATGATAGCTCTAAGGAATTAAGGATTTAAAGGAACAAAAATGAAGGAACGGTCTTTTTCAATACCTAAATTCAGCCACTGAAGAAAAACCTGCATTGGTCCACAGAACTTTCCTGATCTCCTGAAGCTGTTCGGCTTTTTCTAGGCACGCTCCCAAGGTCACCCTGGAGGCTGACAGAATAGGAAGACCTGTTGTATCCCATTGGCTCCACTTGTTGCTGCTAGTTAGAATTTCAGAGAGGCACTTGGAGAAAACTGCTCGATTCAAAATACCCACACCCTAAATTAATAAAAATCAAAATGTACGTTTAAAACACTGATAATCATATAACATTTAGAGGTTAAGTCCACAACCTTAAGGCTAACTGTAGTCAAGGAGAGCTAATATGCATGGCCTTCTGTCCTGACACCCCAAATGTAGCAAATCCACTTTGTCTCATACATACTATTTCCTATGGAAGATAATAACAAAACTGTGGTCAAAGAAACTATTACAATGGAAGAAAGGAGGCTCTTCCTGATGTCCTGATCATTAATATATAAATTGGAAAAAGGAGAGAGCGTTATTCCATTGCACTCCCAATTTTTCCAATCAGTGGTTTTCACTGGCCAACTGCACTGAAAAATCACCAGATATAAGAAAAAGGAACAGCAAGGTGTAAATAAGGATTATTGTTAGAAATGACTTCTGTACCAAATTATCAAGAGATAAATGGTGCATTAACTGATCAGGAGCACAAAATAGAAAAAGAGACCTGGACATAAGAGGTTTCAAAAATGAACCAGCTGTAAATATTTTTCTTAAAAGTGGATTCAAGTCTAACAAGTACTACAGCATCCAATCCAAGGAAATGAGAACACTTTTAATTCCTATAAACTAGTAGCAAGCACGTTTCTAATTTGAACCTTCTAGCATAAAAGTAGCAATTATACACAATTAAATTTTAGTAAAATGTCTATCTGTAGAAAGCTATTTAAAATAAAGGAACCACAAAAACCAGTCCAATAGGGACAGAATGAAAAAAGATAAAGGTTTCCTTGTCAACCACGTCTGCCTCTGGGGGCAATGTTCATCTCCGTTTCTTGGCCGAGGGAATCAGGGTTGTCCAAAGACAATTTCCATGGTCAGGTCAGGTGGCCAGCATGGCTATATGCAAAGTGCATGGAATGCTGTTACCTTCTCATCAAAGTGGTACCTATTTATCTATTTGCGTTTGCATGCTTTTGAACTACTAGATGGGCAGGGGGTGGGGCAAGGAAGAGGAGCTCACCCCGTTGCACGGAGCTTGGGTCTTTGTTATGATAACAAAGCTTGTCTATTACTTTAGTTTAGGTTACTTTATTGTCATTGCACCTTGTACAATGAAATTAAATGCCATCTTCAATGTACATTGTAACTATAAAAATAAAAAATAAACACACATCCTTCGCGTGTATACAATTGAATTGAAAACCCCTGATATTGCATTAATATTGCACAATACAGTAGAATTCAATATAGTTACTGTCTGAATTATTTCACGTACCCTTTTGAAAGAATAAACTGCTATAATTTAACTACCCTTTTGAGAACATTATACTTTCCCACACAAACCTGGATAGAAGAATTCATTAATGAGCTGGATATCGTCTTCTCTTCCACAGAGAATGGCTGCCAGGACAGCCACCGCTCGGGACTTGTAGTTACTGTGCTGCTCCAGAAAGCCTGAAAAGCAGCAACAGCAAGTTCTGACCACAGAAGTGAAATTTCATCAGCAGAGACCTAAAATGAAAGATAAAAAGGCAAAGGTATTAACAACTTCTAAAATCATGCTGGAGTTTTAAAAATTAATACTCCAACCAATTGTGGAAAATGTCTGAAAATGTTACTTTTCGGAGCAAGTGGGGGCCACCTGTGAACTATCATGTATGTACGCTATATTTCATCAACTTTCAACACTGGCTGAATTAGGCAGGTCTAATAGCCTAGACAGGGTGTCAAACTCAAGGCCAGTGGACCGAATCCAGCTCACGGAGTGCTCAGATTTGGCCCACGGGGCCACCTTGGAAACAGCAAAGGACCAGCTCCCAATGCTCCTCCTAGCAAAAACAGAGCTCAGGAAGGCTGTGCACAGTGGCCCTTTTGCTGGCAGAGGGCTGCAGGAGGCAGTCACAACCAAAAATTGAGCCTGGAGGTCTGCGCAGGACCCCCGGAGCTCCATTTTGCTGGTGTCCCCAATACAAATGATGTTGAGCTGGCCATGACCATGACCACGCCCCCACGGTCAAACACAACCCTGATGCGGCCCTCAATGAAATCGAGTTTGGCACCCCTGGCCTAGAATCACAAACATCCAGAAAGTAATTTGTTGCCTCCATCTCTGACCTAGGGAGAATCTGGTATGGCGGTGGTGACATTTAAGGCAACTGTCGTGCTCACAATGATTCAAGCTTAAAGTTTAAAACTATGGTCCTTTACAAATAGGAAAATAAATCTATTTCACTTAAAGGACAAATACAGTCAGGAAAAAAGAATCAAATGGGCCGTTTATGTACAAGTAGTCCTTGACATATGACCACAATTTCAGTCATAAATCAGGATAGTAATAAAGCATGCCCTATGGCCATGCCTGATTTTACAACCTTTTTAACAAACATGGCAATTGTTAAGCAAATACCATAGTCATTAAGCAATCCCATTATTCGCTATAGGGCGTTTTGTGCTGGAAACCAGAAGTAAATGATGGTTTCTAATAAAAACATTGTAAATTACAGTAAACAGATGGCCATAAATGTGAGCTGGTTGCCCAAAATGTGGTGGATACTTAGTTTGTTTTTTACTCTACAGTGAGTCTGATTAACACATTTCAAGTTTCCTTGTAGCTTCTACAAAAGAAAAGGAATTTCTGTCAGAGTATATTCATGAACTGGAGTACAGCATGGTAACAAGGTCAGCCAATGAATAGGCATAGCAATGAAGTCAGCCAATGAGAACTGTTTGGAAACTGAAACTAGAAGTAGCCTAGGAAACTGAAACTAGAAGTCGCCTAGGCGTGGCTCTATATTAAGCTCTGCAGCTCTGAAGTTATGTTGAGATCAGAGTCTGTTTATTGAAGATGAAACTGCTTCTCACCTCTGCTGTGCGTCTTGCTTGCCTGCTGAACTAAAGTGAAACTGATGTCTGTTTCTGAGTTCGTGAGTTGTTGAAGTTACTTGCAACATGTTTCTCTTTGAGTTTGCTCCATGTTGGAGAAAACTACAACTGGTTTGTAAAATCTACTTATTATGTTTATAAAGATGTTAAATGAAGCATCAGCCATCTGTGTTTATTTTTCTTGTGCTGAATTATCGCTGCAAAACTGAATAATTTCTCCACACAGTTAAAGATGATGAAATAAATTAGTTTTGTGTTTGAATATCATGCAATCATTTAAAAAAGGGAAGGAATTTATTCAGCGCCAATGTGTTGTTTTTACCTTATAACAGTCGAGTAGATAATAAAGTCCTTGAAGTTGTTGAGAGGTAGCTGGTGTCAACTGAAGGCAAAAAGCAATAAAGGGCCTTATTTCTGAAAAGGTGTTTAACGGATCCTTGTTGCTGCTCCTGAAAATAATGAGAAAAGCAGCTACTGAATCTTAGCTGTTTGTCTGAACACACACATACCAAAGCACAGCAATAATGAGAAAGGTAAAATCTACGATAAAATTACCAAAATATATAAGTAAACATTCAAGACAATTTGGATGTTCAAAATAGTTTAAACTGTGTACATTTCAGGAAATCGGGCCACAAAATCGGCTCCATACAAGCGCCTTACATTTCTGCTAACAGAATTTAAGCTTAAAAAACTCTACCTATTTATAAGTCAAGCTTTTTGGTAGCAACAGCGGTCTATTGAAGCTTTTAAGTATGGGTCATATTATTCTAGCACCGGTACTCCTTGGGTTACAACCACCCGTTCAGCAACTGTATAAAGTTACAATGGTGCTGAACCATTGAATTTACAACCTGTCCTCCAAGTTGCAGCTGTCCCTAGAATCACACGATTACAATTTAGTTACTTGGCAACCAGCTATTACGACAATGTCCCCTGGTCATGTGATCACCATTTCCAATGTTCCCTGCCAGCTTCCCACAAGAAAAGTCAACGGAGAAGCCAGTGGGAGGTTGCAAATTGCAATGATAAGTCTCCCTGCTGCTTCCCCCCCTACCCCCAAAGAGGTCCCAGGTGGCAGGATGAATTTAGGCTCTGGGCAGGTAAGGGATTGCCCGCTGGCCACTCCTAACAGGCCACAGCTTTGCCTGCATGACTACCACACTGCAACATCCATTGGCACTTGTACAGCAACACCCACCCTCTCACTATAGTACCCACCCTCATGATTGTGCTCACTTTGCCTGCAGTACCCATCCACATACCTGCCCACATTTGCTCTGTAACACCCACCTCCACATCTGCCAACACTTGCATCACAACACACTCATCCACCCGCGCCTGCCCTTATGCCACCCCATAGCACACCCCCGTATAAATAGTGTCACCTCACAGTGCAGCATAGTCCCACCCCACAGGCATTCTCAAGCTCAGCTGTAGCATAAACACACGGGGACCGTAACACACGCTCACCTGCCACTGTACTTGTGAGCTGCCTAAGAAAGGCATGTTGTGAGTGGGACTTGCAACGTCCTGCTGGCTTCCCCATTGATTCTGTTTATTTGAACCTGGCAAGAAGTTGCAGGTCATGGTGACACGAGGTCCTGGTGTAATAACTCATGATCCTTGCTCAACAAATGGAAATGACTACTGAAATTCTTGTTCCAATTCCTGCTGTTAAGCAAGGATTGTCTGTAAACAGCTGTTTTCACTGAAGGACAGACTTTAATTGAACCCACAACTAGTTGGTCTCTGACTCAGAGAAAGAACAGAATGCTTGGGAGATTTTCGGCAACATAAGTGTCATGGCTTTCTATGACACCTATGTAGTCTGGGTAGAGATGAGGTGTGAACACATGAGATAAAATGCCGAGACCAAATTCAGACAGAAGTGCTTTCCCTTTCGTTGTATAATAAAAATTTTGCATTGTGAATTTTTTTTAAAAAATGGAAAAAGCAAAAACCAATCCCTGATTACTCTCACAGTACCACAGCAGTGGTAAAGGCAACACTTACACTCCAGACAATAAAACGGACCCTCACCTTTTTAAATAAACCTCAGCAATACAATCACAGGTCAGCTTGTACTGCCACAACACAGCCAGATACTCCATTCCAGGCCACAATTGTACTCGGTTACACAGCTGAGTTAACAAAGCAGGGTCCAGTTGCTGGCTTTCAGCAGGCTTCTCTTCATGTGGGCTAATTAAAGCTCCGGCTTCTTTTAGCTTTGACTGCTGGAGATTCACCAATGTCTGAAATTCATCTGTAAGAGGAAAAAAAAAGATTTTCAACCAAATGCAACCAAGACTTTCTCTAAAAAAAAAAAAATTAAACAGAAAAGAATTTTTTGAATAAAAATAGCACAGATTTGCAAGAGATTTAGACTCCAGGACTAATTTACCTGAACAAAACTCTTTCGAATAACTGGCGCGGAAGACTAGGCCTTGAGCTTGAAGTAACACTGCTTTTACTTTCCACTCTGTAGCAACTGTTCTCAATATACAAATCTCTTTCTGCCACTGATCATCTCCAATGACAGGCTTCAGCTCTGGGACATGAAGGGCTTTGGAGAGTCTCCTGAGCTGGACCGCAATTTCCAAGATTCCTTTTTCCTGTACAAGTTGAGCGATAGTTAAAAACAATGTAAAAGAGTGGCAACTCTAGCCTAGAAATTTGAATTTTTCCTCCCCATTTTTCAATTAAAAAGAACACCCCATTATTTAGGCTGAATGTGTGCATTAAGACAGAAGGAAGAGGAGGGGGATTTTGTACACATGGATTATAAATGATAGAGGCTCCCACCAAAATTGCTGCATTTATATGATTTCAACAAAGAATAGAGGGAACTTTCTGCTTGTGTCACTGGAACTGAAGAGGAAAATGGGGTGCGTGCTGGGGATGGGGAATCCATGAACTTCTAGAAGGTATACTAAACTCCCACCAACCTATGGGTCTATGGCAACTCACAGCAGCCAGGTGGGCATGGCTGGGTGGGCGTGGCTATGTGGTCGCAGCCAGCTCAACACAACTGGGTGGGCGTGGCCAGCTCGACACCGCTCACTCAGAGCAGCTGACTCAGTACAGCCAAGTAGACATGGCTGGGTAGGCATGGCCAGGGTAGGTGCAGCTGGGTTGGCATGGAACAAGTCACACTGGCTAACTTGATGTGAGAAAACTCAGTGGCTCACAAGCTCGCCTCCCCAAACTGCCAACAGCCAAGTGCTTGTGCGCACACATACACATACACACACACCACATTCCAAGTTTGCGGACTTTTATCCACAGAAGAAGGAGAATTCCTTCTTCCCAAGCCCAGGCATGATTGGCAGCTTGGCAGCTCAGATGTGGATGAAAGTCTCCAAGCTTGGAATGGTGTGTTTGTGTATGCATGCATACGCACAGCATGCCGAAGGAGATGTTCTTCTTCCAATCCTAATCCAAGCACTGGCATTTCCCCTGCCTGGTGCCCCCTCAAATCTTTCAAGCTCAGATTGATTTAATTGAGGGTCTTTGCTGCTGTCTCAGCTTGGTTGTTTTCTTGAGGGCATTTCATTAGTCAAACTAGGTAAATCATCAGTTCTAGTCAATATGGGCTGGAAAATTTTATTTAATTTTTTTTAAAATCAATGTAACATAGTTTTTAAAGGTTGCTTTTAAAAACATATATGGTTAAGTTAAAAATACATACAAATACATACCTTGAAGGGAAGAGGTTTTCCCAAAGTCTTCTGTAGCTTTTTAATGCTGGTGGAAATACCCTCTGGACTAGCAAGAGAAGACTGCATTTGCTGTGATACAGACTGAATTTCCTTGGACAACCTTGAAATGGACAAACAATTATTTATACAAACATTTCAGAGGGGAAGACTGATCGTTAAATCACCCATGGGTGTTCTGTATCAACCTTCACGAACTTGGTTGAGAATTCTAAAAACAAATATCTAACAAGTTGGGAAAGACTAATATATTTATGCAGTTGCCTATAATAAGTTTATGAGTAGGACACTGGCAGAAAGCGCATGGACAGGCAAATTTGCATTTAAAAGCACCTAAGCCATAAATGAGATAATCATACTTTTATCTAGCATGTTGTGCAAATCCAATTTATTCAGCTATTTTGTTTTATTATGCGAATCCACCAAGTGGGTTAATTGCATAAATCCACATTCGATTAACCAGGGGTTTAGGGTTTCATCAGAACATAGCCTAGTACAGGGGTCTCCAACCTTGGCAACTTTAAGCCTGGAGGACTTCAACTCCCAGAATTCAAAGCTGGATGGGAATTCTGGGAGCTGAAATCCACCAGGCTTAAAGTTGCCAAGGTTGGAGACCCCTGCACTAGTGGAAAGGAAGACTCCTGGAAAAGCTAAATAGTACTATGGAAAATTACAAAGCAGACATACTTTTGCTGTTCATATCCGCTCAGAAGCTGAGGTACTCTGCTGATTAAATGTTTCACAACCCAGTGCCAGTGGAGAGACAAGAGCATCAAGCCAGGAGAATCTAAAGCCACCGTTTCAGATGTTGTCCAAAACCTGTCACGCCACAATAAGCTTTGTAGAATCTAGAAGCAAGCCAGGGAGAATACGTTTTTTAAACGCAGTAGGGGCTCAGGTGAAGAATTAGCATTTTCATGTCAGGAAATATCAATATCTTGTTTTGAAAATGATAAGAGGAAAAAGCAGACTTCCATGTCTACCCCCCTCACATTCTTAAGCTACTCTCATGAAGAACAGTTTTGTAGGAGAGACAAAGACAATTTCTGTGGTTCTAATGAGACGCTAGAAGAAATTCTTACCTTCCAAGCTTATGACAAAGATATACTACAGATAGTTCTCAACTTTAAAAGTCAATTTGGAGCAGAATTTTTGTCACTAAGTAATGTGATTGTAAAGTACGATTGCATCTCTTAATGATGGCACACCATGCAGTTTTGGTTATGGGTACCCCACGATTGTTAGGTGAGACATCTTCCTGCTGGCTTGCCATAACCAAAGACAGTGGGGAAGCTAGCAGAAAAATTGCCAAGTCCCATGTCCACAGGCAGGTAAGTGGAGGAGGAAGCAAGGTGATGGCCACATGAAGCATGGGATGGAAAAGGTGTGCAAGGGTGTGTAAGTGTCCACTGCAGCATGATACTAGAGGAGTTGGGGAAGGGTGAATGGGCAGGGGGAGGTTACCCCAGTGACTTACAACTTTCCCTGTCAGCTTCCCCATTGATTTTTAGGGGAAGCCCACAGGGAAGGTTACAAATAGTGATCACACAATTGTGGGACACTTGGCAACTGATCGTATGTGTAAATGAGTTGCCAGGCACACAAAATTCCCAGGGGACAGCCAAAATTCCCAGGATCAGTCATAACCCCCATTCATTTAATACTGTCATAACTTGGAATAGTTATTGATCAAATGGTCACAGATTGAGGACTACCTGTATTATCAAAACACAATAACAAAAATTGAACATACCAAAGCTATGCTCAATTTTAAACGAAAGTATCTGAAGCTAATAGGCAGCAAATCTAAGCTATATTAATGAAATTAATTCGAATTCTTTTAACAACACTTGATCCTTTGTAGCAAAAATCTGTTTAAGCCAGTGGCCCCCAACCCTTTGGGCACCAGGGACTGGCTTCTGTGGACAGAGGTTTTTCCACAGACCAGAGTGGGGCATGATATTGTGTGCTGCCTACATCCCACGGATGAGGTTTTCGCTTGTTTGAGCGAACCGGTTCCGTGGACTAGGAGTTTGGGACCTCTAATTTAGAGCAAGTATCTTAAAAAAGCACTATGGATAAATCAGCTGGGGGGGAGGGGATAATACGGGACCAGAATGAAATACAAGATTGTACTTTTAGCTCAAAGGTTAGAAAATATCTATATTGCCTACTTACTTCATATAATTTCTCATCAGACACAGCAACTTGTGTAGATTTCACCCAGTGCAGTACGAAAGCATCCCAAAGTTCAAAAAAGGCAGCAAGGTGGGCCACAATAGCATGTGGAAGTGAGCTGTGGTTGCCAGAATCTTTTAAGTTCAAAAGATAAAATTAAGCCAAAGAAAATATGTACCAATATCCAGTACAGGTTGCATTAATAGTACATTATTCAACCCATGAGTAGCAGTTAACGAAACACTGAAGATGTCTGCAACCTGTTCTTCTGAATTCTTTGTGGAAAGTTAATATCGTTTATAAATGTAGTATTCTTTTTCTCAGAAAATTACTGAATGTAAAGTGCACAAAGCTTGAGTTGTACATTCAGAGGCAGAAAATGCAACCACCACTTCTTCCCACCACAGTTTGGGTGCATTCCCTAGAGTTCTTCAAAAGTTGCCACCAAACAGTAATTTTAAATCTGGTAAGAGAGGGACATTAATGGCTAGACAAAGACAAATCTTATTAACTACATTTAATTATTCTAGTTTAAATTAAACAATTTCTATCTTTTTTTTTCTTTTTAGTTCCATAAAAAAACTTTAAGATATGAAATTTTATAAAATTAAACCTACATGCAACTATAGCTTCTTTATTTGTTTTATCCATTATAATTAAAAGAAATGGTAAAAAGAAAATGGCTGAATTTTCGCTTATTAAAAGCAGAAGCATAACATATACCTTTATAGAACTCTACAGACACCCTCAAAGCACTAGTTCTGTTTTTTTTGGTGTTAATCAAACTTCTTTCAACATAACTTTTTCTTTCCCGGTTCAGAAACAGGATTGCCCTGTAATTACAATACAATACACAACAAATGTCACTAACATAATACCAAATGTTCTAAGATACCACCACAATAAAATGGACCATGCCAACTGATTTATAATTTTTAGATGGCAACAGGAGATTAGAAATGGGAGGATATTATTCTTTATGCAATAGTCAACAGTAATGAAAAGTGATATATGAATATTGGAGGGTTTATTTTAAAACAGGAACATGCGTTCCCTCATAAATGATGTGAGGGATTCAGAAAAAAGTAATAGAACCCTATATTATTAAAAGTATGAGAATATGGAAAACTGATTATAGAGGTTTTTTGGACATGTCTCTCTCTCTCTCTCTCTCTCTCTCTCTCACACACACACACACACACACACACACGCAGAGTTATGGCGAGCTTTTAACTCTTCTAATAAAAAAAAGTGCTCATACAATTAAACTCACCGATTTGAAAGTGATTTTAGAAGGACAAGCAGCTGATCTGAGTGTTCTATTTCTGTATCAAAATCGACTGAATTGCTAATCGTATCCAAGTACTGCATGTTCCATCTTGGATCCATAGGAATCACATGCTCATCTATAAAAGATAAATGGACAGTGAGAAGACTGGTATGCTTATTTATGATCTCTTTAATAGATACTGTGAGGTAGACACAGTCTATTGAATGAGAATTCAAATTATGTCTGTAATTATATACTGAGAAGTAAAAAGCTTAAGAACAAAACAGAAAACAAATGTATTTTACCTGACATTTAATTACTTCCTATGCCTAGTGTCAAAGGAAAATTTTTTTTCCAAAAAAATTCTTCTATCCCCCAAATTTAGCTCAATTTTCTCTTCACTTACTTTTTACTAGAATATTCAGAAAACAGTTCTGAGTGGTGTGGTGGCCTAGAGGTGGAGCTCTCACCTCACAATTAGGAGACTGAGTTCAATCCTAGGTAGTGGCAAATATTTATTTCTGGGCACCTGAAAATATATCTGCTGAATACTACTCTGCATTGGCAACAGGCAGGTCATCCGGCCAGTAAACACTCAGCTCCATTCAGTTGCCCAGACTCCACCCCGCAAGGGATTATGCAGTCATTAACAGGATTAGGATGATTCAGACAATGGTTATAAAGCTTTGAAAGTCCCATTCTCGTTTCTTTAGCATTCATTATCTGAAATCTTCAAGAGGAGAATACATACAAAATACTGTGCAGGGGAAGGGAAATCATCTTACCGGTCATATTTGGCTGCAGCATCTTTATTACATTGCTAATTCCACTTGAGAGGGGGCTGAAGTAGAAATTATTCAGAGATGCAGCACCAGCTTCTAGTTGAGTGTACACAGAATCTGTAGAGTAGAATTGTAAGCTTAGGCTGAGATCAAGATGCCCACCAACTTCAGTCTCAGGTTTGAGTACAATATGAGCTTCTGTCCATGTATGTGTATACAGGTGGTCCTTGATTTACAACAGTTCGTTTAGTGACCATTCAAAGTTAAAATGGCACTGAAAAAAGTGACTGAGGACCATTTTTCACAGTTACCACCTTTTTCAGCATCCCCATAGTTGTGTGATCAAAATTCAGATACTTGGCAACTGGGTCATATACATATGATGATAGCGGTGTTCCAGGCTCACGCGATCCTCTTTTGTGACCTTCTCACCAGCAAAGTCAATGGAGAAACTAGATTCACTTCACAACCAGGTTACTAATTTTAAGAACTACAGTGATTCACTTAACAACTGTGGTGAGAAAGGTCGTAAAACGGAGCCAAACTCACTTAACAAATGACTCACTTAACAACCAAAATTTTGGGCTCAATTGTTGGCTTGAGTCTAGAAACTTTTGAGGTGATGTGGAATGGACTCTTGGGCAGTTCAGGGCTAAATCAGATTTTGACTTTAAAGTGGGGAAGATTAGGGATTTTGCTGTTAAGGAAATGACAACAAATATGGAGAAAGATGCAAATATACCCCTCTATGTTTACTTTTATTCTGACTTTATAAACTTTCATTACATTTAGAATGGGAAAAGGAGGAACGAGACAAGGAGATAGGTATCGATTATTTTTAAGGAAGCAGTTGATGGTTTATATAGTGGCTGAACAGTAATACTGGTATCAACTAAATTCTGTACAGGTAGTCCTCATTTAGTTCATAATTGTTCATAATTACGATAGTGATGAAAAAATAACTTTGCAACATTGCTTTTATGACTTTCACAGGTCTGTAAAGAAAAGAAAAGCTGAAATCACATCTTAAACATAGTGTGGTTTCACTTAGTGACTATCACACTGCAGTGGCCAATCCCAGTGGTGGTCACTAAATGTGGACTACCTGTATACTTGAAAGAGACAATGAATGCAGAGGCGGCATTAGACGAGGCAACCCCGGAACAAAACCTTTACCTGAGAAGGAAGGATTCAGAAAAAGAAGACCGCTTTCCTCATAAGCTTTTTAGTGAAAAGGCTGCAATTTTTTTTGCTGCTGCATGAAAGTCTGTATTATGGAAGTTTTCAATGTCCACTGACTAAGTAGAGAGCTTAGGGGAAAATTCAGGTATTGTCTTTTTGTCTGAAACTGTTCGCCTGCACTGGAGAGAAACTGCAGCTGCCTTGCTATCCCTCTCAAGTGACAGAACCAAAGTTGACTGGAGTTGCCAGCACACACTCTGCACTGATGTGCTGGGGAGACTCACAGCAGGAGCAGCTCCCAATTTTCCTCTCACACATCTGACCTTCTGTGTTTTTTGTTTGTTTGTTTTTTGGTGCTTTTGTTAAAGAGAGGCTCTCATGCTGGTGTTATGAGAAGGAAAAAGATAAAACACCAACCTTTCTTTTAAAATACCTCTGATAATGCAAGCAAGGCAGGAAAAATAAGGGAATTTCCTTTGATTTTTTTTAAAAGGATGCCTGAAAAGGAAACTTCCCAAAAATGGAATTTATGTTTTTAGAAAAAATGAAAAATTAGAAAGGAGAAAAACTAAGTTGCCTGGCTTGTACATAATGTTAAATCAGATTTATTTTGCCTGGCTGTATTTGCCAGAATATACGAATTCACTCCATTTGATAATACTTTACTTGTTTGTTCTAGGCAGCAAACTATCAGGGTAATATCCATCCATCCACGGATACAGGCAGTCTTTATGCACTACAAACATTGCCATCAGCTTTTCTTCAGCAGAGGGTAAGAGCTGATACTTACCAGGTACTTCGGCTAAATTCTTTTTTATCTGATTAAGCCATCCAACTCTCAGGGTCCAGTCTTGATTGGTGGCTTTTTCTATGAATAACTTAACAGCTGCAGAAAGAACTTCTAAATCATCTGCCCAGGACTCATTCATCTCTACTGCAGCAAATTTGAGACAATCTGAATTTGAAGACCACAGAATTTTCTCAAAGTCACGTATATTAAGAGGAAGTGTCCTGAAACAGAAGTTATGGTTTTTTAAATAAAAAAATAACAATGCAGTACAAAGGACACATCGTCATCTGTATATAAATGGCAAAGGCCTGCAAGAGACATTTCTCCTTAACAGTGGGTTTCTTCAATGGCACACTTTCCCATTGCAATTTCTCTCAATTTGATGATGCTACCCAAACCTTCAGAGCTAGGTGGGGGAATGCCCAGGAGGAGAAATCCTTTTGGTCAGTGATGAAGGCATAATGTCCAACGGGCAGGAATTACTGCATAGAGCCAAATTAGATATTACTTTATATTAAATGGTTAGAAGCAAATAGAGCTTTCAACCCTTTGCATCAAGATTTGAGACCTAATCCTTAATTACATTTTGCATTCAAACAAAATGCTTAGTTACAATGAAGAAAGAGAAACCCTGATGAGAAACAATGTGTGTACATGGCTAAAAGTAGTCACAAGCTTTAATATTATCTGTATTTTGTTATGATCCTACATTAAAAGCACATCTTCACATCTAATAGACGACAACCATATGTGAGGAGAGCCTGAAGGATACCAATTTCCCCTTTTCCTTGATAGCATCCTTTCCGGGCATCTCTGCATGCAACTATCCAGGCAGAAGGCTCTGTCATGCCTATAGTTAACCACAGAGGCTTACAAACTGAGCTAAAACATCACTTTGAAGAAGACTCTGCATTTGAAACATTCACCCAGACTCCACCACCACCCCATTCCTATTCACACCTAAGCTCTTATCTGAGTGCATTGGCATGGCTTCCATATTTATATGGTGATCTCCCGAAGCAGGATCTGAAACATGTATTTCATTGTCACGTATGCATTTAACAGAATTAATATTCCATTTTAAGTACACTTCAGCACTGGTGCGAAGGAAGGCTATCATTTCAGGCAGAAGAGGACCAATGACATCAGCCTTCCCTGTTTTCTCATCACACACTCTTTGGAAGAACTAATTATCCTATGTTCCAAAACCTATAGTTACTTACTTACTTATTTGGTGTATGGCATACAGTGTCAGGGAAACCTACAAATGCTAGACACAATGCAGTCCTGACGGTCTTAAGTTTTGTTGTTGATAGCTTTGTTGAAGTACATCTCTCAAATCTGAAATGTGGCTATTTATGAGAAGCCTTGAAGATACTTTTAACAATGTGATAACATACACTCAGAAGATGCCTGTGTGCTAAATTGTCAACCCTCAATCTTTGAATTAGCTTTATTTAGACAGAGAGGAAAGATAAAACTATGATTTCATTTGGTATACATTTAACGTGTTTAAAAATTGAGCTGTGATATTTTCTATTAAGATGTAACACATAATTCTCTATGATTTTAAAAAAATGCTTACCTTTGTAGTATTTCTTTATCTTTGTTTCACCTTGCTTTGCTTTGCTTTGCTTTCTATTTGCTACCTGTTCAGTGGCATTCTTTAGGATTCTTAAATATATAGTTTTGGTGGAATTGTGTACAGGATTTAGAAGTTCTGGTGATCTTCTTTTTGAAGAAAAATTCCAGCTAGTTTCTATACAGCAGGAGTGTCCAACCTTAGCAACTTGGTTGGTTGGGAAATTCTGGGAGTTGAAGTCCTCAAATCTTAAAGTTTCCAAGGTTGGACACCCCTGCTGTAGAGGAATTGGGGATGGGGTTTTTTTTTCCTTCAGAACCAGCAAATGATCCTCAACCAGAATTAATTCACCTGGGAATGTTAACCCCCAATTGTCAAATAAAACATTTCTTGCCCACCTGTTGCTTTTTAGGTTCAGTCTGTTCAGGCAGTAGGCTAGGACTTGCCCATCACTATGAACTGTAGAAAGGAGAGAATCTTCAGCTGCAAAGACAGCACTGCAGGCCGAATCTGGCCATAATCCCAAGGCAAGGAGAGAAGTGTCCTTTGTTTCGTCTGACTCCAATGCTGAAACATGCTTCATTATCAAATCAAGCACAAGCTAATGTATAAGGACACACAAAAGAATGCAAAAGAAGAGGTTATACAAGACTTCCTCTATTACGAAGTATAAAAAACAAAACTGCCTTCACTGCACTCTGTGCAGATCAAGAGTTACATAACAATACTTCGACACATACACAACTCCTCTGTAGTTTCTTACTATCACTGATGATGTTACCTAGTTTGGTAATGAAACATCTGCAAGAAGATAATCAAGCTTGCAAAATCTCACCCCTCTTCCCCTTTGCAGTCATATTATCGCATTCTGATTGCTTGGCAAGTTGGTCACGCTTATTACTGGTTTGCCAATATATTTTTAGTATTTGCAGGCTTGCTGTTTGCTCTCTGCTGGATTCCCCAGAAAGTCAATGGGTGAGCTGGTGGGGAGGGTGTGTGTTAAATGAACGAGTTCCACGCCAAAGATTTCAGCTCTATGCAAGCAGGCATGGAGCTGAAATCCTTCATGTCTGCTTACGTGAAGCTAAAATCCTTTTGTGGCGAATTTTGCAGTTCCCAGTGATGAGGAAATGAACCCCAAGCAGGATTTTCAGCTCCTGAGCAAAGACAGCACAATAAAGTAAGAAGGGCAGGTGCTTGGTGGGCGGGGGGGGGGGGGGGGGGTGGCATGGGAAAGATGTAGGCCACATAACAGTGTTTCTCTACTCGGGCTGGAAATTCGGTTTGGATTTTGGCAGGGAGGATTTACAGCTCCCCAGTGGAGAGACCCAGCCTGCATCGGGTCCCCTTGGGTCTCCTCCACCTCCCCTGAAGCGCACCAGGTTCATTACCTAGGACTTTGTCCACTTAACAAGATCCCTTAACAACTACAACCAGAAGTGCTGAGATTGCAGTAGTTGAGTGAAACAGTCACATGACATCTTATTTAATGACTGCTTCACTTGATTAATGACTAAGATTCCAGTCTCAATAGTGGTTGTAACTCAAGAATTACCCCTATTATTATTATTATTCAATTTGAGATCTCAATAATTCATTATAGATTTAATATTTTAGAAGAGCTAGTCAGAGGAGGTCAATTTCTTAGATTCTAAGAAGTAGGGATAAATTCATGAAACACATTTTAAAGTATTCAGCTGATCCAATATACTGCACAGTCTTAAAAGCCTAGTACATTTTAAGATGGATTCAAGTTATTTTAAGAAATTTTGGCTGCTACCTACTTTGGGATATATTTTAAATAAAAAACAAATTCTGCTTCCTTGTCCAATGTCTATGCTTTCTTATTGCATCCATTTTTTGTCAGGTGCCTCAGTGTATGAGAGTTAATGTTTGTGAAAAGATGAAATACATTTTAAACGAGTAAATTCTTTGTTTTTCTTCTACAAACCAGATTATACCTGAAAGCGGATTACCTTTTTGTCCTTTTGGGTGTGCTGTGTAGATGCATAAACCTCCCAGCATGCTTTATAGAAACTCTTTGCTAAACCAAGTCCTTGGTGTAATCGCTGCACAATCAGTGTGGCAGTATGGATCAGAGTTGAAAGACTATATGTAGAACCTGAAAAGCAAAATGTCACCATCTGGTAAGCATGTATGCATTTGATGAATATTTGCATTAAGTATACAGAGAATTGTAACTATTTACTGTCAAAGTGGTAAATTACATGGTTTTTTCTTTGTTGTAATTTTTTTAAACTTTTTCTTTTAAAGCACTTTTATGTGGTTGCTTTTCTCTTTTCTTTGCAAATATATTTCTATCATAATTATCTTCATGTTTTGCTCTTCATCCTTTTTGTTACTGTTTTAAAAGCAATATAAACAATTGTTTCAATTCTGAACAGCAAAATAAGTAACTTGATTGTCCATTTGGAAATGTTGGAAATGCAATCAAACTCCGGGCGCATATTATCACGTGTGGTGGACATGTCCAAAAGCAAAATAAATTTGGACAAAAATACATACATAGTTAGAAAAAATGTTAAGGTAGCATATAGACTACAAACCACAATTATTTTTGTTAGGTATAATACCAGAAAAATATGATAAAGGAAATGTATATTTAATATTACATGTTTTAACAGCAGCAAGAATTGTACTTGCGCGATACTGGAAAAACGAGGAAACGCCCACGGAAGAGATAATTAAAAAAAAACATTAGTGTGCAGAAATAGGCAGACTAACAATGAAGATAAAAGAAAAAGAAGACTCAGAATATTTTCAAATCTCAAACTCATTTTATCAATGGTTAGATAATACAGGTAGAAATTAAGAGTTTAATATTGCTATGTAAACAAACTGACCCAGAGAGTACACTGTTCACCAAGAACTTATTGTATACAAAGAGAAAATATATAAATAAAATTAAATTTTAAAAAGATTATGTCCTTTTAAATTGGTTTTGATTCTTTTAACAACTACCACATAGCTATAATTTCTCCAGGAGGATCTGTTCCCCAAACTATTTAATTCTTCCAATGCTGTGCCCATTGCCCCTGGGTGGTTGTCCTTTTCTTCCCTTTCCTTCCATCTTTTCCAGCATTATAAACAAACCATTGAACCTGGATATTTGCACTAAAGTGAGAACTCCGCATTGATTAAAAGCTTATACAATGCACTTCACACTCTGGTCATTTTAAAGAACCCTCAAACACGTATCTAAAGAGAAGAAATTTATCCATCCTCTGTCAAGTTACGATATGCGCATCTCACCTGCTAGAGTTTCCTTGGCTTCTGTGTGCACAGCTATGAGCGTATCACATATGCCATTTCCCAACAGCCCCAAGCCATGCAACAGCAGCTTCACATCATGAGGATCCAGTGGATTTTCATGGGTATCTCCTGGAATATAGACTTCAACGCCACGATTCCGCATGGCTCGGGATATTTCCCCGTGTGCGGGATCCATTGAAAGAAAAAGTCTATTAACAAAAGCAGAACATCCAGTATCTTATTTTGCTGCTAAAACAGAGTGGGAGATATAGTAGGAAAAGAGACAACTCAAGAACTGTGTAAGACACATGCCCATGATGCTTAGTAAAAGCAGCCTCTGCAGTAGTTTTCTAAATTGCTTCTCCCACCAATCCAAAATGCTTGTATATATTTGATGTGTTTGATACTACAGGTTAGGCTATACCCCCGTTGTTGTTTAATGTAAAGCAGGCAATTAATTTTTTTTCCATTTGAGTCATTATTTAAGAATTTATGATTTGACAGCGGTTTTCTGCTCCAATTTTAATAACAGAACCCACAGCTTCCTTCTTCTGGCCTGGTGCCTTAACTACTAGACCAAATTGACTTTTTTGTTCTGTTTCTCTGCTTGTAATTGGTAAAAGATCTGTAATGAAAATGAATGTCTGTGCATTTCCAGGATGCATGAAACCCAAATTTATATCTATTTTCAAAGGACATTTATAAAAAATGGGTATTATTAATTGAAAAGACATTTCTACAAATGCTCAGAGATTAGGTATAGTACCTGAAATTCGGGTGAGGAACAACACTGGGAGTTACTCCATCTATCACTCCTCTTTCACTCAAGGTCAGGACTCCTCTGGGTTCAAGCAGAGCATTCAAGCGGTCTAACACAGAAGGGCTGCAAATTAAAAAGGGAAATCACAACAACCTTAGTTAAGTTATGAAATGAATTCAAAACAAATTCATGTGGAAACAAAATAGATCTATTTTATTTTTTAAGAAACAGAAATCAGTTACTATTCTTAATCATTTATCAGCTCATTCACTGGTGAACTTTATTACTCTATGTGCATATATAAAATAACCACAAGGGTGCCTTGCAGGAATTAGATCCCATCTACCTAGCAAGACATCTGTGATGTAGGGAATGAGCATCTTACTTCAGCAATTTGTACATACATGCCAGCTTGCATTATACAGGAATAACAGAGATGTGAGCAAATACAAAATATAGTTTCAGGTTTTTTTCTGTAAAATGCAAGGCAGAGGTGAGATCAAATGTGCTGAATAATCTGGTATCCTCAAGGATCTTTTGAGGCAAAACAGATTAAACCCAATATGAATCATTGCACTAGATTAGGAAAACAGCAGCACACTTATTATCTTATTATCTTTCTCTTTATCTACATAGGGACTCAGTTCAAATTCTTCTAGGTCTTTAATTTAACTAGCCTGGATCAGAGACAATTAATTAATTCATAGTTCAGCATTATGACAAAAAAGACCCAGCATGATTTTATTGTGGATTTTTTCCCCTCCTGAAATAAAAATCTTGTTAAGGACTGGATTGATGTTATACAGCAATATTAGGAAGTATTTATGATACACCAGATGTGTAGTTGACATGCTCTGCTTTTATAGTAGTAGGTAAAAACAAAACTAATTCCTATAGTAATTTTACCTGCAGAAGTTTACATTGTCCATTAGAAGCCAGTCTCCAGCCTCTAAAGCCTGAACTAACATCCCATCAACCCATTCGAAAGTCCCATGAGTATGGCCATTCATAAATTGAACTATTTGCAACTTGAAGTGACGAAACTCTTCTACAAGTGTTGAAAATTCTAGAATGAGAGTAGCCAAAAAAAAAGGTTTCAATATTTCTGTGCACCAAGAAGCTGGCCTTCACAACATTTTCAAACATTAATCCTAAAAACTGTTGATCACAGAAAAAACAATACATACATACAATACATACATATTCATTTGAACTTGTAACTGCTAGGAAGTTGAATTGAAACAGCAGAGTACTGATTTTAGGAAAGTATATTGTTCTTCAAAACAGCAATAGTTGCAATAAAGCAGCAAATTTAGCTTCTCAAATAAATGCTCAAGACAAGTAAAATGTGTACGCATACCCACACAAATACAAATTATATATTAATATAATACATTAAAAAAAGGCTTTGACTCTCCTGCATACCTGACTTTGAAATTGAGCTGATCTTGCTGTTGAGTCTCTGGACTAGCACTAGTACTCCTTCCAACTTATTCACCAACTCAATGGTTATATTTTGATTCCCTTCCCCAAAAGATTTGGGTTTGAAATTAAAAATGAAATTGCTCCAGGCACGCAAGACAACTTCAGCATCCTCAGGGCACATGGTATTGAGGAGGAGACTGTCTCTTAGAAGGGTGCTGACAACATTCTCTACCTTTTCCAGCAAGAATTTCCACGGCCGAATGATGTCAACCTATAGAAGATATTAATACATCAGTCACAGTTGCATTCCATTGCCATATTACAACTGGAGTTCAACTACTTATTCTGAATGAATGCTCTGTCTTCAAACAGAAATGACAATATGTAGTTAAGGAAGTAGCTGGCCTTATTAGTTAGAATGGACAAGGTTAAGAGAAAAATGTACGGATGAGACAGCTGCTGTTCAGAGATTCTTTGGTAACCAACTGTCCCATCTTCCTTACAGACTAACGTACGATGACCTTGGAGCTCCTTGGAGCTCTTTGAGCTTGGTTGTTTTCTTGCAGATGTTTCATTACCCAACTAGGTAATATCACCAGTGCGCTGATGTGTAGCACTGATAATGTTACCTAGTTGGATATTGAGACTTTGCAAGAAAACGATCAAATTCAGGGAGTACCGAGGACCCCACTGGGCCATGGTATTCTTGTCTATTGTAAGCTGATAGTTAGAATGTGGGAGGCTATTCATTTTTATGGAAATTACACAGCCCCCAAAAGACATGAACCCAGATTTCTCCATCAAAAAGAAACTTAGGCAATGAATATAAGATTCCCTTGGGCTGGTAACATGAAACTTCAACGAATGTTTTTTGCCATCAGGAAACTGCTGATGATCAAGAAAAATAATTTCAAGAATTGCTCCCCATCACTACTGTCCCAGCCAATAAACAAAGAAGGAAACTTGATTTTGGCCAATCCTTCAGTCAGAGTCAGCATAACAATGACACTTCTAGCCTCCTACTGCAAAAGCAAGCAAAACATTATCTATTTTGGGGGACCACAGGGGCTTTTAAAACTTGCAGAAGACCATTGAGCCATGGAGGCGCAGTGGTTAGAATGCAGTAGTGCAAGCTACTTCTGCTGACTGCCAGCTGCCTGTAATTTGGCAATTCAAATCTCACCAGGCTCAAAGTTGATTCAGCCTTCCATCCTTCCCAGTTTGGTAAAATGAGGACCCAGATTGTTGGAGGCAATATGCTGACTCTGTGAACTACTTAGAGAGGGCTTTAAAGCTCTGTGAAATGGTATATAAATCTAAGTACAATTGTTACTCTCTGCTCCCTCCCCCAAATTTTGGCACAACGCATACTAGCCATGCCCCTGCATCACCTAGCAGGCAGTCTACCCCCAGTTTTTTAAAAAATTACTTGTTCCTTCTCTATCCACACATAGTAGGGAAGCTGTATTTGTATTAATCCCATTTTTAGTTTAAAAATGAATAAGAACTGTAAAAAAAAGAAAAAGAAAAAAGTAAACACTTACTTGCTCAAATCCACCTAATAACTCTGTAGTATCCATAGAACTGTTCATTGGCATAATCTTTAACTGATGGCCTGTTAGATATGCCAGTAACTGAAGCAGGCTAGTCTTGCCAGCAGCAGCTGGGCCCACCAAGATTACCATCCAGCTCATATGTACACATTTCATGATGGCTTCTAGGGGCTGCAGTGAATGGTGGAGGAGCAACAGATTTCTGCCTGGAGGTGGGACATAATTGGCACGGGAGAGGACTGAGTAGCCAACCTTCAGGAAAAACAAAAACAGCATTACTTTCATATATGTAAACAGGAAGAAATAGACAGTAAACAAAATAATACTACAATAGTAATAGTCTTAATTTCCTTTTACCTGAATGTCATAAGGTGTGATGTAGAATTGCCTACTTCCTGTATAGGGCTTACAATTCTGCCCAAAAACGTCCTTGAACAGAGACACTACCTAAATAGATAAAAAAGAAGGAACCAAATCACATTCATACTGAATAATGCATTAATGAATAATGTTTATTCCCCCACTCCCCCCTGCAATCTTTCTTTGAATTACTACACAATGTTTTTATCCAAATCTTTTCTTTCCCAAAAGGACCATACGTAATCCTGGTGCAGACATTTAAAATCACCTAATTCAAAGTTATCTGTCTCACTTTTAACACTTGAGATTGTTTGTTGTCTGACGATTTATTCTACAGCTCAAAGAGTAAAATTTGACTATCCTCATCTGAGGCTAGTGTATGAAGTGTAACTGGCACAGAATTGTGAATAATTTTAAAGGCTGATTCTTTTAAGGAGTTGCATAATCTGTAAATTATTCATTCAAGTCATAACTCAGATAAATTGCCAAAGTTTGGGAAGAAGACTGATAAGACCTCAATCATGCTATCATCAGAAACTCCATGATCCAAGTGAACATATGCTTGCATATATACATAGAAACACATCTACGTACATGTGCAATTTTCCCTTTCACTAGAGGTAGGCAGCACGGAGACCTCAAAATATTTTATTTTATTCACATGATATCCCACCAGCCTAAAGTAAAGTAATTTTTTTAAAAATCAAGCTGGAATATAAAGATCTTCCCTGTTGTTCAAGGTCATATTGCTAACTCATTACGGAAACTCTTGGTATGATCTGCAAGAGGCTAAACTTCAGTCTCCAAGTCCAGTTCCCTTTTTTTTAGCAATACTACTTCCATCTTACCTAGATTTAATTTCAACTCATTCTCTCCCCAGAGTAAATTTAGGCAATAACGAAGGACGGATAATCATTATCCATTTATGTGGACTTGAATGGCAAAGGGCTCTAAAATTAATTATCACCAGTGTATTGATGGCATCAAACTCTAAAGCTCTGCATGATTTTCTCCAACAGATTTCCTATAGGTATTGAACAGCATCTATCATAAGACAGAACCATTAAAGAACACTAAATAGCAAGGGCTTTCTCAGAACTCAGTCTCAAGTCAATATTAGCCATTCTTCCTAGGAATCCTGGAATTGTTCCAATATACCTAGTGAGCACCAGCTTGAGGAACAGATGCTTTAAATGCATGGGGTTCTTTCTATTATATACCCAACGCACCAAAACTCAAGCTTTGGGTAAAAAGGATGCATTAACAGAAATAATTTTAAATTATACAATTGAGCACAGTATGACAAACTCAGATATATAAGACATTAAAGTAAAATCCTAAAATAAGCAAATAAATTATCTCTGCTCTTTACCATTTCTCTGTCTGTTTTTGTTCTCATTCTTTCTCCGTAGATCAAAAACATGTGTTTGCCAGGGTCATAAGTCTCAGGTGACTGGTCTATAAGCATTAGCTGACACCATCGGAAAAGGTCACGCAAGTTAAATTCCCAAGGTGCACCTTTATGTCCCCACTTCTTCTCAATTGTAATTTCTTGCTCAATCTAAATAAAAGTACCAATGCAAAACATTACAAATACCAATATGATTCAGTACTTAAAACTATATTAGAAGGCCATACTACAGAATTACATTTAACACATAAAGAATCTCAATTTATAATCTTATTGTTTATATCTCTCCCCATTGAGCCATGGTGGCACAGTGGTTAGAATGCAATACTGCAGGCTAACTCTGCCCACAGCCAGGAGTTCGATCTTGACCAGCAAAAGGTTGACTCAGATTTCCATCCCTCTGAGTCCAGTAAAATGAGGGGCCAGATTGTTGGGGGCAATAGGCCGACTCTGTAAATCGCTTAGAGAGGGCTGTAAAGCACTATGAAACAGTATATAAGACTAAGTACTATTGCTATTTATCTTATCACAATTTGAGGCATTATATGTACCTTATTGTTGAATTCAACCATCTTCACAATTATTTCCTTGTCAATGGCTGGAAAAAGAGTATTCCCAATGTATTCCATATCTGATGCAGAAAGTGGGTCTATATAAACCTGTGCCATTTTTAAGGGAGGGGTGAAAGTATTATTATATGCAGGAGACACATGTATTCTAAAGAAACAATTGCTTTGGCAATGCTGAATTTAACTAAGACTTCCATCAATATATTTAAATAAAAACACCTGACTATAAAATCAGCAAAAATTTAGCATTCAAGTTTATCTACATGGTGTAATTAACATTCATTTTTTTAAAAGCAACATTCAAACAAAAGGGACAATGGAAGAAATTATGAACTTGCCTGCGTGAATCTATTCAGAAATGACTTAGGTAATCCTTTTCTGCCACCTCCTTGCTTGTAAGGATTTTGGCATCCAAAGATCTTTGTCATCTTGTGTTGAACATGAAAACTCATCCCCAACTCAGGTACATAAATCTCTGCCCGGTGGTCAAAACAAGCATTCAGGCCTTCTAACACTGACTGAGAAGCCAAATTCAGCTATTTAAGACATATAAACATAAACAGGTTACATTCCCCTTCTTTTTTTAGAAAAAGAAAATCATACAATATGAATTTACTTTGGGCCAGTTACTCTCTCAACGCAACTCACCTCACAGGGTTGTTGTTGTGGGGAAAACAGGAAGAGGAAAGAGTATTATGTATGCTTACCACCTTGAGCTACTTATAAAGTAATAAAAGCAGGATTAAAATAAAACAAAATCTTCCCACATTTTGACTTCATCCAAAACTTTTGCTTGGATCTCTCTAATTCAGTGACAATGATATGGTGTGGATACAGCTGGATGCAGCAGTAACACCACTGCTGCATAGCTAACTGGCTTCCTGTAGGTTTCAAGGTGCAATGAAAAATGCTGGTTATCACTTTTAAAGCCATACATGGCATGGAATGAGGTAACTTGCAGGACTGTTCATCCCCAATAGTTTCTGCCTGTCCTATTACATCTAGTGTGTGTGCGTATGTGGGGGGGGATAATACTCCAGCTTCCTTCCATGTAACAGTGTCATGTGGTGGAATGATGTTCTGCCTTCCAGTATTGGGAGAAACAATAATATGGGGAAAGACCATCACTCTTCAAGAACGGAAAATATACCCTGCGCACATGCGCGCGCGCGCGCACACACACACACACACACACACACACACGTGTAAGCTATACTCACTTCATCTAATACAATCCAGTGTCCTGCTTTTAGTGCTGCAAGCAATGGTCCATCACGCCAGGCAAATTCCCCACCTTTGCCTCCTTCAACAGGCAGGTCTGTGCCAAACAAATCTGTTATATCCTGAAAAACAAGAAGAGAGATGGCAAGCTTTACAAATATGAAATGGTGGCAATTAAAAAAATCTATCCAGGTATGCAAAATTTTGAGACAAACAAAAAATAATCAGTAATACTCTATTGGAGCAAAAATAATAATAATAATCTACTTTTTTTCAATCAGTGAATACCATACACACTGGTATTCCAGTCTAGCTGACTTTGCATGCGTTGTCACATTTTGAAGTTTCTGGACATTGCGGCCAACACTTTGGGAGACTCCATGTACCTTGGCTGGAATGTCCAGAAATTTGAAAATGTTATTACCAACTTGTAATTTTAAGACTGTGAAAATTAAAAGTTAGAGGGTAATTGTGCCAAGTCCAATTAATTTTTTTAAAACTCAACTTGTTTGATTTTTATCCCGCCTTTACTACTTTTTAAGTAATTCTACTTGGAAAACATATTTAATATTCCCTCCTCTTATTTTCTCTAGAACACTGTGAGGTAGGTTGGGCTAAGGGGGACGGTGATTGGCCCTAAGCCACTCAGCTGGCTTCCATGCCTAAAGCAGGATTAGAAATCCAGTCTTCTGGTTTCTAGGCTAGCACTTTAGCCACTAGATCAAATGAAATTTAAATTATGTCCTGATTTAATCCTTTGGAATGTGATCCTTAGCCTGCCATTCAAATGCTAGGGAGAGTCTTGAGATGAAAAAAAAAAAGTTGGGACAACTTTGCATCTGCAATGCCTACAACCTTCTGGTAAAGAATATAAGAAGCACTGATATATAGCCATAATAGTATGTAAGGATATCTGCAGCATACAATACTTGCAATATCTGATCTCCCATTGAAAGTTCGAACCTCATTCTTTACAGTAAATATTATTTTTTTCTTTTTTGTGGCATGGCAGGATATTTACACTAAGATATGAGGAGGAAAAACAGAGCACCATAGCCTCAGTGACGTTATTATCAGTATGAGAATATAGAATGTTTCCAATATTTGTTTCTGAAAAGCTGAGCAGAGCACAGAGTCTATTGTGCATGTGAAAAAGAAACAGAAAACTCTGGGAAAATTGTGAAGGTTAGATATTTTTCTCCAGGAGTCAAAAGATAAAAAATGCTACATATATCCCGTCTCTAAAATAGGAATATCATTCATTTACTTAACATCCTTCTAAGCTTCCTTCTTCAGTGAGTAGTATTTAAGAGAACTTAAGACTTAAGAGGAGTATTGAACTCTTGACGTTTGTAAAAGATTTTTTTTTTCATCGTCAGAAATTCCAACCTCCACCACAGCCATTGACCTACTGTTTGTTCAGAGAGATTGATTCGACTGAGGCAATTTCCTGAAGCCTTGGCCAGGGCAGCCACTAAGCTCGTCTTCCCAACCCCTGGAGAGCCTTCCAAGAGAATCGGTTTGCTTAGCTGCAAGGCTCGTAACAACCGCTGTGCATTCATTGAAGTGGTGCCTGCGTTTAGAGCATAGTCCAATAGGTTGTTCTTCTGGTAAAGTGGGCCTGTGATTAAAAACAAAGATTAAAGTGGCATATGGAAAACTCCTGTTCAATATTTCAAATAATCCATCATGTCCTTCTCTAGGATATTCCATTTTATTTCCTTCCATCCCTGATTTTTATTCCATTTGACCTATTAGCTGTATCCATTGAGAAAGCTCAATTCTCAGGGGGCCAATTTTGTAGTTTCCTGAGACTTCCAGACAGGGGTGGGATTCAAATTTTGTAACAACCAGTTCTGTGGGCGTAGCTAGGTGGCTATGGCTGGGTAGATGTGGCTTTTTCTTCTTTTTGGAAGCAACCCCCCCCCCCGGGTTTGGGGGGGGGGGGCTTCTGGGCCTCAGAAAACCTCCTAGGGAGGGTGTTTTTGCTCCCAGGCTTTCCTGGGGCTCAGGAAGGAAAAAAACGGAGCAGGGGAGCGGCTCACAGCACCCCGTGCTCTGTTTTGGGGCTTTCTGGGCCTCAGGGAAGCCTCCTGAGGGGGGCGTTTTTGCTCCCAGGCTTCCCTGGGGTCCAGGAAGGAAAAACATGGAGGGGGCGGGGTGTGTGTGCTGTGGCCCCCCTCCATTTTTTGCCTTCCTGGGCCTCAGGAAAGCCTCCCGAGCGAAGCAGTAAGTAAGCGAGGGGAATCCCGGCACAGCTAATCATAGGAACAGCTGATCGTCAGGAGGGGGAAAAAAGGAATACCTTAAGGAGTGACTGGGCAGGGAAGAATGCAGTCAGAGATGTTGGGCATGCACGTAAAGTTATGCATGCACGATAAGGACTGACTGGGTGGGGAAGGGAGGGGTGGGCGGAGAGGGGAGGGGCCAGCCAAGGACATGATTTGCCGGTTCTCCGAACTGCGCAGAATCATAATCGGTTCCATAGAACTGGTCTGAACAGTAGAATCCGACACCCTTCTTCAAGATCTATTTCCTTTATTTAAGATTCCCTAACTTTACATGCGGCTAATAGTCATTAACTACATAAGCAGCATGCTCATGCCTGAAAATTAAACAACAGCTTTTATTACAGATAGGAGAATCAAATGTTTGAACGTTCTCTCATTAATTCACCCATAACATCATGCACATTGAAAACCAGTACACCAAAGAGAAAGGCTAAAAGCATTTTTCTTGACATTTTATCTTCTTATTTGCAAAGGAGGTATATTTTTACATAGGGAATTGTGCAAATGTTCATTCATTCATTCGATTGTTAGATTCTTATCCTGCCTTTATTATTTTATAGGTAATTCAGGATGGTGAGCATACATATTTCTTCCTCCCCCTATTTTTCTCACAGCAACCTAGATCACTGGGACGATCCACAATATTTTTCTCTATGTCTAAAGAAGAGCTTATCGTTTCATACAGTCTGTTGTCAAGTCAGTAAATTTGTAAAAACAGATTCTTGCCTCTTGGTATATAAAAAGGATGGATCCCAACATAACCCTCCATCCAAGCCATTTCCCTTTCTCTTTCCAGATCATACATTCTCAATACAATCCTCTGATCATCATTGAGTTGCAGAATTCGGGAAATTTTTCCACACAAATAATCCAGACATTTTTCACGAGCCTGAGTGGTCGAACCACAAGAACAGGACATTGTGCCTACATAAAAAAGAAAAATCAAAATAATGGAAAGAGTGAAAAAGTTTTTACATTTTAAATTGACCATTACTGAAAAATATCAATGCTTTTTAAAACCAATCCTATACCTACAACTAAAATAGATTAATAGCAAACTTGCAAAAACCAAAACACTCAGCGATTTAAAATTATGGTTATGTATCATTCATTTTTAAGAACAAAGAAACATGGCGGCAAATATGTCCTCGGTCAGCAAAAGCATTTCAATATAGAAGCTCATCTAACCGCCAATGAAAGTTTGTTCCACAAAGTGGGGAGCAATATTAATGATGCCCACCTCTACTCTATGGTAGAGTATTAATAACTTACGGTATTTCAGTTTAGATCATCCAGATGATGTCTATTCCAAAGGATTTTTCCCAGCACCCAACCTTCCAACCACCTGATTGATCTACTCATGTGTGCTACCCATCCCCCACAATTCCTTCCCTTGTATTCTGCACCTAGACACATTAAGCCACCATTTATATAAAACTATACAACGATTCTGATTCTAGACAGTATTCACACATCCACGAACATATCCCATGCATAATAACTTGTTCAATCTTGTCAGCCCTATTAGTACATATACAGTAGTCCCAATTCACTACAGTAGTTTCAATTTCAGAAAGTGTTCAACTAAAGGCGGGCTGTCTCCATTACTAAATCATTCTGCCATGAAGAAAATCCTGAATATTTACCTGAGCCAATGCCATCAATATATACGAGACATGCAGCATGAACAAAGGTCAGCACTGGAGAAACGCAAAAGAACTGGTGTTCCTCTGGACCAGCAAGCAGTCTGTCTTGTGCCATAACATTCATGAAATTGACCCATGACAAAATGTTCCGAATACTGAGAATACAATTATGCCCAAACTCTTGATTACTCAGCCAACCTATGAAATCCATCATGAGTTTCGCTATATCCATTTCTATGGCAACCAGGAAGGAAAGAAGAAAACGCAAGAATGAAATAAATGCACACAAGGAAAAGGGTATTTACGGTTATACTTTTAAAAAACACAAACCAATAACCAGAAATTTTTTCTAGGGAGGTTAATATGGAAAGACGAAGATAAAGTTTAAATACCTATAAAATACTGTCAAAATATTTCTTAGCAAAAATGCAATTATTTGTCGAAAACTAGCTCTGTTAAGATGGGGATTAAGCATTTTTCAGTGAAATTTACCTTCATTTTTTGTGGATAGACAGAGTCCTGGATAAAGATTGTGCTTAACGATCTGTATTAAATCCTCACGGCTATTACTTTGCGGACACCATATTTCGGTAAACCGATTACGAAGGGCAGGTGATAGCTTAGGCAAGAAAATGTAGCTGAAATTACTGTCAGCATATTACAGCTATAGTTCATTAGCTTATTGTCAGAAAGGCTCTTAAAAGACATTACGGATTTTTTTTTTTTTAAAAAGAGAAGGAATCAACATATTTAATACTTGGCTCGGTATCACACATGCAATAAATAGCAATCGCAATTCTTCAAACTGTAATATCATATGTGTAATTGGCACGATGGCAATCATAACACAGAACTAAAACTGGTCCTCATTACCTCTTTCTTCCCAAAGTCACCCCCAGGATTCATTGTAGCTAAAATACGAAATTTCTTTCCTGCAGTCAGCAGCTCAATTTCGCTGTCCTCACTAGCCTTCTCTGCTATCACCAATGTTTTTTCAATTTCCAAGACGCTAGAAGAAAAAGCCGAAAAGGATGGCTGAAAATTAACCAGCTAAAAATGGTATATATTCAACATCTTTCCTCTATTTTTCTGAGTAACTATAAATCTTATCCCCTTGCTAATAAACAAAAAAAGAAGAAGCACAAGTCCAGTAAAAAAGCAAGATTTGGTAATCCTAAAAATCAGAAGAAGCTGGAATATGACATTACACTATTTAATCTGCATTAGGGATAAACACATCAAGAAAAGCAAGATTGAAATGCCCCATTTTAGGCGCATACCTATTGAGTCTTTCTAGAACAGAATCGTCTGCTAATGAAATCTCATCCATGAGGAAAAAGCCATCCTCTCTCATTGCTAGAACAAGGGCTCCATCATGCCATTCAAAGAGCTTAGAACTGTCAACTTCATCCTATTAGAAAAAAAAGGAGAAAGGAGATTTAGCACAAACATTGGAGCTCTTTCTTAATTGTACTCAGCATCTTACAGCCAACTGACCTTGTCCTTTGAATGCTGTCTAACTGGCCGCAGTCCTCCCAGAAAGTCTGATGTCTCCATGTGCAAGTGGCAGTTCACAGAATACAACTTCTGATTTGCTATGGCTGCAAAGATCTGACAAATAGTTGTTTTGCCACACCTGCATGGTAAAGTTGGTAAAGTCAATTGCATTAAACTTACTGTCTTAGTGGTGGATATGTTGGCTAGTAGCCATTATGGTGGAGATTGAACATCACAGTGAATAGCGCCATGTCATAGGGAAGAGCAGGGCAAGAATGCAATGGGAGAAGGCACATCAAATTTTGAGTTGCGGGTTCTTAGAAGAATTCTTTTTTTTTAACTACTATCTTAAATCTTATTTTACAAGCTATTTCATGTTCTTCCATCTTCAAAACACAAAAAAGTCATGCTGTCATTTTTTGACATTTGTGGTTGAAGTGCTTTAAAAACCAATAAAAGTAGAAAGAAAATAAATCAAGAAGCACTGACAACTAGAAAGCCTAAGATTTCCCACATGTGGTCTTATCCTCTGTGGCTCAGTTCAAAATTGAGATTAGTGAAGAAGAGAATAGTTTACCCTGTATCTCCAACCAGTAGTACGGGTTCACCAAACTCCAAAGCTCGGCCTGCCAAGACTGCAAGTCTCCTCATTCCTTGAGTCCATACAATGTGGCTGAATTCCTCATCCATTCTAGGTAGCCCAGCAGCTGATGCAAAAGAGATTTAAATGGAAATAAACAGAACAAGAAACTAGAAATAAAGGAACATCAACCAAGCATTAAATTATTTTAATAAATCCTGAATCTGAAAGTAACATACTAATTCCCACTTAGGAAAGTTACATTAAAATGTCCACTGTAATCACAATGATTATTAAAATCCATAGCCCCGGTTATTACAAACTTGAATTTCCCTTGTGACTAGATCACTGCTTTTCTTTTCAGTGACCAATTATTAAATGCACCAAAGGAAGGACAAAATTGCTATTTGCAACATTAGCCTATAGAAATTGCCTGGTTCTTTTCTCATAGCTTTGATTGTGTGTGTGTGTGTGTGTATTTGGAAGCCAAAAACAATCAAATACACACACACACACACATTATTATATGTTCTAATGTTCGAATATGTTCCAAAATGTAATATTATTCGTTTGATCTTGGTGTGTAAATTATTGAATAATCAAGAATCGATTCTGCAAACTGACCTAGCTGTTTTTTCACACTTTCTTCTGAGAAAAGATACTGGGGATCCAATTTTCTTTTAAAATATTTTTCAATGACTGTTTGAATAATATCCACTTCTTCTTGTTTCCTGACTCTTCCTGCTAAAAGCATAAATCCTAAGAATAAAGAGACAAGGATAATGATTACTTTTTTTTAAAAAAGAGTGTTGTTTGGAGGTTAAGGTGCTAGCCTAGAAATCAGAACATTTAAGTTCTAGTCCCATCTTGGCCATGAAAGCCAATTGAGTAACTTCGAGTTAGCCACTCTTTCTCAACCCAACCCATTTCAGAGGGCTGTTTTTGTGGGGAAAATTGGAAGGAGGAAGGAACATAATTATGTATGTTTGCTGCCTGATTTTTTTATAAAATAACAAAGGTGGGGTAAAAATGTAATAAATAAATACACAGTGGCTTTTGATATTTGGTTTACCAGATTACATACATATATACAAACATACATACATACATACATACAAACTGACTGACTTGACTAATTTGAAAAGAGGAGGGAAGTCTCACCATCATTTGCTAAATGCTGAAGCCAGTCATAGTCTTTCACTGTCTGTTCTGCTAATCGGTACCTTTCTGCCCAGCGAAACAGGTCACGGAGAGTAATGAAGCCATGCTTGCCTGCAAACACTGATGAACCTCTGCGATAAGACTAAAGAAAACAACAAAGCAAGAGCTCACCATCCAATATTGTATGATGTGCCCACAATGATTTCTTCAGATGCCTTAAAGTACCTTATCCTTCCTGCCACATTCCCCAGATTGGCCTGTTGACTCAATTTAAAGCCCCCTTTTGCCCAGTATATCTTAACAGCTATTTACTGGAATTCTCATTCCCAAGCAACAGGCAGATACCTGTATAAGATCTGTGAGAAACAATGCTCAAATGGGACTTTGGACCTTCTGATAAATATGGTATCTTAGAGCAGGGGTCCCCAACCCCTGGTCCACGGACCGGCACCGGTCTACGGTATGCCAGAAACCTCATACTTGGGGGTGCAGGCAGCATGCAAAACCACACCCCCTCCGATCCACAGATAGAACCGGTTGCTGGTGCCCAAAAGTTTGGGGGCCTCTGTTCTAGAGCTTACAATAGAGAGTTACCATATCTGCTACTACTCAGGAAAGGCAGAGATCATGTGATCTAGATAATAGTGCAAGAGGTTGTTTCCTTTGGTTTCATTCAGTGGCTGAGCCCAAAATCAAATATCATTTGAGGGTGTCACTGAATAGGGAAAATGACAAGAAAATAACCCCTCCCTCAAACTGTGCCTAGCACAAGCTGAAGCATACCAAACGAATGTGAAATGGGAGGGGAGGGGAGAAGAGTACATTCTCTTCTCTACAGTATGTAACTATGGGCTGGATGGAGAGCAATGGGTTAAAACTAAACCTTTGCAAGACCAAGTGGCTCTGGATTTGGGGTTCTTTGGCTCAGGGAGAATTGCCACATTTGGTCTTGGATGGGGTGGCAGTACTCCAAACAGATCCTGTGCGTAATCTATGAGTTCTCCTGGACTCACGACTCCTGTTCGAAGAGCAGGTGGCAGTCGTGGCCAGGAGGGCCTTTGCACAACGCCCTTTCCTGGACCAACAGTCCCTACTCACAGTCACACATGCCCTAGTCACTTCCCATCTAGATTATTGCAATGTGGTCTACATGGGGCTGCCCTTGAAGAGCATATGGAAGCTCCAGCTGGTGTAAAATGCAGTGGCCCAGGTGGTTTTCTGCAGACCCCGGTGTGCACATATTATTACATCTCCTGTGGGAGCTGCACTGTTTGCTGATTTGCTTCCGGGTGCAGTTCAAGGTACTGGTTGTCACATTTAAAGCCCTTCATGACTTGGGACCAGGTTATCTGAGGGAACATCTCCTGCTGGTCATATTTATCTGGCACATCAGAGCGGGGAGGCAGGGAATGCTGCAGGTCCCACCCCAGAGGAAGTTACACATGGTGGGACCCAGAAGAAAGGTCTTCTCTGTGGTCGCTCCCTTCTTTTCTTGGAACATCATTCTCCCAGAGATTAGATTGGTCCCCACTCTAATACTCTTCTGGAAAGCACTTAAGACCTGGTTCTGCCAGCAGGCCTGGGAACCCAGAGCGGGATGAAGTCCATTAAATGGCTCGTGTAATGTGCTGTTGTCGGGGCGGGGGGTGGGAGGTGATTTTGTTATATTGTATACTATATTAATTTATTTGATTCTTTTTGTTAGTTTCATTGTTTTAAAAGTGGTTTTATATTCTGTAAGCCGCCTTGGGTCACTATGGGCGAATAAGCAGCAATACAAATTCAATAAATAAATAAATAAATAAATAAATAACCTAATTTATTTTTCACATTTACATAACTATCCATCAGACAACTGGATCCTCCTTGGAAAAGATATACTAATTCAATTCAGCCTACTCTGTTTGCTTCCTCTTAAGAAAACAGCACAATAATTAGCAATACCTGTAGTTCCAGCATGACTTTGATCAAATTGCTACAGTAAGAAGGTGGAAGCTGGCATCTTTTGTGCAAAATGTTTTCCAATTCTGTACTGGGTAACTCATCAAAATGCAGCTCCACAAATCTATTTCTGAAGGCTCTAGATAAAACCTATAAAAAGAGTTTAATTGAGACAGTACTCCTGGAATTCCTATCAGTAAAATAAAAATAAAATTTTTGTTCCTTACGTCTATCAACAATTGTTCAAAGAAAATCAGCAGTTTTTTTTTTTTGAAAGATTTCAAATTCATGGTGAAATATCCATTCTATGGAAGTTAAGACAATGCATACTTTGTATCCATGATTCTTTTATATTACAGCAAAAGAACAATACAAATACTGAGATTAAAGCATGTGTATGTATTTAGCAGTTAATAAATATGGGGAAGGAGCTGTCCAGAAAGACAGGCCTGTGTTACAAATTCTTATAGATCTGGCAGTTCTCTCAGATCAGGATCATGCTCTTGTCCATCAAGCTTAATGGAGAAAATCACTTTCAGTTTTTCTGTTTGTACTCTATGTATCATACTGGTAGTGACTTCAGTGTTTAATTAGGGAAATGTATTTGCATATTTATTTATGAGGATTACAGGCTTCTCTAAACCACCATCTCTAAGCAATCCTGGAATACCCCAATATATAATTGGAATTAAAACCACATATATCAGGGGATATATATGAAAATGTGTCATGACGAGCAACCCAATTCATGTAACTTTTATATTGGCATTCTTCAATCAGATGCTCTCGATATTAGAATAACTCTCATTGGCCGGTATATGTTAAAATGGTTACCCAAATACCAGTAAAAATCTTTTCTCACATACTTTCTAGCTATCCTCAACTAGAAGTCTGGTCTTACTAAGGTTTCACAAGCAGTAAAACAGAAACAGATTGGCAGCAGTGCTTATAGGTCTGTTCCCTTTGTTAACATATTTCAATATACTGTATTATCACTCTCATTCCTCAGCAACCTGCGGTCACAAAAATACCCAGGCCTCACTTGGAAGATATATTAATTAAGGTATTTTTGTGACTGCGGGTATATATAACTTGTGTTTATATCTATATGTGTGCATGTATATATGTATATATGCATGCGTGTGTGTGTGTGTGTGTGTATGTTTTCTTAAGTTTTCGCGGGTACTTACATGTATGGCATTCAGCTTTGTTCGGGTATTTTCCCACGTCATTGTAGTTGTGCTTTTAAAGTTGTAGCAACGTTTCGGCAGAATCTCATCTGCCATCATCAGGCTTCTGTATAGTATTCATCTGTGAGTCAGGCTTTTATAGTGGTTTCAGATTTAAATTTGGGGCAGCCTATTGCTGTGCCAGAATGGTTTTTTCTTCACCCTGATTGGTTGGGAGTCTTGGTCTGTGTTTATTGGTCTTGGAGTTTGCTGTGTTCTGCTTGATTGGTGTTTCTAGTATCTTCTGTCTGTTTTGTGGCTCTTTTTGTATCTTGATTGGTTGGCAACATTGTATTACTTTATTGGAGGCCTTTAGTGCAGCTTGGCTCCGGGTAAATGGACGGCTATCATTAGTTAGGAAGCTAGGTTTCATCTGGGTGCCTGGTTGGGGTATGTTTGAGCTGGAGGTATCAGGGGGGATCTGTCTGTGCCCAGGTGTTTGCCTGGCTTGTAGTGTGGAGATTTTTTTGTTTGTGAGTGCAGGCTTTCAAATGATTGACAGTCTGGTGGAATCATCTCTTCTATTCATGCTTTCAGGTCTTTTTTTCAATCTCTATGGCTTCTCTGATGATTCTGTGGCTGGGGTTTTCTATAGTGGCTAGGGTTTTGGTGCCATTGAAGTTGATGCTATGACCTGTGGCTTCCATGTGTTGGACTAGTGAGGAAGTGTGTTCCGGCTTTTTGACTGCATTTTTGTGTTCATCCAGGCGGATACTTAAAAGCCTGACTCACAGATGAACACTATACAGAAGCCTGATAATGGCAGATGAGATTCTGCCGAAACATTGCTACAACTTTAAAAGCACAACTACAATGACGTGGGAAAATACCCGAACAAAGCTGAATGCCATACATACATACAAATATACATACAAATATACATACATACATACATACATACATACATATATTTTAACGTACACACACACAAAATCCCACTGTTTTTAAATGTATTTTCAGGGTATAAAAATGCTAATTTGATCACAGAATGGATAGCTATTCGCAAATGCTTGCTATTCATAAGCAATGTATCATAGTAAAGAAAGAAATATGAAGAAATAATGATCTTATGACAGTCAACAAACCTTCCTGCCTCCATATAGTCCTGGAGGGTTCTGGGTTGCAAACAGCATGAATCGTGGATGAGCTTTGATGGTTTCTTGAGTCTCCGTAATGAACAGCTCTCTGTTGTCATCTAACAATCTGTTCAGTGCCTCTAAAACATCGGTAGGTGCCAAATTCAGTTCATCTAAGATAATCCAGTATCCCTTTCGCATTGCATCAATGAGGACACCTTTAAAGTAATTACCAAACAGTATATATGTGATTTTTATTTACAATCTGCAGTAAGTAGCAGTGAAAAATCTTGGGGGCTGGGGGGTGGAGGAAGAGTCAAAGAATCAGATTGGAAGGGACTTTAGAAGACATCAAGTTTGATACCCTATCCGGTGCAGTATCTACTAGAATTTTTTAACCTCAGCAACTTTATGATAGCTCAACTTCAACTCCCAGAATTCCCCATTCAGCATGCTGGGTGGGAAATTCTTGAATCTGAAGTCCATCCATCTTAAAAGTTGCTTAGATTGAGAAACACTGTGCTGGAGTATCCACTGGAACACTTTGCCTCCACAATACAAGATGGTTTTTTCAATAGCTTTTAGAGTCTGAAGGTTGTTTTTCTTCTTCTGAAGAATGAATGGGTACAAATGTTAAGATAAGTTGAATAATTAATACTGTATATTGTTGTCCTTTGTAGTTTTTTTTTACTTTATTACTAATGGAAACCTGTGATCCATCCAGAGTCAGCCATGCCTATAGCAGCATATAAAACCTGATATTAATCTGTCCATCAAAATCTATGACAGATGACTATTCACCCTCTTTCAAGGTCTCCAGTACAAGAAAACTCATTGCTTCATGCAGAGTTTGCTCTACTGGGGACAGCTTGTAATTAAGAAATTCTTCCTCATGTATAGCCTAAAACTATTTCCTTATAAATTTTAATCTCCTGATTCTGGCCCTGCCTTCTAGGTTCACTTCCTCTTGCAGTTACTTTGCATACAAATCCAAATTTCTATGCAAAGTTACCCTGTGTAACCAGGATAATCCACTTCAACAATTCATCAGTATTAACTAAAATGCTCCACAGCCTCATGAGAATAATTTTAACTGAACTCAATTGATTTTCTAATAATAACAAGAAAGGAAAAAAAAACTGTAACTCCAGAGACCTAAAAATAGCATCCCCTGAATTTATAGTGACTTATTTTTAAGCAGAAATGCACTTGTACCCTTTTGAACTCACCTATCGTATTATTGCCATTCTCTGGATTCTAACTCCTGTTGCCTGCTGAAAAACATCACACTGCTACTGGCTACCTTTAATTGCTGAACGAGTACAATCGAGGAGAAATGAGCAAGAAGCTGTTGCAGTGACACAGCTCAGATCTGCAGCTCACTGGAAGCAACTATCAGTTGTATGTGCAACATTCCAAATAATCAGTATATTGTAAATCACTGATTCGATTTAATGTGTCAAGTTTAATTTGAAAAAAATAGTTGTGCATGCCAATTTGTAAGCTCTCAGTTTGAAATAATTTTACTGAACCACTTTTGAACTGAGTATTTGAAATGCATATCTCCAAAATCCTTCATGTTCCCATTTTCCTTCCAATCTAACAGCCAATTTGCAGCCCTACCTGCCAGCAGAATGCATTTGTTTTCAGGAACAGCCCATTTCTCATAGAACGGAACAGTTCTCACTAAACATGAGCTGCCATCCATGCTCTAAAAGTAATGCTAAAACAAAAACAACTTCCATAATCCTGTAGAGTACAATAGGGGTACAAATAATAATAGTACAAATAATAAAGAGTTTTGCAATCTTTGTGATAACATTCAATATAACCCTTCCTGAAAAAAGAAAAGAATAGTCAAGAAATTTGCATAGTAGCCATAGTCCTACCTTCCTTAAAAATCAGCTTTCCAGATATATCTGATGTATAACAACCTATATACTCCTGAATGTCAGTGTGCTCATGGTTATTAATCCGAACACAATGATTTCCACTTGCAGCAGCCAACCATCGGATTAAGCTGGTTTTACCAACAGAAGTATCTCCCTGAATCAGAACAGGGTATGTCCTTGAAGAATTAGAAGATCATAAAGTTAAAGATAAGATTTTACAGTGGCCAAGAACTTACAGAAAAATTCCTCTATGTTCAACTGTTTCCACAGTCAGTGCCTACATATATTGTTTACAGTAGCGTCCAAACAATGAGATTTAATGTTATTGCTATCAGGTCTAAGATCTAAGTTTATATCGAGAAACATGTTGCATTAAACAAAAGTCAGTGCTACTTTTTTGTATCAAATTAAATGATATTTTTATAGAACAGAAAAAGGAAGAATTAAATCCAACGTACCCAGCTGATACAACTCGGACAATATCTTTGAGGTTAAGTTTGACTGAAGGTGTGAGAATGTAAGTCTCATCAATAGTAGGTTCGTTATCACCAGCTGAAATCCAGTATCCTTCAATTGTTATCATTTTGCCTCCTTTAGGCTCTGGTAAGGACTAAAATGGGGTTATAAAAATATAACTAATTTAAACTATCGACAGACCCTCTTAAAAGATCAGTGTTGCATGAGAACTATGTGACTTTTATTCTAGCCACCTAGATATAATATCAATAATAAATTCAATTCACATCTATTCTTCATGGGCCTATGTAACGGAAAGGAAAGATTAAGATTAAGAAAATCCAAGTAAATAGAATAAAGCAAGATGTAATCAGTACAACTACAAGATCAAAGTTCCACTGTAAGGCTATGAACAAAGAATAAAATTCACTGCATTCCTATCTCAGTACAAAATGGCTCCCTTTGGAATTAAGAGAGATATTCAAAAACTCTTACAGCATCATGGTTCATCCCAGTTTTGGGGGTACTAGTCTTTTATGAATGCTATCTACACTCTAGCTATAGCAGAAAATGTTAGCCACATTCTAATTTTTGTTTGCTATAAAGACATTTAAAAATAATCTCTTTGGCCAATTTTTCCATAATTTTGATGGAACATAACACCCAATATAAACTGAATCTTGCCTATATTTGTGGCTGAAGGTTTCAAAGTAACAGTATAATGAACTTATTTCACTTTCTGTAATAGAACACTTGAAACAATATAAACAAAATGCCTCATTTTATCTTGAGCTGCAAAAAAACACTGAAACCATGGTGCCTTATTTTGAAAACTCAAAATGGGCTTTCAGAGCTCAGAGCATTTAATAGTAAGAAGATATCCTTCATTTCAACAGCAAAAAATTAATTCTAATTATTCAAAGAATACTTGCCTGCTTTAGACTTTTTGTGTTGCCAAATAAAATATGCTGACATATGAGGTGCTGAACAACTGGATAAGAGTTTCTATCAAGCTGAGTAAGAAAACCCAAGCAAAAGCCCTATAAGAAGCAAAAAATTAAAATGCATTATTGACAAAATGCATTATTGACAGATGCTCATAAAATGTTAAGTATTAAGGTGAAAAAATAGTAAATATTTTCTGATTACAGTTCTCAACATTCAGGAACAAAGAAAGCAAGGATAATAACCTCATAAAGTGAGCGCTGGATATTGTTGCATGGATTGGATGATGAAAACTTCAAAGCTCTACACAAGGTGCGAAGGCTATAATGAGGCTTACGGCCTGTCCCATCCACCAGTTTTGATTCACACTCTTTTCTCACTGTCAGGTAGAAGCTACAAATGCAAAGAAAGGAATAAATAACTCAGTTTCTCTGGGTTTGAAATCAACATCTTCATTAAATTTGAAGTTGCCAAATGTTTCAGACTCACAGAAACAACATAAAGCACAAAAAAGCATCCAGGATAAAATAATCTAATCCTTAACCACCACCACCCCCCAAAAAAACCTTAATACAATAGTTCTGAACATAAACAGAGCCAAAAATTATAATACAAGATTTCTGAATTGTTATAATTGCTGAAAGAGGTACAAACAGTAAACAAATATAGAAGCATTTGACTTACGTGATGATCCCATGAACTATGTTTTTGCTCACATTTAGCCCTTTCAGATAATCCATTATAAGAATATATAAATCTTCTTCATTCTGTAATTCTTCTATGTAGATTTCAGTAAACCTGTAAGGTGACAATACATTTAAAAGTTCAAGGTACTATCATGCCAAGTCATACTAATCTAAAACTGAAAGCTAAACACCAATCAAATTTTTACTGAAAATGTTTACTGAAAGATTTGTGTTGAACTTAAAAGGCATTTAAAACATTACTTCTCTTTTTCATTGAACAAAAGGAAATCACATATTTTTTGCTGCTTAAAATGGGTGTTGTACCTTGGGGGACTTAGAGGGACCACAGGGGAAAAAAAAACTGAGGACCCATGCAGCCCCACAAGAAATCCAGTCCAAATTAAGTTACATACAGAACACAATGCACTGGAATTTCATTAGTGAAGTTCGCTAAGCAACATGCAGCTCTTTTGCTGATAAATAATTTTTAATTCTGCAGAGACGGTTCCATAATCTTAACTTTAATTCTACTGTCAAGCACAGCCTGCTAAGTACTCAGTGGGGAAATCAAAGTGTAAGTATAGAATGTAATGCTTAACAAGCACTTGGTAGGCCACCATTAATGATATAATTCAGAGTTCTCCTATTTGCCATGCTAAATCAGAAAGTATGGCCTACCATAAGATCAAATAAGCATAAAATTCACTCATATATAGCCATCCATCTGCTATGCAGCTTACTAGTAATGCTGACATCAGAAGATACTCAACAGTGGTTTTTTGCTTTATATTTCCCAAGGGATCACTATACAATTCTAGCCTTGCTCTGAAATGTGATGACTCAAAACAAACAGAACTACAATTCCCAAAGTTTGTATAGTAGCATCATCTATGCATTCCAGAGACACGCTGGTAAGGCCCTTTGCCAGTATATTAGCTAAGAGCACGGTCCAATTATAATATGATAAAATAAAGATATATTTCAGATATTCAAAAATATTTATATTTTGCTACATGAACAAAGGTGGATTTCAGAACAACCTATAAAAAGAAAACAGTAGCAATTCCTACTAAAATCAGCTTCAAAATAATTATTTAATCTTGTACAGCTGGTTATTCTGTTTTTACCTGTTTCGTATTCCTGGAGGTAGATTTCTTTTTCCAACATCAGTAGCTGGATTCATACAGGCAAATAAATGAAAATTGGGATCACGTACCAATGGCTCTAAAAAGAAAAAGCAAAGACATCCAATTTCATTTCCAGTTTTCCTCAGGAAAACAAAGCAAAATGTATTTACAAGCAAGCCTTGGGCTGGTGTTGTGTATTTAAACTAGGTAATAGTAGTTTTGTTACTTTATCAATACGTTACTCATATTCCATATTACTCAAGTTGATGTTTCTGTAATATCTATCAACCATCTATAAAAACAATACCAGCCTCTTGATCGCATCAACTACATTTCCAAAGAACTGTGGCCAAACATTCACATTTCAAGTCTCTAACTATTTAGTCAGTTTCATTTCCAATTTATAAATGAAAAAGTAGTGATGTCAACTCCAAGCTGAATCTGAAACATACAGAAAAATAAAAATATTCCAAGAAACAAGTTTCCACAAGTGAGGCTGAAAGAGGACAGTGAGGATTGGAGCCAAGTTAAATTCTCTAAAACAACTTCTGAGAGAAAAATAAATTCATTCTAAAATTCAGAATTCAGTATCGATTCAAACTATAATTATGGGAGAAAAAAGGAATCACTTTTCCACTTAAGTTTTCTATAAACTTGCAGCTGAAAAAACATCTCCCCTAGGACAACTATTAGCAGGTTGACAGCACATTTTGGTCTATCAACCTTCTCCTAAAAATACATCATATGAGCACATCCACTTATATACAAATATTAACATCTGAGGATCCCAAAACTTGCCAGACCTTTATGGGAATCAAGATATAACACTTTAGCTAAAGTAAAGGTTTATTCTTTCTAGCTACTGCAAACAAGCTGGGTTTTTCATGTATCTGTTTTGCCTGTCCCAATCAATCTGCTGCCACTTTCTGACTTTCTTGCTTTGAGACTGCAGGACTTTTGAGAATGAGAACACTACAGAGTATATTTGGATAAATCATGGATAAATTACGGGGAAATGGATATCTAGTCCAGCATTCTCAAGCCACAGCAACCAAGTAGATATGAAAAGGAAGTATATAAACAAGGACCAAATAATCCAACATGTTGTACTTAACCCTACCAGCATTAAAATATTGACTTCTGTACTGGGTGGAACAATGCAAGGTTGCCATGATATTAACTATGGGTAGTTTTCTTCCCATTTAGAGATACTCAGCACCAATGGGATTGTCACAAAGTTTTTATCCAAACCTACAGACTTGTTATCTCAAATTGTGAACTGCAACACAAAAATCCCAACCTCACCCATATTAGAGGTTAAAATTATTATTATTATCCCAGACCCTTAAAAACCATTGTAAACTAATATGTTACCAAACATAAAAATGTAATGCTATAAAACAAAAACAAAAAATACCTGTGTCTCCTCTGTCTAGTAAAACTAATGAACCAGACAACCCTTCAAGTAAACCACTTAAACATTCTAATGTCTCTGCTGTAGCTAAATTAATCTCATCCAGTAGAATCCATTCTCCTTTCTTCACTGCTTGTGCTAGGGTGCCCTGAAAACAAAACAGAGAAACAATTTACCATAGCTCACGTAAACAGAAAAAATGAAGGAAGGAAAGCAAAGAGAAATATCTTTCTTCTGTCTATCTATCCATCCATTTTTAAACTGTCCAAAGAGGGACATTATATAATGAATGAGGGTGTATATAATAGATGAAGTAAAATTCCTCTCCTGATGCAGTCCTTGGCTTTCTACTATGTTTTTGAGATACAGATAATCATTTAGATGGAAATCTGGACCATAATTTCTGTTGCTAAGTGATATGGTCATAAAGCACAATGTTACAAGATCATGCCATGGTGATGGAATTTCCAGCATTTCAAGTTGGTGTCATTAAGTGAATCATGACAGGTCATTTAAGAGAGGGCATCACATGGTTGCCATTTGCAACTTCTTCCAGCTTCCCCATTGATTCTGCTTGTTGGAAGTCAGCAAGGTGGTAAATGACAATCATGTAACCATGAATCACCATGCTGCGATATCATAATTGCGAACTGGGCACTGAGCACCAGTATTGTGAACAGGTGACTGCAACTGTTATATGGTATAAGGATAAGTTGTAACTACCACCCTAAGTTTGAATAGTTACTGAATGAGTGGTAGTTAAGTGAGGAAAACCTGTATTCCTATAGCCTTCAAAAATTTCAAAATGACATTTAAGAGATGAAGGCCACAGAAAGCAGTGGATGCAGGAAGACCCTGTTTAGCAAATGTTTTACCTGAGTATTAAAGAAGTCGTGGTAAGAAATAAAATTTTCACTTTTATCAATTTGCTTTGTTGGGTGCAATTTTCATAACTCAAAACATTAATAATTGATGCAAAAGTTAATTTTTGACTGCATCTTTACCTTCAAGTTTATTTCAAATTTAAGTTTGTTAGGAGGTTGTGTCCAGACTTAAAAAGATTGCATGCTTTTCACTAAATTCACGTGAGTGTAGTAAGATTTCAGAAGGTGCATCAATACCCAGAATAAAATATCCTGCAGCCATTATTTTTTAAAGATGGTAACATTAATAAAAATATTACCTCTACAAATGCAAAGACCAGTGCATTTTCTGTCATCTTCATCTGCTGCTGAGCATGATTCAATCGGATACCAAATTCTTCCCATTTTTTCCTCAGGGGCAAGCCTACAATGACATATTTCTTCACTAAAACCAAGAGTATAATACAAATACTTATAAACCATCACTGTAATTTGGTGTAGTTCAAGATATATCTGAATTTAACCTTACAGGAGGAAGTTTTACAAATAAGGCACTGAATGGAAATATGGAACTTGTCAAACCATAGTTAAAACATTTTACTGGCCATAAAGCTATTTACAAATATGTCATATGTTGTAAAATCCACTAGCAGGATAAGGATATTAGATAACTGCATTGAATATGTTAGTAAGATGTGAGCTTTATTATTTTACTGCAGCATTTACACTGGTAAAAAGCAAAAAAGTGCAATAATTTGAATCTCTTTCTAACTTACTGAACTACCTTTATTAAGAAAAAAGGGATGGTCGTAACTTCTTGCTTTGTATCTACGCAGCTGATTTCATTCTGCAGGGCTAGCACACTTCAGGATCCTTCTCTGTAGCAGCACACCTTCTAGAATGAATTCCCCCACCCCTGAGATCCAGAAGGCCCCCCTGCTGTTGTTTAAAAGAGCTGTGAAGACCTGGCTGTTCACCTATAGGAGTTTGATGAAGGAGAGAGAAAGCAACCCCTTGCTTCATTCTTTCTCTCTGTTGTGCCTTCCACCTTTTAAAGCTTTTTCCCCACCAAGATTTTTTAAAAAAGTGTGTAAAATTGTTCCAGCCATATATGTAGGATTCCCTAATCTTTCCCACTGAATCTAAAAAGGAAATATGTTCAAAGGCATGTCTGGAATACCCCATAACTCACAGATGTCTTACCAGATGCATTTTCTTTAGCCTCCTTATTAATAGCAGATTTGTAAACATGCTGCATCAGTTTGAGAAGGTTAGGCCAATGCTTCTGTCGATAACATGTTTGGATATGCCCTAAAAACGTCTGGTTTTGCTTTCTTGAAAATGTCTGTGCAAAAAGCTCCTCAAAAGACTCTCTCAAGGGCAGCCATATCAGCTTGTTATCCACTGGCTTATATCTGTAAAGAATTCAAAACAAAACAGTGTCATGACGTTGATGGCATAAGTCACTTAGAGTGGCAGTGCCTAGATTTGATCCATCAATCAATAAAAACTAAGATCAGCAAAGGTAAGCTACAACATGAAACAAGGTATGTTTCATCAAAGTGCTTGCATTTTGCCTGTACTTTTGCCTCCTCTTCCTCCCGCATCAGCCCTTTGGGTGGAATAACATCCCCGTCCCTCTCTTTTCTAATCTATCGATCAAACAGCAAACAATATTATGCTGGAAATGTTCAGTGCTTATGCAAAGCTACACCTACCCACCAGACAGGATTTCTTTCCTCCAACTCTCGCTGGGACTGCCTAATTCCCTATTGATTTGAAGCTTTCAAAATATATTGTATTCCAAGGAATAAAATGTATATTTCTCTATTGACAATACTGTTTGTCTAGGAAAGAGATTATTGAGGGTATTTTTTTTAACTGACTTATCCACTCACCCTCCTAGAAGATCTGCAGTCTCACTCTGCTGGTTCATGTTGATAACTTTCAAACGGTGCCCTTAGAACAAAAGGATACAGAAGATGATGAATTGGTTCCTGAGTTATCACTTCTATCTTAGGCTTTATTGTCACTGACTGTACACTAATCAGCATACATTAAAATGAAATTACGTTGCACACAGCTATCAAAGGATCTCCACCTCTAATGTAAACATAAATGTGACAAGATAAATAAACACAAAACTTATGCATGTACCCACATATATTGTATGACACAGAGAAACAACAGTCTCATTCGGATGTATACATGTTCATGGTGAGAGAAGCAAATCTTGCAAGTTTACCAGACAGATGGCATAGGGAACAAAGCTATTATAGAGTCTGGTAGTCCTGCTAGAAATACTTCAGAACCTCCCCCCCCCCCCCCCGAGCGGAGCAACAGAAACAGACCGTGAAGTGGGTGTGTGAGGTCTCTAACAGTGCTTTGCGCTCTAAGCACATAGCGGTTATAAGCAATATTCTGAATGACAGGGAGCGAGCTATCTTGGTTAAGGTCTCAATACTGTACTTTACCTGTAATTTGGGCCAAGTATTGAACAGCAGAAGTTTTTCCTGTTCCTGTTTCACCCACAAGTAATACAGACTCTCCTTTGTCCACGCATACTGCAAGCTGTTCAAGCAACACTGAAGATGGGCGTGTAGGTGCAAAGCTTTGCCTTTTCCTGCCGAGATGAAAAGGTAGAAGGTTATATCTTTCCACCACCAAGTCTTCTGTTCATCAATTCCCTAAACATACTTGTCTCTCACATCATAGAAACAAACACCCGATAATAAAAAGCACAAAAGCTGCCGTGGGATTTTGCAATTATAAGCACTCTGCCCTATACTACAAATACCCAGGAGAAAAAGAAGAGGATCTCTATGTTATAGATGACTATGTTATAAAGTTATTTCTCTTTTTTGTATTTCTTTATTAGAAAGGAAGATTGTGTAACTTCTGGGACAGGGGGCCAAAGCCATACTTTTTTTGTGTGTGTGGCCCCTATTGATGTAATGCTGTCAGCAAAGGGATAGGATTATGTCCAGGGGATTATTGGCTTCTTTTGAACTCTTCCCTGGAAACTTCCAGAGCAATTGAATAAACAGAAAAGCCCTTCTTGCTTATGAGGAGGAGGTTCAAGTGGAAAGTAGCTCTAATGGGAAAGATCAAAAGCTCTGCCAATGGAAGTATATGGCTCCCCTTCAGAAGATATGCAAAAGCAGGCATGGTTAGTACCTGCATGAGAGATCCTATTACAGAAGCTAAATTAGAAAGTTACCAAAAAAAAAAACCAACCCAAAATCCCAGAAAATAGGACAGCAAATCATTTTGTTATGGCTGCCAAGAAAGCAGCATGAATGTGTCAGCCAGATCGCTAGGAGTGAAGCTTGATTTCAGACCCATGCAGGGAGTTTTAAAAAGCTACAGGCTACACAATTAATGCAACATGCAATCTGAGCCAGCGTTTAGAAGAATGTTTCCAAAACAATCAATACCGTTGCATAAGTAGTGTGTGTGACTGCTTCTTAATGAGCTGAGCTCTTCCCACAGAGACTTCTTGTTCTCCTATTACAATTTCTGGCTTATGAAGTTGACAGTAGTATTCCACCTATGGAAAAGGAACGTTTAGATCTACCTTTATTTATTGCACACCAATTCATGTATAGTACTCTCGTGAATAGTGAGCTGTTTCAGCACACCAGTCACTTTGCTGCTCGGGAAGCAGCTAACTAATGCACTTTTCAATTTTTCCAAAGCTTCAGGTGATCAACCACTTTTCCAATTAATTGCAAGGTGGAATCACATAGTGGACTGAGCCATCCTGAGTTCATTTGATTTGATCTTAAAAGTGACATATGAATCAAGCTGTCATTGTACATATTATGATTTAGCATGGAAGAGCCCGTTTGAAGAAATTTCCTTCAAAGTTCACAACTAGCTGCAATCAATTTTAAGTCATTTCCCATGAAGAAAAGCACTTATACAGAAATAGGCAATTAGTAAAGGTACCTTATGCTTGGAAATGTTCAGTTTGCTTCCAATGATTTGGGCCATTTTTAGTCGATTGGATTGTTTTGACAGCATAGCTGTGAAACAGTCTAATGCCTGTCAATGGAAAAAGTTAAGAGTCTATAGTTAAGAACTATTGTCTCCTAGTAAACCAACCATAGTCAAAGAGCAGTTAACTTTCTAGCAATGAATCACTCTTATACTTGTGATGGAAAGGAAATGATCTTATTCATTTATTTCCATTCTTATTTTATAAAAACTGGAACATCTCAAAGAGTCATACGCTTGAAAGAGGCCATTTAAATCCAATATCCAATCTTACTATACTGTACGGTATCGCCAACATGCTCTTAGTGACAGTTCTAATTGAACTAAAATCTATTAAACAATAAAGTTCTTAATCCTCCATCCATTATCTAAAAAAACAACTCGAATGTATATGTTATAGAAAGATTTTGAAAAAAAACTACCCCCTTCCTAAAACAAGAACAGTTTAGTTCAGACCTCACGGAAAATGTTCAGTGCAGTAGAGGAAGCAGAACTGTTAAAGTTGAATGCAATTCTGTTGCACCAATTGAGTAAATCCCTGAAAAAAAGAGAAGGTGATATGAATGTAGTTTCAGAGTAATGATTTTCCTTTGCTCTCCTTACCTGCCAACAACTATAGTTTTTTTCTCACTTCATTAGGTACCTACTTGGTGCTGGTTTTCAGAAAGCACCCACTCACCACATTTTCATTCAATTAATGCCTTCTTAGTAGGAACTTCAATTAAAGCATGCTTTATATAAGGAAAGCTTTCTAGTATGGATAAGTCAATGTTACTACTATTATGTGGTTATCATCAATGATATGTATATCATGATTACCATTATGCTTGTTGACTTTTTGTTGTTCAAAACTAACTGTACCCAGACAACACACTGTTCATATAGACACTGAGTTTTTAAAGTTTATTTAAAAAAATGTATCAATAAAATATATACACAAAATTAAAGCATACGCACATATGATCTCTAAAACTCTAGAGCAGTGTTTCTCAACCTTGGGAACTTTAAGACGTGTGGACTTCAACTCCCAGAATTCCCCAGCTAGCAGCTGGGGAATTCTGGGAGTTGAAGGAAACATTACTCTAGATAACTGTTGTCTGAGGATAATTTGCCTCCCCCAAACTAAAATATTCATCTGCTTAATTACACATTTTAATACCTTAGAGATAACTCTCTACCCTCCAAACATGGCTTTTTATTTACAGTCAAGCATGATGCATCTTCCATTATATTCTCATTGTCCACAACTTGGTTTTCAGATAAATGTTTATCACCAGTAAGCTCAATGTAGATATCCAACAGACAATCCGTTACAGTGGCAAGTTTAGGGTAACTTCTCTGAAGAATCTGAAGGAAGAATGCAAGCTGTTTTTAATACTGACAGTTATATTATGGTCTCATCCTGAACATGGCATAAATCATACTCTACAAGTTTTAGTAGGAATTAACATAATGGAAAACCGTTTTTCCGCAGTTAAATTTGTCAGTTCAGTTTATTCCCTCTCCTCATTTACCTCTTTCAGTTCAGCCTTAGGCAAGTTGTCCAGCATAATTTTTGTCCAGTACTTGTCCAAAAGAGCAGCATGACTGTTTTGCTGCCTATACCAACCACCTCCGTAACTGAAGACTCTGTATTTATAAAACCACAAATTAGTGTTAAGATTCTTTAGATTGTTAAGATTCTAGATGTGGAGAACTTACAGCCTGACATTACTTAAATATAAGTCATGAACTACTTTTCCATTGGTCATGTTCAACAGGCTGGGGAGTTGCAATTTTGCAACATCTGAAGCAACACAGGCACTCCTGCCAAAAATATTATAGTGTTATAACCATCTGTCATTAGTACTATATTCATACCTTTAGTTGAACGGATCAAAGGAAGGTTTGTCCAAGTATAATAGTATAATACAACTGATTTATTTTGGATGCATCCTATTCACCTTAAGACTTCTAAAAGTCTTTCTGCTCAGTCATCTCAAGTTGCAAGATGGACCACAAATAAATGTAATCATAAATTTTATAATAAGATTCCTTAACAAAGATTCCTTCCAAAGCTAAAGAAATTAAAATCTCTGATTAGTAACAACAAAATGTTAGAATGCCCCATTACTAATTTTCTAGGTATTCATTTGCTCATTGTATTCTCTAAATAATGACATATGAGATTAATATGAATCTGATAATAATAAAAGCATATGATGATCTGGTAAGAATACATTGGATTTTTACAACAGTACAAACCACTATTGTATTAATTTGGCTACTACTCCTGAGTTTTTATATATACTTTTGTAGTATTTTTACAAAGCATCTTAGATTCAAGGATTATGCTTTTAGGTATACTTAGATATACACAGAATTATAAGTATGCGTCCCCAACCCTCTCCCCCACTATCTCTACAAAACCATTTTAAAGTCATTAACAAACCCTCCCTGGCAGGGTACACTTTCTACCTTCTCGTAGCGAAAAGATGGAATCCAGGGGCTACTTTTATACAGTCATTTCGTCCAGGAATCAATAACTCTCCATTTTCCAGAAGAGGAATCAATATAGAAATCTAAAGAAGAGGGGAGGGAGGGGGAGTAAAAATTGAACAAAATTGCACTGGGCAATACCTAAACAAGCAGGTTCATTCATGTGACAAGGTTTTCTTCTCTTTTCCGAAAGAAGTTCTTAAAAAAAAATCAGGTCCTCCAGAAATGAACATCCCAGCCAAGCCTGATTCCTCCCATCTGCTTACTAGTTCAAGCAGCTATATTAATCTTACTTTATTGCAAACACATTGGACTGACTGTACGCATTGTATTTCATTGTACACATGTTGTGCATTGACAATAAACGTTTGATTGATTGGTTGGTTGTGCCACGTGAGTCATCAGATGGGATAATAACAGCACATGGTGTCCATGTTTTCTCATCTTGAAACATATGCAACTAATTATCTAAGTTAACACATTTTTAGAAGGATACTTCTTAGACAGGCAGCTACAAACACTTTAACTTATTATGGATTTAATAACTTCCATGGGACTGGATAAAAGAGCAAGGGTGAGACATTCTATTTACATACTTAGGAGTGGGGAGGGGGGTGAAGGACATTATTCCATTCTAATTTGACCACCATAGTTCTATAACACATTCAGCACTCAAGTTGTAAACAAGATCTACAACTCATCTTCCAAAATAAAAGGCATAGGGGGGCCTTCTGTTTGAAAGAGCTAATTAAAAACAAATAATCTAGAGTACTATCTAGGGAAATGAATCACTAGTTTCCATGAAATCAAATATTAAGAGAAATTAAGCATGATTCTCATTCCAAGCATTCACAAAGTACAAAAACATACCACGTCAAGGGCAGCATAATCAATATCTTCTAAAAGTATCCAGTGCCCTCTGCTAACTGCTTGAGTCAAAGTCCCTGGTTGCCACACAAACTGTCCTGGTATATCTGTGCAACGATACATGCCCAGCAAAGTCTATATAAAAAAATAAATAAAAAATAAAACAGGAACAAAATATTTGCATCATCCGTTTTCTTTTAAAATTATGAGAGCTTCTGAATGACAACACATTTCTGATCTTTTCTTGTGAAGATAATAAAGACATCACATGTAAACAATTCGTTAAAAAGATTTTTTAAAGCTTCCTAACAGCAGCAATCACAGCAAACCAAAGGATCACCAAAATGAAATGCACCAAATGATTTTAATAATTAAAATCCTATTATAGATTGTGTTGGTTCCTGACACAAGCATCCAAAATGCATTTGCATGATGATGTTGTCAGAAATGTCATTTGTCCTCTCTTGCTCTTCAGGATAACCATGCTTTCCAAGATGTGAAATTTTAGCTGAAGCCAGTTATTTATATTGATGCTCCGTTTCTTTCAAATGCATGTACAGCCATCCAAAAGTTCAGCAGTACATTTCCTCACTACAGATCAATATGGCTTCTACAACAAAAGATCAGCCAGGAAAGCATATGATCCAACTGGCTTGTTAAACTCCTTTAAAAAGAAATCTAACTATTAAGGTGATACTTTCTTAAAATAGGTTTCCACTTACCTTACTGTCAGTTTGATCTCCTAGCTGGACTTTCAGAATATGAGGTGGCTTTGTTCTTCCAGTAAATGCTGCCAAGAACTCTACTAGAGATGTTTTGCCACATCCTACCGGCCCTTCAAGAAGCACTGCCTTTTGTGAAGACACAGCCATGGCCAGATTCTGGAGATGCGCACAGACAGAATTCACCAACACAAAATTGTTCAAGATGTTTTCCTGCTGTAATAGAGAAGACAATGTTTTCAGCTAATTTAAGAGGAACAAAACATAAAGTAGCACAGAACTTAATAATAATTGCTTAAGTATCTTAGGGATGAACTGAGTGAACATATAATTGGAACCTGTGGGAGCAGAGAATTCCAAATCAAGTTGCCTGTACTGTATATGGAATGAACACTTCTGTTTTGTCATACGAAGCTTCTCCTGAATCTGCTCTTTGTCTTTCTCAAGTATCATTCTCTATAAAGAAACCTTCAGAAGAAGGAGTAGCCAGATGTTTAAAACACAACAACAACAACAACAACTAAAATCCAGTTCAGTACTCTCTTGCTGCTGATAACTATAAGAGCACTATATAAACACCCTGATGTATTTCCCATTATTTGCCTGCTTACTCTATTGTAATCCCTTTCTCTCCAGTCTCTGTGAAGGGAGAGAGACAAAAACAAGCAATTTCTGTAGGCAATCTCTTCTCTGGAAGGCCCAAAAAGTCTCTGGGGGAGGAAAGCACTATCTCAGAATACTAACCTTCTCCCTGCCCAGGGCCTGTCCCTGGAAGTCCACAAAATAATTTCAACTAGAAGAGCCGGGATTGCGGTCATTGAGCAAAGTGGCCATTTGGTGGCTTGCTTAATGATGATTCTGCACAATGACCGAGATGCCAGGCCCAATTGTGGTCCTAAGTGGATGATTACCTGTGGAGTATAAATAACTGGAAAAAAGCACAAGTCTTGAAATATTCTCATGCATCATAATATGTATCAATTTTACTTACATTTTCTCTAGGCTCAAACTGTTGTCTAGGTAAGAGAACTCCACACACTGCTACCACCTTTGCACAAAGGTCAGCAGCAACCAGCTCTCCCTGAGTGTACCGCAGCTTCTCTCCTTTGCTCCAGAAGTTTTGGTCTGAGTTGGCCAGAACTAAGGCCTGCTCAATGTTCTGCACCCGAGACTCTTCCACAAGCCTATCAAAATTGCAATTATGTTTACTACAGCAGACTGCTCTACTAAATGAATATTTTAGAAAATAAAAAGAGAGCAAATAGAAGAAGAGAAGGGTGAAAACTTACTTAAGCCTAAAATGTATTAACTCTTCTGGATTAAAAGTTTTCTTCAGGAAAGATAATCGATGCTCATCATTCATGCATGTAACCAAAGCAAGACAGCTGGCAGTATACCTGTGTAGGAACAATTGTTCAGGTAACATTTTAATGTGATTTCTAAACGTACTTTCTTTTACAGAGGGATGAAAAATGGTTATCCTACTACAGGGTTGTCAAACTCGCGGCCTGTTGGCAGGATGCATCACGCGCTGATCATGCCCAAACCCGGTTTAGCAAAGGGGGGGAAGTCGCAATATGCCACATGACAACGCTGTGACAACACAAATTTGACACCCCTGTCCTATTCCGTACAACCATTTAGTTTAATAGTTTCTCTAATCTAGATCACTGGTTTTAGGAAATCAGTTATAAGTTGCCCACAAAAAGGGGCCGTATCAATATTATTACCATCGTTTTTAAATGCTAACATTTACCAGATGAGAAAAAAAGATAAAGAATACTGATGACATAGAAATAATGTAAAGAGAAGAACAAACCAAGGAAGTAAGCTTTATATTTTAGAGTGAGACTAATGAAGGATTCTGGACTTCAACTATGGAAATCATTATTATCCTAATGAGGTTTCTAGCAAACCTGACTGCTCATCAGTTTTAAAGCCAATATCCTAATGAAGAATGAACTTTACAGGAAAAGAAACAAATACTATGAAAACATCGAAGTAGTTTGCCTGGCCACTTTTCATCATTACTTTGACACTGATCGGATTTTCTAGAAAGATCACTTATTAAATTCAGGGTAATCAAAAAATAAATGTTTAACGTTAGATCCACTTTCTAATAGAAGTAAAGGAAAACCATTACCCACTACTAAAAATTCTTTTAGGCAAAAACTCATTTACCTTGGAGATTTTATTATAAGATTTCTATCAGAGCACTTTCATGTGTCAATAAGCAAAAAATGGATATAGGCAAAATTTCCATGAAACAAACTTGTCCACGAACACATGGTAATCAAGTTATCACACATAGTATTCTAAATAAGAAATTCAAGAACTAATTTATATGCACATCAGGAATAATTCTCATTTTGGGGGTCTAACAAAAACATCCGACAGTCCATTTTGCTTATATTTAGGCTAAATAGTTACTCTGAATAGTTTTAGTGAATGTTCCTCTACCTGTCAATTTAGAAGCTCTTATATACGCAGGGAACCTTGTCTGCTTTAAAATCTAACTCATGAATTATGTAAAAAAGGTAAAAATGTGACTGCAAGGTCTTCCCTATTCATTAAATAAGCCACACAAAGGTAAGAAAATTAAAGTTACCATCGAACCAAAGTATCATGACTTCTTAGTAAAGGGACACAAACGCTCCAATCCCATAACTCTCTGAATACAGCCTGATCTTTTTGGAGAAATTTGTAGGCTGCCTCCATGAGATCCCTCAACTTCATTCTGCGTCGTCCATATCGAACCACATTTGTATCCAAACTCTCCAGGAAAAGTCGGTGAAATACAGGTGAAGTGTCCTTAAAATATTTCAAAGCAAATCTGCACAAAACAATAGTACTGAGAATATACAACCATGGCAAAAACAGCACAAATTTCAACTTATTAGGTATTCACTAAAGCTTTTGCTTGAACATATACATCATCCTAATATCTGATGAATTTAGAAAATAATTTTAAGTAAACAATAATAATGGCTGCTTCGACAGACTTTATCTTAAAAAGAAAAAACAAGTACCATTAATGGCTAAAATCTTGCTTGTTCAGAAATTAAAGTCAACTTACATATCCTAAGAAGAAAAACTATGTTGAAATGTGTATATGGAATCAAAACAAGACATAAATTTTATCTAGAGAGAACACCATTAATTTCCAATTTTTACAATAAAGGACAGAATGGAGTTGTATATAATTGTTACAACTATATAACACTTCAGATTCGGTTCCAAAAAGAAGCTCCTGAATACTCAGAGACACAAAAATATGTCTAATTGAGAAGAAGTGGTCATTAAATACTTGAGTCTTCTCAATTAACTAGAGTTCTTGAAAACACGAAGATTACGCATAAGCAAATTATTTTGTAAAATCTCATTTTAAAACTAAAGTGCACAGGCAACATCTCAATTCAATACAATAAAGCTGAAACTAGCCTATACACTTGATCAGTGGGACAATTTATTAACTTTTATAAATATGTCAGCTATGTGTTTTTTTAAAAAAATCTTAGAATTCTTACACTCCTTACATGCAAATCTTCAGGGGAGGGGTGCGGAAATTCCTAAACAATTCAATATTTTTAATATCATTATAATTTAATAGCATTTTATTTTTGGAAAAAGAGGGACCATTTTTCAAGAGCTACAACTTTGAAGGATTTCTGCAATTGCTTTAACACTGTTCCTGAGACAAACATTTTGATAAATTTTAAAATTTCATTTCAACCTTTTTAGTCTAAAATACAAGGGCATCGTATCATAAATATTAAAGAGTATTACTTTAATATGAATAATATCGTGTAAGAAAGATTATTTTCAATAATATTTTTTTCAATTGAAGTCAAGAGATTTGAATTGAAAATATACACACTGCCAAATTTAACTGACAAGTAATTATCACAATCTTTTAAGACAAAGACCACCTAAAGATGGATCAGCAAAAGCTGCAAACACTGATATAGATTTTTCTAGTGTAGTAGCCAAACAAAGTCCTGAATCAGTCTCTGGAAGCTGTGAGGATGCAGCTAAAGCAAACCCAACTCAGATGAAATCCTATAAACAAAAATTTTGTAAGTTGTCAATAAATATCTTGAAAATCCAACTCATAATAGCCACAGTAATTATTCTGAATATCGTCACATTTCATGCAAATAAAGTAATTGTTACTTGGGAGTCCTCCTAGACACTTGACTGTGGCAATTTATTATTTCTATTTTCTTTCTATTGTCTTGGTTTGTTGTCCTTTGACCAGAGACTGTTAAGACTGGAGCAGAATATAAATACGTTCAAATAAAAATAAAACAACTATGTAGCTTAAAATAGAACCTAAGAAACAGCTTGGATTTTAATGTAATATAATAACAATCCATATATGTTTCATACAACTAAAAATTGTAGAATGTTAAGCAGATAAACAAATTCAAGGGAATCTAATTATTAACAACAATTCCTAAACCAAATCAGAGCCCAAGACACATATAAATTTTTCATCCTGGATAATCATGTGAACCCATTGTTAGTCTCCATCCAATTATCTGCTACTGTATATTAAAAAACATGTACACTTATATCATCACTTACGGCATCACATCTGGATGATCACCAATAAGTTTGCTCATTGCAACACAAAGTCTCTCATGAAGATCATGGTTGATCTGGCCACAAGATTTAATTGTTTCTGCATTTCTTTCCAATAAATCCAATAAGATTGGACGAAGCTGACGGCCAATCAGAAGAGTGCATTCTTTATCTAGTAATAACTGTGACAGGGCAGTGAGAATGCACTGACGGTCCTGATGACTCCAGATCTGAAAAAAAGAGATGTCAAATTAAAACCAGGATTCTCCCCTATATTTAATTATGTTGAATCATCATCACTAGAAAGGACAAATATGGTGCCAGCTGCCTAAATGAGCTACAAGCATCCATATATAACAGAGGTGGGCAACTATGGCCCCTTTATGACTTGTGGACTTCAACTCCCCAAATTCCTGAGCTAGCATGGCTTGCTCAGGAATTCCGGGAGTTGAAGTCCATAATTCATAAAAGGGCCATAGTTGCCCACCCCGATATATAAACTAAGACAAAAAAGTGTCAGAAAAAATAGAGAGACCCCTAGAGAGATATTGTATATTGGTATTTCTGCCAAGATTCTCAAATGTTTTTGAAAAAGTCCTGTATTAAAAACAACTGAGCAAAATTAAGTTAGCAGGTAAGAGAATTATTTCCACAGATTAATAATTGGTTAAAGTAAATATAGAAGATAAATATTGTACATGGACAGTTCATATAAAGTATTACCTTATAACTGAATTAATTTCTAAATTAAGTATATTTCAAATTCACTATTTCTATCATATATTGTACTGTAGTAATGGTCACCAATATGATTTTTTTAAAAAAGGATCAGGCAAATGCAAGAAAAATACCATGAAATTAACAACCCTGATGTTAGTTCTAGAATCAACTTAAACATATATATAGGTAAAGGTTCCCCTCGCACATATGTGCTAGTTGTTTCCAGCTCTAGGGGGTGGTGCTCATCTCCGTTACAAAGCTGAAGAGCCAATCCTGTCCAAAGACGTCTCTGTGGTCATGTGGCCACCATGACTAAACACCAAGGCACATGGAATGCTTTTACCTTCCCACCAAAGTGGTCCCTTTTTTTCTACTTGCATTTTTGTTTTACATGCTTTCAAACTGCTAGGTTGGCAGAAGCTGGGACAAGTAATATATATCTCCCCCATTACACACACACACACACACACACACACACACATAATCTCCCCCATATATTATTTCTGAGATCTTTGTTTTCTCAGGTGCAAATTAAGAAAGCTGTTACTTATAAAGCCCTAGATAACATAAGACCTACTTGAAGGACTGCCTGTCTCCCATAGTTCCCCATTCAGTTAACACTCTTCAAGTTCCTTCAATTAAATAATGTCATACTACCCTCTCAAAAACGATTCCCAATGAGCTCCAGATGGCTCCCTTTCTATTGCTGTTTAGAAAAGAGGTAGAAATCTGGGTCTTTGCCCAGGTGTTTGGTAAGGGAGGGTAAGACCCTTCTCTTCCATCTGGACTGTTGTATTTGCTAACTTGTATTGTTTCATTATAATTTGTTGTAAGCCATCCAGAATCACTGGGAATCAGCAACATACAAATGGTTCATTGCACAGTCAATCAGATGTTTAGACTGTATTTGGTATTTTTACCCACTTATCCTGACTTGCGATAAGCAAAAGCTGTTTGAACATATCATCACAGGATGTAAGCTGTTCCAAGTAAAACTGTCTTTTGCAATTGACTGATGGTGATTTTGTCAATGTCAGTTCAAGTTGTACTCTAGTTGTTTTGGGATTGCACCCAAGGGAATCTAAATCCTAATCTGAAATTTATTTTAGGTGTAAATTAGTACATTATTCTGTGTATGGCCTTAATATTTAATTTTAGTCATAGCTCTTAATTTAGATTTTAGCATTACTATTTCTTGAGAGTGTTCTTGAGACAGTAGTGTAGTGGTTAAGGAATCAGGCTACAAACTATGATACCATTAGTTCTAGTCCTACGGCCAAAATCTGTGGGCAACCTTGTGCCAGTGATTTTTTTTTCTCATACTTAGGAAGAATGGCAAACCATTTCTGAAAAACTTTTCCCCCAAAACTGCAGGGTTTAGGCAATCTCTGAAAATCTGAGACAACTGAACAGTATAAAAATACTGTTTTCATTTCTCAGTTTATATCTCAAGTTGGTAAAAGGCTATAATTTGATTTGATTAGGAAATAATTATTGCCTGAATTCATGTATTGCTTTAATCATTAACTGTCTTCCTTCCCATGTTTTTACTAAAACTAACTCAAAACCAAACAAATGAGATGAGAGACTAGTATGAGATATAATATTAATCATGTTTTACATAACAAAAGTATGGATCAGCACAACATGTGAATGAGGACAAGCAAAATCAAATCCCCAATATTGGAGGTTTTTTAGTAACAACTAAATCATTGCTTTGTCACTGCTGTTCAAAAATATACCATGGCTGAATATTTTTTTCTTAAAGTCCTAATAAATAATCTTGTAGTTCCTGAGATAATCCCCTAGAGCAGGCCTGTTAAACTGGCCGCCTGCAGGCCAGATGCACCATGTGCAAGCCACGCCCACCCCGGCTCTGCAAAGGCAAAAATCATTGCAATATGTCATGTTACACGATGAAGTTTGACATCTGTGTCCTAGAGGTTATAGAAAATGTTAGATCTTTCCTTCTGAGGAATGCAGAGGGAAGGAAATCCATCCTTGTATATAAATGCCTTCTCCCACCCTCCACACTCAAGTCTCAAAAGATACCAGAGATGTAAAATTGGTGTCCTTTGAGAAGCTGTCGATTTGCTCCCAAAATATCAGCAAGTTTGAGGGAGAGAAATACTTGTTTCATTTCCAGCAAAAGTCCAGTGTTTACATATTTTCATGTCAACCCAACAAGGTTACTTGCTCATCCATATTACTACCATAGGCACAACATGTAGCCTAGGGCTATGCATGATGTTAATCAATTATTCCTCATACTGATTTGTATTAAACTCATACATACTGTAGAGCTAGCACACCATATTGGGGGGTGGGGGTGAGACAATTATGGCTTCTTCATGACCTGCGCACTCCAACTTCCAGAATTCCTGAGTCAGCCGTACTGGCTCAGAAATTCCAGGACAAGATCCACAGGTCGTAGAGGGGTCATAGTTGCCCACCCCTGCCTTAGACTATATAATAAAATGCCCTTATTTTAGATGTACTAATAGCCAAGCCAGCTAGCCTAATCTCTCCTGAAAACTATATGACAATGAAAGGCATGTAATAAAAGAGCAGTATTTTGGAAGATGCTCTCCTCCTACCCTGTAAAAAAGTTATTTTCACGACTCTGCTAAAAATTCACACATTCTTCTCCTATCTCAAATCAATGGTAGTCAAGCCCATGTATGACTTACGGACAACGAGAAGAATACCAGCCTAGTTTTGTCTGACCCAGTAAACGGAGAATCAAAAGCATCAAAAGTTCTCAGGGCGGAGGAAGACACAAGCGCAAGTGGGCGAAAGTGTACGGAACAACAGAAAATACTTTGTAAGCTCGGGTTTTGCATATTGGCCCTGGTTTGCTCTCCAAGCTTGTTTCAATTTACTTTCTAAAAACGTTTCGTTACCAGTCTAGGTAACATCATCGAAGTTTATGGCGTTCTGCTTTTGATCATCTAAAACACCAGCGACGTTTTAATCTATGGCCGGAGGTCAGAAAGTTTTCCGAATGCACTGCATTTCTCTCGGCAGGCGACAAACGGAGGAGACTGGCCAACGTTTTGTTTGTGGCCGTTGCGAGACTAGCGGAAAGAGATTCTCCTGCACCCTCGCTTCTCCCTCCCCCACTCCACGATCTCCTCTTCAGACAAAGGTGAGAGACCCCAGATCGCCCTCTTCTCCTTTGCTTCCAACCAGGCCAATCCTTTTCTCGAAGGCCGGGGCGGAGAAGACGGACGGTCAAGATTACTTGTGCAGATCCACCCTTCTTCCACCACCCCCTCCCGCCCACCCACTCCAGTGGCCGAGAGCGGAGAGGGCACCGCTGCCATTGTGGCTCTCTCCCACCTGTTTGGCGAGGAACCGGCTGAGCTCGCCGCTGCTCCTCTCGTTCCTTTGCGCTATTAATTGCAACGGACCCGCTAGACTGAATTGCAGATGCTCCATCTTTAGACGTCCCGCGGGAAGGAATCCCTTCGGCTGGAGGGCCCCTTTTCCCGGGAAAGGGAGGGGGAGTGTTGCACGCCAACCTAGCCAACCACCCCTCTCGCCACCCGCTGTTAAAAGCGCGACACGTGGGAAGAGTGAGTTTCGTTTTCCCCCGGAATTCTACGTCATCTTTCAGCGACGCAAGCCCCCACTGAAAGCTTTCTCAATGTTGCTTTCTGGACGCTCCTCCCCTTGTCCAACGCCAAAACAAAAGCTCAATCTAGCGCGGGCGTTTTGCTCTCCACGAAGACGAAAGGTGAATTACTTATTATGACGGTGCAATGATCGTTACTTGGGTGGTTGGGATTTGTTTTCCACCCTAAGTTCTGCACCTCGAATCGCTCGAAGATGTATTTTCCTTACTGCTTCTTCATAACTATTTCTCAAAAATTGCCCTTGATGTGTTTTCCAAAAGACCATGAAGGATTATCATATGAAAGTAAATCCGTTGAAATCAATGGGAAATTCTGAGAAAATACGTATTAAATTGAGATGTTCAGTGAGGATGTTCCTGTTTCCACTTCAGATCTACAATATTTTTTCTGAACAATTCAAATGAATACTTTATAATTCACCTGCACAGAATTCCAACACATTTCTGAATCCTATAATCCTTTAGTTAGGAGCAAGTTCCATTTAATTAACTGAAGACTTCTAGAACTGCACTTTGATACATTTGCCTTCTATAAGTCGGAAACATATCTTAAATATATGGTAATCTTTAAGAACATTATTAAAATAGTTCTTTTGAACTATTCTCTGATACTATTTAGATCTCATTCGCTAATACTTGTAAAAGTTCCTGAATAAACTTACTGTAAAAATTAGCAACCAATAACGCAAACAATAGTTAAAAAAGTATATGAACTTGAAGTCCAGGATAGAATATAGTAAAGAACAAGTAGTTTAAGGTGTCAAAGAAACTACAGCACTCTAAATACTAAAACCTAAAGCACTGTCTATAGATCATAATGGCAAATAAAATAAAACAAGAAGATTCAGTGCAGCATATAAATCAAAGTAGGCCATAAAAATGCTATAAAAATGTAGTTTATTGTTCACAAGATACTTTGTTGCATTTGCTACAGCTGAATATATAGGTGCTTTAAAACTACTGTGAAATTTTAAGTGTATTCTCATTGCATTCCCAATATTATATACTGCAGATAGTACATTTCAAACATTACATTCAGTAACCAATGTTTAAAATATTTTGTGACTCCTTAATAATCCTGAAGTGTCTATTACAGATTGGCAGCACATTAATTATCCATTCCTTTGGAAATGTGACTTACAAACACTGTTGTTAAAATTAGGCAGAGTAGTTGCAGTCCTAGTTATTTACTAAAATATTGTTATAAAAACCTTCAAAATCATAGGTTAGTAGTATAAACGAATACAAAGGACAAATAACTTTAACTAGTTCTGAATGTTTTGTCAGGAAAGTTATATTCAGAGCAAATCAAGTAATTACATGATTTACTGTTACATTCATTTATTGGAAGAGTATGTTTACTTGAATAAGGCTTTCAGAATCAACCTTTTATTATTTGCTTCATTTCTAAAAATCACCCAAACTCCCTGACTGCACAATGGAGAAGATTCCGTTTCATTTTTGATTGAAAAAGTAGAAGAAACTCAGGATGTCAGATAAGTAAATATTAGTTATAATTTATACAAAAATAATTCCAATTCTATTGGCACCCTACAAATAAGCAATTCAATTTACAATAACCATTTGTTTGAAATGTATTGGGTTTCCTGCTTGAGCAGTGGGTTGGACATGAAGACCTCCAAGATCCTTTTTAACTCTTCTTATTCTGTTGTAACAGACTCCAGACAGAGTATACAATGGATTGATTCTCTAAGTGGGTATATCATTCTATACAACACAAGCAACTCAGCAATACTGTAATACATATATTAGTAATTGGTGCTTTTAAAGTTTTGTTTTAATTCAGTGGTTTTGATTCTCACATGTATGCGATTGTTGTCTTCATCTGGATTTTTTTTTCTTCATTTTTACAGTCTAACCTATAACCCTGACATTTCTTGATACGCTCCAATCCAAGCGCTAACCAGGCCAGACCCTCTTCTAGCTTTTTAAGATCAGCCAAGATCTTACTAACAATATTATCTGTTCGTTACAAAACGCTGCTACTTCTCCCGATTTTGACTTTAGATTGCCCTTACAAAAGCCAATCTCTTCCCATTAGCAAAAAATAAAATACGCGAACAGTGCAAGCTTTTTAAAACAACCCCTTAGGAAAATGCTCCCGTACAATTTACACGGCTCGTTTCAACACTGCTCTCCAGCCCAAACGTACACACATACACACGCCCACTCTCGCGTAAGGGCGGGCTTAACATGACCGTGATGCTTTTTGGCGCCAAATCTTTTCCTGGCGGAGGTGGGACCTAGTGACGTCACGCCAGAGTACGTGCTCCAGCGTCAAGAGATTGGTTACGCTTTTCTGGCCCCGCCTATTCCCCCCGCCGGTTTGGCCTGTTGCGGGTGGGGAATCGAGGGGGGGTGTAATCTTGCGAGAAAAGCGAGAAGATGAAGTCCCGGCGGGTTTGAGGGTGGTGGTGGTGGGGTCGTCTCCGCCACGCCCGTTGAGCCTCGGAAAAGAACGGCAGGACTCGCCGCTTCACTCCGGTTCGTGAGAGGGATAGAGACTTGATGGCGGGGTCTTTGGGGGAGCTGTGGCGGGCTGGCAGGGCTTCTTCTAAACCCTCCTGTCTGCTCGGAGCATCCGCTTTCGCCTTCCCCAACCTGCTTGCCTGCCTGCTTGGCTGATGTGCCGGCCTCAGAACACCCGTCAGTCCAGCCAGTCTTAGGCTCCTACCGGCATCCGGAGGGCACCAGCTTCCGCAAGGCGGACGTACTACCCCCACGCTTCGCCCCGTTTTCCGTCCGCTTGGTCCGGTCAACCCTGGGCCTGGCCGACGAAGGAGAGGGATTTCTGAAGTGACAAAATGGGGTTTAGCCTTCCTCATACTTGAATGGGGGCCCTCTTGCGCGACGTAAACAAATATTCACGGTCCGTGAGGAAACTGACACTTGAGCAGATCGGGTCGGGCCCGTCATCTCCCCATTTTCCCTTCTTCTGTTTTCCATATTAGTTCGGAGAACAATTTGACAATATAGCTGCCTCTGCTTCGCTTCCAAAAACAACCAGCCTCTTAAGGCTCAGCTTTACTTCATTCTGTTTCTGGTGCGATTTATTTATTATTATTTTCAAATCTAATCCTAATCCCAAAGGTGTTTCTCCCCCTCCCCCAAAAGAGAGTTTGTTTTTCCTTGAAGACATTTCGCTTTCCAAGAAAAGCTTCCTCGGTTCCACTCAGTTCAGAACTGAAGAGGCTTCTTGGATGAGAAGCCAGAAGGTCTTCAAGGAAAAACAGTTGTCTTTTGAGAGGGGTGGGGGGGAAACACTTGGGATAATAACCATGACCTGGATGACTGAGAATATCATAGGCAAACCAAGTTCTAGGTTCACAAACAACATGTACAGAATGCTGTGCTATTTAAGGGGAGGGGGAGATGACTTCACAGCTGTCAAACTGCAGCTTTTTGGAAAGTGCTTTTCTTTGCATCTCTGGCAAATTAAGTGTGATAGGTAGGTATTAGAAAGGATTTGGGGAGTGAGAAGCAGAATTTTCAAAATGCTTATTTTCTACTTGAAAACTTTAATGGTCTTATGACTGGGTTTCCTCCCCCACCCACGTATACTGATGTATCAGAGTCTACTTACTGATCTAGCTAATATTATTTGCATATTAGATTTCTATCACTGTACATTTTTCATTCAGGAGCTCAAAGCCACACAGTGCTTTCTCCTATTTTTTTTTAACACCAACATATGGTTGATAGAGACAGAACCAAAGTTGCCCAGTGAGCTTCTGTGACTAATGGTGGACTAGAATCTGAGCCTTAATGCTCCTAGTCCAACGCTACAGTTGATAAACTTTTATGAAAGGATCTGATTTTTAAAAAAGATATTTATATACTTTTTAGATCGATGTCCTATCTTTTGTTCAGGAGTTCAATATGGCATACATATTGCTGTGTTCTTCTTTTTTCTTCTATTGCAATCCTGTAAGAAGTAGACAGTGACTAGCCCAAAATCAAACCAATGAACTTCTGTAGTTGCCTTTCATATGAAAGGATGGACAGTTTGCAGGTAACATGTAGTCCCTAATCATATGAATATAAGCCAATAGTGTGATATGGCTATCAGAAAAGCAAAAGTGGAAGTTTAAGGCAACATCAGTAGAAAAACAGTTCTGAATCACAGGAAGTGATTGTTTCCCTCTGTTTTTCATTGATTCTTGAGTGTTGTGTTCAATTCTGGATGTCATGTCATAAAAAAATTCAGATAAATAGAACAGATGTAGGGATAGAAAACAAATATAATGGAGGGAAACTATCATATAAGGAGAGATTGAAAAAATTGGACATTTTAGTTTTGAGAAAAGATATCTATGGAAAATTATAGCACACGTTAACTTTGAGCCACACAGAAAATGCTATGACATGATGTATTCTCTATTAACCATAGAATAATGGTTCCAAATTATAAGTCAGATTCCAGTTAAAAGTGAAGGAAAACTTCCTGATGGGAAAAACAGATATAGTTCCAATCGTGAAACAGTTGCCCAGGAAGTGGTTTGCTCTCTTTTATTTAAATAGCTATCTGTTGGGGATAATTCATTTTTTGGTACCTGACTTAGATATGATGGCAAAAGCAAGTTTTTATTCTACAATTCTCTATTGGTTGAATTGCTAACAAATTATTCTTTCTAAATCTGGAAAAAAACATTAGACAGCTTGATGTTGCCAAGTGGCATTATTTTCTAAAAATCAAGATTCATGGAGAGAAGATGAAAATCTCCCCTCACACAGCTGTTATTTAAAGTGTGGGATGGAGTTATGTGCATGTGTACAGGCATTTTCTTTCATGCTGGGTCAGGCTATCTGATGTCTGATATAAAATGTGTATCTTGTTTAGGCTGATGTCCTAATTTTTTTCTGTCAAACTTAGATGGGGAATACTTAGGAAGTTATAATGGGAACAGAGGAGGATGAGGATGGAATGACATTTTCTAATCTACATGGCAGTAAGTAAATCTGATTATTTTACTTTTGGGGGACATTAGAAAAATGCTTTATGGTATTATCTAGAAAATAGAAAATGGCGGAAAAGTCATATAACAGACATGTTTCAAAAAGTTCTATTTAATTAGATTCTTGTGTATGTCTGTGCCAGGAGCTATTCCTTCCAATCATAACTTGTCTTCATGCTCTTTTGAAAGAAGCCAAGGAAAAGGAGTTTGCTGATAAGTTCTACAATATGTTATTTTAATATTTTTTATTCAAAAGCAAAATTGTGCTAATGTTTTGATTAATGGATCTGTCAGACTCCTTCTGACTTTGCATGCTTCAAACCCCAGAAATTTCCCTGTTTGACAGTTATTTTTACTTTACAAGATAAAATATATAGATATGTCTTTCTTTGGGCTTAATAATCAGAAAAAATGCATAGGTTAAAGTCTAGAAAGCTTCTTTTTCTTATGTCTCTTATATTCCCTTTAAAATTGGTGCCAATAACTGAATTGAACTGATCAGAGATTTAATTATTAATCATATTTATGACCCTTTTCTGATCAAACAAGCCATAGTGATCCACAGTAACAATCAAAACATCAGTAAAATTATAGTTACAAAAACATAAAGCCACATGCAATATGAAATCAATAAAGAGAGTGAAGCAAAGTAGTTTCTGTTTCAGTATGTTTGGATATAACCTCTCCAAACTGATGATAGATTGGATAAAATGTTTTTTATTGTATTGTAGATTTATTCTTTGTAAAACAACTTTTATCTCTTCTATATTACAATTATTATAATACATGAACAGCTAACATCTTTTGCGGGGTGTTCTTTCTATTTGCAGTTTCTTATGAAAGAGAAGATGGCGATGAGAGTTCTGTGGATATTTATGATGGCTTAGACAACACTCCAGTTGTTTCTAGTATGTTATTTGCCTTGCTATGAAATTTCTTTTTTATTTTATTCACTTGAATTAGATGATACAGATATTTTCTTTCCTCACATCACAGACAAGCTTAGTAAAAATGATGAAAACCTGTTGAAACAAGGTTTTATAAGCTTGATATCAGCTCTAATTTTGTAGTTGACTTCTCCAGGCTGTTATTGCTAGGGATTTTAAGTTTTCTTGGGTGTGTTTTAACTCATAATTCATTCCTGTCAAGACAGCTTGACAGGGTCCTGCTTATGGAATGGAGATGGATGGGCAACAGTGAATCTGGTATTTTAAGTATATGTTAAATGTGATCTGGTAAGGGAGACATTATCAGTAGGTCCTTGTACTAATGTATTACTTTTGGGTAACTGAGATTCATGTATTAAAGAGAGACTTAGATGGTCTACCCCATATGTTTTATGAATCTCTGATTTTAAGAAGCTTGGGGAATTTCCCAGAGATTTATTGGGCAGTTTGATCAGGCCTCTGGCATACAGATGCAATAAAAGCAGTAGATAGAATTACCTCACCTGTTATTAATCCTTGGGTTTTCTTTGCTTTAGTGGTAAGCTCCAGAATATGAAACAAAGAGGCAAGATGGTAGTGAAAAACAAATCGCAAATATTATAAAATATGGATATGAGCCCAGATTAGGCTATGTACCATGACAGTACGATCAGTGGAACATTGTTAAATTTCTCATACTGCATCCATGAAATGTCATTCAGATGTGCTATTTAAAGTGACCAGAACCTTTGGTGGAATCTTAAAGTGGAAAAACTCTTAATAGATCATTGTGATAATTTGTTAAATATTTTTAGATAAAATCATGCATATTCACTGAGAGTTAGATGCTGCCTAGGCAGAGATCAGTCGCTGGCAATTTACCCAACTATAAAAAGAAGCAAGAAATGCAGCACATCTCATTAAAAGTAGTTTTAGCTTTCATCTAAAAAGTGATCTCTTATCTGGTCTATCTAGTGGGATTTACAGGTGTAATCAAAGTGCTTATCACTTATAAAGCCTTATAAAGTTTGACTCCTTGTTGTTGCCTTTGAGATTGTCTACATACAGAAGACAGGATAGGTTGAAAACTCCTTCTCTTTAGGAAATGGGTAAATTGGGGGCTTAGACATTTCTGTTATGGCCCCACCCACTTTAATATTCTCCTGCTTAAAGTAATGATTGGTACTTTCTTATTAATACTCATAATGGCATTTAAAACACACCTCTTCCACAAAGCATTTGGGGAACAAATGTCATATGTTGTATCCAAACCGTTTTGTTATGTTCTTGTTAAAACAGTTTTAAAAACTTTTTGTAAAAAATTATCATTTTGCTTATTATTTGATATACCTACTTTTTAATGTACTGGTTGTAAGACATTTAGAATATTGCACTGAAGCAGAATACAACTTTTATTAAATAAATAAGTATTTCAGTAGAGATTTTAACTTAAATCTGACCGTAATGCATTGCATTAGAAGTGGTTTGCCATCCAAAGGTGTGTACATATTGGATATATTTATAAGATTTGGCTTTCATATGTAAGAAAGACTAAAGAATATGTAAATAATAATATTTAGCTAAAATTAGGATTCTGAAACTATGCCACCTAGTTTCATGTACAAAATAGGTTTCGGAGGTGTGGGGTATTTTATGTACTTCTTGCTTGCAGTGCTTCTTTGTCTCCACAATGAATCCCCTTTGAAACTGAGGAAATGTTCAAAACCACTTTAATGAATTGAATGAGTCTCTTTATGATGGTCTTTGCTCAGGACACAAAACTATAAAACAGGAGGAATTATATGAAAACTAAACTATAACTAGAAAATAGTAAGAAAATAATTTATGAAACTGAATAGAGGTAATAACTCTCTGTTAGGTATTATGATACTACGCAGTGTCAGTGAAGATGTATCACTGTCCTTTATATTTCTGAAGCTTTCATGGAACAACTACATTTGGAGTGTTGTGGATGATGTAGGAGCTCATTTTGTTGAGGTTGCAGTATAGGGCTGGGACTGAACAAGTGTGGAGCCACACAGTTGAAGACATGAAGCTTCTCATATGATTTCCAGAGTGCATTAGCTAACCATTGCTACCAGCTTAATAAAGTCTGGTAGTCTTCTTTAAAAAAAAACCAAAGGATTCTTTTTTAAAAAAAAAATTACTTTTCATTTCTCTTGCTTTAGGCAATTGTGCTTCAAAAGTGCCAATCGAAAGTAATTTAAACCTATTTGATGAAATCCTGATTGAAGAAGAAACAGCCAAGGAAGCCACTTTCAATGAAGTATGTACTTTACATTGATAACACATCAGGGAAATAAATTTCAGTTAGATAACTCTAATAACTAACATATAATTATATTTGTGCTTATACTAATTGAAAGTATCAAATTTCAAAATTCTCTGATTTAAAAATTTATGCAATTAAAGGGAAGTTGAAGTTTGGATCCTAAGGAGAAGGAACTTGATTTTTCATTTATTAATAATAAAATTTAATGTTATCAAAAACTGAAGTATAATTAACCATTGTAACTGGAGTTTGATTTGTTTTGCTTTACAGATAGTTCCATTTGTCCATGTTGCAGTTAAAATATGTATGTGTTTAGTAGGGGGTGAAAATACTTCCTTATAACTCAGAAAATATTTGTATGATTTAGTAAAACTATTTGCTGTATCCAAAGTATGTGTCTTTATATAAGAAGAAATTTTTGTCTTGACAGTTGCAGGCTGAACATGAGAAATGTAAGCAACAACTTCAAGAGTTGACGAAGAAGCTTCAGGAAATCCAAGAAAAGGTGATAAAGCAATAAGTATTAGGATCCAAGACATATACATACAGGTAGCAGAAAGAACAAATGGGAAGATATTACTGCATAAAAGTGGTTGTATTTTTGAAAATAGTAATAAGGTAATAGTTATTATAAAGCAGTTACACTTGAAAACTAATCTAATCCTATACATGCTAACATATTCTGGTCAGTGATATTCATTTTCAGGAAAGTATCAGTAAGATTAATGGCTAAATATGCAATCCTTTATGCACTTAACTACAAAGCATTACATTAAATATGTTTTGAAGATAACATTTTTTTTAGCTTAATACAAGTGAAAATGTAATAAATTTAAATACCTATTTCTTAAATTTTATCATGTTTTTGTTCATATGTTCAATTCCTTGTTTATAATATGTTAAATGTCTATGTGTTCTTTCTTACTTAGAACTCTCTTCTACAAAGTGAAAATCTGTCCCTTAAAAAAAATATTTCAGCACTTATCAAAACAGCCAGAGTGGAAATTAACCGCAAGGATGAAGAAATCAGTAATCTGCAGCGAAGGTACTGAAAGTTAACCTACACATTGTTTTTGGAAGAGTTTAATGATGAAAAAAGAAAGAAAGGAAACCTTAAATTAAAATAGAAGTGTTCTTTCCATGCAAACATTTCCAATCCCAGGTGAAAGTTTGCTATCTTAAAGATGAATATATGCTATTAGCATTTATGTATTTATATTTCTTTAGATATTTTTTTAGGATAAAAAACTTAATTTTATGCAGAGAAAATCCACTGAAATAAATTAATTGCAAAAGTATAGCGTGACTTCTAGTAACATACTGTTACAGTCTTGTCAGCAAAGCAGCAGTTTGCTATTGCTTCTTGGCATTTTTTTTTATTGCTTCCCAGCTTAGCTTGTAACTCTCATACTCTTTGGTGATCCTTCATTTAAGTCTAAGTATTAAGCAGGCTGTGTTCTTAATTTCCAAAGTCAAACAAGAAGGTTAGTTGCTGCTACTTACTAAGACAATCTATCCATAACTAGCATCAGCTTTTTATTTCTTTATTTCTGCTTTAAATATATAATTAAGTTTGGGTTTCATTCATCATTATTTAAAATATCTGGATAATTTTTTGGGAGTGTTTATCTGCAGCAATTAGCAATAGCACTTAGGCTTATATACTGCTTCACAGTGCTTTATAACCCTCTCTAAGTGGTTAACAATGTCAGCATATTGTCCCCAGCAATCTGGGTCCTCATTTTACCAATCTCGGAAAGATGGAACACTGGGTCAACCTTGAGCCAATGAAGATCAAACTCCTGGCAGTCAGCAGACTTAGCCCTCAATACTGCATTCTAACCATTGTACTACCATGGCTCCTTAATTCATCAAATGATTGATTGCTTTCCTAGTTTTATGTTTACTACACATGTCCCTGGGTATTTAATCAAAATCCCAATTTTAATGCCGTTCCTTGGTTTGTGTCTCCAGTTGCGTGGAAGGAAGAGTTAATGAGATACATGTATTGGCCTACATGTTTACACACTACGTAGTTCAGCATTTTTGACAATTCAAATATGGGTAATAACTGGTACTTACTATTGAATCTGATATATGGCCTTCTTAATGGTTACAAAATGAAATCAAAATTAAATTCTCTATCAAAATTATGTCAATATCATTAAAATATTATTTTAAAATAATTCTATTTATAAACATTTTGTATTTTTATTGATTGTGCTTGAGACTACATTGCCTTTTTGCCAGTCTAATCTTCTATTGTACTCAAATTTTGGATAGTTATTGTATAATGTAGCATATTAAAGTAGTGTTTTTGTTAACAGGTTAACAGAAGCTCCAGTTCATCACAATCCCTACAGTAAAATATATACAAGGAATATTGAAGGATCAAAACAAAAAAATAAATCCAGTGATTTCTTCCCAGATAATAATTCAAAAACAGATCCTAAAAATAAACAGGACACTCCTAGAGATGTATCTCATAACAGTCCATCTTGGGATACAGGAAATAAGAAAGTTCATTTGGAAAAAAAAGATACTTCTTATATATCTCAATCTCATCCTGAGCAGTTTCACAAAGATGGCGTTCCAACAAAGCTGTCAAAACTTGATAGCTCCTGTGATAAAGAAAAGGAGAAAAGAGAGATAAAAAATAACGAACATAGTAAGGATAATGATTGCAGACACAAAACAAAAACACAGAGAAATGTTGGAAGTGTTGTGGATTGCAAATTGGATACTCCTGGAAAGTCACAAGTTAACCCAGAAAAACTAGTCAGAAATGAAGAGTGGAATGATAGAAAGGATTTAAAGATCAAAAGCAGTTGGTGTACAGGAATCAAAACTGATAATATCTCTTCTACTAAGGAAAAACAATCAGTTCCTAAGAATAAATTAACGCTTAAAACTGAACACATTAATGAAGATAGGCTTGAAAAATTACAAATCATAAACCAGAAGGACTTAAAAAAAGAGAACAAAGAGGAAAGCAGTAGTAGACAAAAAAACAGACAACCTGATAAATATGTAGAACAACAAAGAGCTGGTAAAACTAATACCCCTGAAAATAATACACTTGTCAGAAATCTTAAAGAATTCAGTAAAGCTTATCTAGAAGACAAGAGAAAACATAATGATTGTAGGAAAACTAAAGGAATAGATGATCCTGGGCTCCAAGGTGGGAAATCATCACTGCCACACAGTTCTAATAGAGAGCGAAAACTTAGTAACTCAAACAAAGATACCAGGAAATGTGAACCTGAATGCACCCATTTCAAATCAGACAAATATCGAACGGAAGCAAAAAGGAAAAGTGGAAGAGACAAACATAGAGAAAGCAGAAATTCTCAAACTGAAAGACGAAGTTCAAAAGAAACTCCCCCAAAGACAGTAAAGGAACACATTAAACTAAAAGACAATGCAAAGCGAGAGAAAAAGAAACCTTTTCCACCAAAAGAAATTGCCATGTTAGTTGAGGCTGCAGATGAGCCTGTGCCCATTAAGGTGGAAAGGCACGAAGAGCAATCAAAAAGCAAAGACTTAAAATTGAGCTTCATGCAGAAGCTAAATTTAACTCTCTCTCCCGCTAAGAAACAAACAGACAAATCCAAAATAGTAGCACAGGCTACTAACGAAGGTGAGATGGAATTTCCAAGTCAGGAAATAATGTTAGTCCCAAAAGAACCAATTAATACCACTAGCGAGGCAGAAATGCCATTGGGACCATGCCATAATGGTCCCCTTCAAACTAAATCAGAAAAAACTATATCTGTTTCTGAGATTAAAGCAAATATGCAGAACAAGACTCCAGTAGAAATTTTGGATAGTAAGCCATGTAAAGCATTTCCACAAAATGCGACACTACAGCATGAAATTGTTGGTAATGAGAAATTCCTTCCACTGACTGAGACTGAGATGCAAGATTCTGAGGAAGTGTATGTGACACCTAGCCCCGCAAATCCCATGGATCCAGAGATACTGTTAAATCATTCTTTCCATGACCTGGAGACTGGGAGTTCTGTAGATTCTGATACATTTAGAGTAATAGATGAAGTTAATGGGACTGATTCAGACTCCTCCATGGCAAAAGAAGAATCCAGTAATTGTGCAGATAAAAATATCGTGGAGTACTCTGAAAATGAAAGTCTACCTCTTCCCAAGACTAGTACAGAAGATGATAAAATACTGTGTGTAAATAGTTCAATAACTGACCCCAAAGCTGCAGATTTGAATCCAAGCTCTCCCAAGCATGGAAGCCAAATGGAATCATTATGCAATAAAGGATTAAATGCTGTGTCTCAGACAGACTCAAATCCAATTTCAGTTGATGATGATAACTCAATACTGAGCATTGATCTAAATCACATGAGGTACATTCCAATAGCAATCAGCCCTCTTAACAGTCCAATACGACCCTTGGGTAAAATCTTCAGAATGGAAACCTCTTTCAAAGTGACAAATTATAACACAGGTATATTTATTATATTTTTGTTGTATTGTTACAAAAGTGTCCTTTTCTGGCTGGATTGTATGCTTTTGGAGGAAATATCTTTATGCCAAAAACAAAAAAGTTCATAGTAGATTACAAGGTACAGTAGAACCTCTGGTCATGACCGTAATTCGTTCAGTAATTTCGGTTGCAACCCGATTTGGTCATGACCGGAAACGAGACTGACTGAGCATGCGCTTACCAAAAAATGGCATGGAAGGGGAAATTGGCCATGGCCGTGTTTGATACTCGATTTTTGAATTGTGACCAGATTCAAAAATGTGAATTTTTTGGTCGGAACCCAATTTGGTCATAGTCAGAAGTGTTCATGACCAGAGGTTCTACTGTACAGCAGTAGCAAACTCATTGTTCCTTTTCTTTACTTCCAGCTGGTTGGAAGTTTGGACATGGGCCATGAGTTTGAGTATTGTACTTCTTACTGTTTAATGTAATAATTCCTCATCCAGTCAAATCGCAGTTTATCCCAGACCTGCATAATATAATTTGGTCAAGCCTCCAATAGGTTACCAGTTATAGTTTTACTCTGATTTGCAATACTGATTTTATAGGATTTGTTCAAAATCTATTTTGGTGATCCAGATGTAAAATAACTGACATGTTTGTATTAAGCTGTGAAGCATGTAGGAGAAAGTCATCACAAGGATAAATAATCCGGTTTCCAACTTTTCAAAAGCTTGGTCGGGAAATTAGAATAATTATTAATCATTCTCATACATACATACATACATACATATATATATTGTACACTGACATTAGAAACATGGCTTTATTTTTAAGTCTTCAAAAGCTAATTACAGAGGTTTTTATAGATGCTTCTTATAAAAAAGCAGTTTAGCTGAAGTGGGGGAATGTTACATTGCCTTTAATATCTGTTCAATCACCTTGATCATAAATTATTCAGTTCATGTAACATTTTCCATTGAGACTTGATGGGGAGATGCTAGTTTCAAATGTTTTATCTCAGAAGCCTTGAAGGATGGCTATTAGCAAATACTGGATCTGAGAGTGAATAAATAGTGCACTAATTATAGGAACGTGTTGATCCTTAGCATATTATTTTAATTCTAAATCTGGTTTCCAGCAAAATTAAATTGCAGATACTTCAGTATAGTTGGAATCTGATTCCAAGTTAGATGGCAGCTATTGTTGTACATTCCTATACAGTAAGTTTATCATACAGTAGGACCTCTGGTCACGAACAGTTCTTACCATGACTAAATTGGGTTCCAGCCAAAACATTCGCAAAAAGTTTTTTTTTCCTCCGCAGCCGATTTCCTATTCTGTTGCCATTTTTTTTTGTAAGCACCAAATTTCCAAAATTAGGTTTGGGTCACAATTAAATCAGGTTGCAACCAAATTGTGGTCGTGACCAGAGGTTCTACTGTATTTGCTCAGGAGAGTTTATTTTCACCCAGCTCTTCCAAAAAACTAAGAATGCATCTGTAATCACCCTTGAAGTTTGTCATCCTAACAATTCTGTAAAATAGATGCAGCAAAGTGAAAATGTGTCTAGGAAAGTTACGCATTCAGCTTTATGGCTGAGTAGGAATTTGTACAGTATATGAATATTTTTGATAATCTATTATATTAATCATACCACATGTATCGTGAAAGCTGCCTCTTTAAAATGTAAAACACAAAATTATTAGCAATTATAAGTGAAAATATTTAGTGGTGAAATAAACAGTAATTGAATGGTATTGTAAAAGAAGTTTGCTTTGACATTTCCTTTTTAGAAATGATATTTGCTTTTTAGAGTGATATTTTTCACTTACTAATTATTTTGTTGATTGTAGATTTTGCACCAGATAGTGCAGTGGATTATCTGGGGATCAACCATTCAAGTGAACTCAACAAAGAAAATCAAAAGCCACTTTGCAGTGATCACAAAATTTTAGAAGAGTCTCAGCTAAACATATCTCCAGATGAATTAGAAGAAGGAGAAATTGTAAGTGATGCTGATAATGAACCCCAAATAGAAAAAAAATCTGAAAATAGTAAAAAGTTGAAAAGAAAAATGTCTCCTGAGAGGTCTAATACATCCAAGAACACATACAATTACAAAGTCAAATCTCTATCTCCCAATGAAGGTCCTGGAAAATTGGCTTCTGGGAAAAAAAGTAAAGAAAAGCCTAAAGATGGAACAATATTCTCAAAGGAAATGAAGAAAAATAAAATTTTGAGCATTGACTGTCTTGAAAAAATTGTTCAAATTACTGCTGAGCCTTCTACTTTACATGAGTTTATGCAGATGCTGAAAGCTGTAAGAAAACAAGTACGAAAAAACTATATGAAATTTAAGATACAGTTTCCAATACAGCAGTTTCATAAAATGATAGATTCATCAGTTCTGAATTTTACATCTTTAATAAAATATATTGACTTCTCTAAAATGTGCAAATCAAACGAGGCCATAAAGGTAAATCTCTGTGAAGTTATTGAATCTGAACTTAATCAGATTAAAAAAAATACTGAAATAGAATATCTATTTGAGAAACAACAATCAGATATGAAGAAAAAATTATGGAAGCTTGTGGATGAACAACTTGATTATCTATTTGATAAAATAAAAGAAATCCTTCTAAAGTTGTGCAATTTAATAAGTTTAGGAACTGAGAATGATGATGGTAAACGTAAAAGAAAGAAAGGAAGCTCAAAATGCCTTGACAATAAATTTGTTAGACAGAAATCAAAGAAACCAAACTTAAGTGCTAAAGTGAAACGGTCTGAAAATCATGTCCTTCCAAAACCAGTAGTAGGTCGTCAACTGTCTAAGACAGATCACCAGGAAATAAATAAATTAGCTCGCCACAAAAATACAGTTACAAATTATAAACAGTCCCATACAGATAGCACAAGACCATATCTCCCTGAAGTTGCACATTTTAAGCAGAATTCCACAGAGGATACTGCTTTGAAAACTGGAAAATATGAAAAGGAGGGATTGGATATGATTGGAGATCCTCACAAATCTGATATTAGCTGTGGACCTCTCACAGAACAACAAATGTCTGGGCTAACATTCAATTTAGTTAATGATGCTCAAATGGGTGAAATGTTCAAAAGTTTATTACAGGGCTCTGGTCTTTCAGAGAAGAACATTGATTTCATTGATGAGAATCAGTGGGAATTCAGAACACCAGAAAAGCAAATGCCAGAAGGTCAGAACGGTAGAAATAATCCTGAATATGAGACTGAAGAAACGTCAAGGGATATCCAGGTAGAATCGACAGTACTTGATGGTATTAAATGGCCTATAGTTTCACCTGAAAGAGATTCAACATTTTTAGCTAGATTACAAATGCCCATTGATCCAAATATTCTCGATGAAAACTGTATGTTTGAAATTCCGACTAGTCCTACCTTGAAGAAAGGGGAGGTATATGTTTTGGAAAAACAAAAATCTCTGGTTTCTTCTATTCTTTTGGAAGACCTAGCAGTATCATTGACTATTCCCTCTCCTTTGAAGTCAGATGCTCATCTTAGTTTCTTGAAACCTGATGTATTGGGATCAGTTCCTGAAGATGTTCTAAATGCACACTTCAGTGAAGATGCTCATCTAGAAGAGGAGGATGCTTCTGAGCAAGACATCCACTTGGCTTTGGAATCTGATAATTCAAGCAGTAAATCAAGCTGTTCCTCATGGGCAAATATCCCTGTTACTCCTGGATTTCAGTATTGTCCAAGCCTTCCAATGCAAGCAGTAATAATGGAAAAATCAAATGATCACTTCATTGTTAAAATAAGGCGTGCTACACCATCTATGTCACCCACTGATCAAACAGCCATACCAGATGAACCATTAATCTCTATTATTGACAAAGGGAAAAATGAAATTATATATGAAGAAAATTTTGCTACTTTAACTTCCCAAAGTATCCCTTCAGGAGAGAGAGAAATATCTAAAGAAATTATAAATACTACTGACTCTGGAAAAAAAATGGATAACCATATTATGAAAAAGCAGATTTCTCACTCATTGGAGCCTTTGAAAGAGACGTCTGTCTGTCTAGCGATTGATTCAGTTCCTGGTCTTTTTGAACCTCAACAAGACCTCCACCCTGATACTCCTGGTGATGTTATTAATACCATAGAGTCCCTGCTTCATAAAAACAGACAAGAGCAATCTTGTGACATCAGTCTTGAAGTTCAGAGGCCATTTTGTAATACAAGCCAAACTCAAAACCCTCATTTAGTTGTTTCAAATCGAGCATCGCCTAATGATGCTGCCTCAGAAAAGCCGCCTGACTTGCAAGACTCTCCTGAAGAACTAAGGATATCTAAAGTGCCTTTGGAAGAATCCTCAAATAAAATAAATCAAAATGCAGGTGCATCTGAAGTTTTTAAGCTTCCTCAGACAATCCCCATGAAAGCGTTCCAAGAAAAAGATGTACCTTCTGCAAAAATAAAAGATTTCCCAATAAGGTCAATAGTAAATCCCCCTGTGGAACAGCTACCATCTCAAAATCATTTTGATACACATATTGACTTGACTGATGTGATTCCTATGGAAAATAAACTGAATTCAACAGATCCCATAGAACAGTCTGGTTTAAATTATAGAGTGAGAAGTATATGTAAAGATCAAGAGAAACCTAAAGCAGATAGTCACTGTGAAGTAGCTGATATATCAAAGACTGAAGTTGAAGAAAATGTAAATTGGCCAGACATGTCTACAGGAGATAGCAGTTTTGAAAAAAATACTACCTTTAATATTGATGGTCAAAAATGTCCAATTAAACTTAGCAAAGAAAGCAAAAAAAGGAAAAAGGAAACAGAAGAAGCCTCTAGTGCAAAAAAGCAACGAAAGGAAAATAATGAATTGGATTTTAAAAAAACAGGCAAAAATAGCAAAAACACTAAAGAGAGAACTTCTGTAGCTTCAAGTTTATCTAATACAAAGCCAGCATCAACTAGAGACAAAGATCTATTATCCTCAACATCATCTATGTCACCATCAAATCTTTGTGCCAAAAATATCATTAAGAAGAAAGGCGAAGTTGTTATTTCTTGGACAAGGTAAGAATACTGAAAATGGGCTAGAGTTTTGAATACATTAAAAATGCAATAGATTGAGATTATGCTTTGTTTTCTAACACACCACATCATGGGCATTAGAGCTGCTTACTTCTAATTAAAGGATTTTGGAACGCTGCATAAGAATGTAGCCCTGTTGTATATCTCATTAAACATTATGGCATTTCTTGTTAGTGCCTCACTAACATTAGCCGCAAGCTCAACTTCTTTAATCTTTGTTCTGGCAGAGGTAGAGTAAGTGTGCAGTCTTCCATGACTTGCTATAAAAATTATAGCATAAGCTGAGAGGAGAATTTAGAAGCCACTCTGAGCAGATGGTACAAAATTGTTCCCTCATCTGAATAATAGGGTTCTGTAGTTTGTGTCTTGCATTGTGTGTATCTATAATAGCTAGTTTTTGTCTGGAAATGTCAGTAATTGAGCATGGTAAAACAAGTCATTATCAAAGGATTTTGCAACATTTATGGTTCCTGCTTCAAAATACATTCTTGAATCAAGCCACAATGAAAATGAATGTGAAGGTTGTTGTTTTTAAACCATCCAAATGAATAAATGAAAAAGCCTTTGTCCAACAAAAGTTAAAAACGGGTAAACCAAAGCATGGATCTTTGAGCTGAGGACTTTGTGAATCTTTTGGTCCCAGCCATTAGTTCTACATCTGAAAAGGCAAAGGCATTCCAAGAAAGGATTCCGCAAAATTAATTTAAATGTATGAGGAAATAAACAGTCTTAATCATGCATGACTTTCCCAGAAGGTGAGCTGTTAGAGATAGTCCTTGATTTACGACCATAATTGAGCCCACAGTTTCAGTCATAAGCTGTAATGGTCATGAAGTGGCCAGGATCAATTTTATGACATTTTTTTCAGTCATGGCATTGTGAAGCAAATACACCATAGTTGTGACATGAACACATTGTTCACTATGTGGTGGTTTTTGTTGGAAATTGGAAGCAAATGCCAGTTTCCAGCAAAAACATCACAAAATGGCAGGCACAAGACCCATAAATGTGGGGCAGTTGCACAAGTGCCCAGAATGTGGTCAGGTGTCCGTGGGGTGTTTTTTGTGGAGGGATGGCAGATGTCAGAACTTCAAAATCAGACCACCAGTCACATTTTGGGGTCCATCATAACTTTGAACAATTGCTAAGTGATTGGTCATAAATCAAGGATCAAGTATATCTGTGATTGCTTTCTTAAACAGATCCTACAAATTATTGTTCTATAAATGGGTGGTAGAAACTTCTGACAGTTCTCTTGATTGCAAAAGAAGTTATCAGTGATCACTTTAAGAATTGAAGTATTTTACCTATGTAGCCTGGACATTGTTGGATAGTAAATGGAAAATACTTGAAGAGAGAAAGTGAAACAGAATGGGCACAGGGACATTAGTGAAATAAAGGAACAAAAAATGATTGCTTGGGTATTATTTGTTTATTAAGTACATTTATATAGCCACCCAATTCATATACAGTGACTCTTGGTAGCATAAGACAGATATAGAATAATAACATAATAGATAATCTGTAGAGATGTATTTTGTAAATATTGTGATTGAAAATGTTTTCCTCTTGGTTACAGCTTTTCTATTGTGTATACGATTAACTCAGATGTTCCTGAGATTCAAATCAGCTAGCCAATTTCTGCTGAGAGACCATTTTCTTAACTCTTTGCTAAACTTATTTCTGAATATGATTTTCCATAAATATCTAATCCTTTTAAATTAAGAAACTTGAATTCATAAGCACTCATTTCACTTTATTAATTTAATGTAATACAGTAACACCATTCATCATGATGATCACTGTTCTCAGTAGTTTGAGAATACATTATCTCATGAAAGGACCAAATTTTCTTTTCACAACCAGTTTTTTTATCTCTTGTTTTTATTTTAAATCCTTAACATGGATGAAATAATAGTAATTGATTTATTGTCAAATAAGTAGAAGATATTCGGTGACTAAAAATTCACTTTGTATGTTTGTTATAGAAATGATGATAGGGTGATCCTTTTGGAATGTCAGAAAAATGGACCTTCAGAAAAAACTTACACTTTTGTTGCTGAGCAGTTAAAGAAAACTCCAGCTCAGGTACGTCTTTGGATAAGAATCTGTATTTAGTTGGTTTCATGCTCCATTTGTGTATTTCCCTCAATGAATAGTGTATGCCATATTCACCTAAAAGAAATTTTTTTCAAAAATTAAGATAAATTCTACCCCACTCCAAAGATTAGTCAGAAAAGCGGTTATAAACACAGGCAAAAATTCTGCATACTGTTCAACTTCTCTAATTCAGCAATAGAACTACCAACTTCAGTTTAAACAAAAGTTAGTGCTGTGCCAGATATAGTTCTGTGAAGCTAACTTATTTCAGTTAGGATACTGGAAATTGGGGAAGAGATCCTTGAAGAACAGCTATAATTTCTGTTCACAAAGAAAAAAGAAAGAAAGAAAGAAAATAGTATTTATTCTAGTCTTCAAAACAAATGGAAATACGCAGTATTTGGGGCTGTGCTTGACTTCTTAGTGGGACTATGTTATGTAATAATGGCTTAGTTAATAGGATGAATGGCTGATGGAAGTTGGCTCTGAATGTTGTGGGTCTCCATTTGAACAGTTCTCACTCTTCACTCAAGGAGAATGAATAAATTACAGAAACATGGGAGTTTTTAATCACAATTTTCTTTCTCCATAACAAAATAAAATCCTGCTAAAGCAAGAACCAGTAAGGACATATAAATAACCTAGAAATCTTCGATGAGGCAAGTAGACATTTCTGAGTCTGGTGGCATTTTTTTTCTAATTTTCCCTAATAAACAGAATTCTTATAACTACCTGGTTGCATGTCCATACAAATGTGGGGGAGGGGGAATGGCTTGAGATACTCATGAATCCCCCGGGAAGAAAACCTACTGTATAAATTGTTTTAAAATTTCAATTTTATGTTTTCTCTCCATAGGTTGAAGAAAGATTCAAGCAGTTAGTGAAGCTATTCAAGATGTCAACTGGCAGTTAATAGCTACTACAAATGAAGGAATCTATGCACATCTTTGCCCTGTGTGCATGTGAGAAAAGAGTGCTTGCTTTCCAAGTCCAAATAGCAATTTGTTCCATATCTTTTTTACTCATAATTTAAATGTTTCATTTATTCTCATAGATCTAATGGGAAGACCCTGTTTTTTATTCCGTTAGTAACTGGTACTTGTTAAATGCAGCAAACGAATTGTAAAACTCTACTGCACATTTTGGAATACAGAGGAAAAATATAGTAGTATGAGCAGCTATAAATTTTCTATGACTTCTACCCACTGCAGGTGCCAAAGATCATTTGCAAAATATAGTACATAGAACAAGGTATTTTATTGCTTCTTCTTCCTCTGTGTTGTACTCAGAACCCTTATTTTCATTAAAACTTTGGGTTAACACAAGACCAGTTCTTAACACATGAGTCATTGTTCTGAGTTGAACAATCTGACTATAGTTTGTTGATCAGAAATAAAAGGAGTGCGTTAGCACAAAATAAGTCTCCAATAATTATGAGAAAACTTAAGGAGCATTGAGCATATACTTTTCTTTTTTCCCTCTTTCATTAAGTGCGAATATGAATTTTAAAGTTTGGTATATTTTCCAAATCCTCATATATGGTTTGCTAGTTAGAATTTGTGAGGAAATAGTGTATATTGTTTATTTTACAAATAAAACACCAATATTAAGAGTTTCCTCTGCTAAAAGTGCTGTATTATTTTACAGACTAATATATCATTGTTTTTCATATCAAACTTTCACTTTTAAAGCAGATTTGCCACAAGTTAACAAAATATTATTTCTCGTTTAAATTATATCTATCTGCAAAAATACTAAGTATTTTTAATGGAGTGTGCAATTTGCAATTTAATTCCATACTTTAATTAAGAGCTTAATTAAGATTCAAATTCATGATAATCCAGTTAAATTGATCCTTGTTCCTGTCCTGATAAGACCTTATTTTGAAGGGCAAAGATTTTATTTCAGCGTGGAAATATATAAGAGGCAGCACCCACATAATACCTCATTTTTTCAAAAAATTGTCAATATTAAAATTTGTCAATTAAAACTAATTATATGCCATACTGGCTTGGGAGAGGGAGAGAGGAGAAGTATAAAGATGTGCATGTGTGTAAATTGTAAGTTTTATATGTTACTTTCCTGTAAATAATAGACTGTACAGAATTCTATATTGTGTAAAATATTGTGTTCAAATACAATTTACCTGTAAATTTTTGATTAAACAGAACAAATTTTATTTTGTATATTTTAAATACTGCATTCTGTAATATGAATCTCAATTCTTGTAAAATGAATGTGTTTAATGTTAATTAAACGTTGGTCTGGAGTTTTTTAAAATATACCTACTTTGTCATCTTTTTGAATTGCTTATGATTAGCTAGCAGATAATAATTTGCTTTCCTGGTAGCAAACAATCTTGATACTAAAAGTGCAAGGCTCAATACTTCAAATATATTCCAGTGAAGTTGTGGAGGTTAGTACATCAAAATATCCTGATTTAACAAGGGATCTCCTTCAAGATTGCCTTCTCTTCTTGGACTTTCTCCAATGACTTTTGCCTTTATATTTAATATTTACATGTGCTATTATTACTGGATTTTATTGATATTGGTGATTACCTAAAATTTAAATGTATTAACACAGTACAGTACAGATAGCAATTAGATTTATTGATATTGAACTATCATCCTATATTGAACTATTCATTCTTGTAGTCCAAAATAGTCTTAATAATTGCATCCAGCCTCCCGGTTCAGATGCATTAATTTGTCTTCATTTCAATTTTTCCAAAGTTCCAATTTTCACAGCTGTCTGTTATAAGTGGAAAACCATAGTGTTGACAGTTGTAGGAGAACTTTTGAGTTCATATAAACCAGAGATCAGCACAAATAGTTTTTTGAAGTGCAAATAGTTTATTGATTGGTTCTAGAGGTAAAGACAAGCCAACAGAGGGGAGGGGATAAACTCCCTCTTTGTAGACTGACACAAATTATGATGTACATTTAATTAGTGTGGCAAACAATTTGATTAAGTTTAAAACTTAAGTCAGGATAATGGGGTGAATGCAATGCCTTACTTGTGCTAACAAAGGCGATCTTTGAATATGTTTTGTTGAAATTTCCCTGAGTGTCCTTGCTTCTCAGCACTGCTACTTCCTGAATCAGCATTTCTTGTGTCTGAGTTTTATTGCTGAACAAGGACTCTAATTCCCTTTGGACAAGGGCATGTTAAGAGGGTATGAGTACCTTTGAAGCTGTATGTTATTTGCTTGCCCTACTATCATTTTCTCCTTTAAATTAGTGTTCTTCGTGTCAAATTCTTGTATAGCTTAGCACTTTAGTTCCACTGAAAGATATAGTTTTAAGTTTGATCCCCAAATTCTACTTCACAATACATTATCAATATCCATCCGTCCAACTTTATCTGTCCAGGGCATACTAAAAATCATTATAGACCAATAATTTACTCTTATCATATCAGTGCCTACCAAAGAAAGATGAAGGTAGGTTTCCAAGATGAATGATTGTTCTAATGAGTTGCAGAAAACCTAACTGTTGATATATTAACTATAGGAAGGGTTGATATATTAGGCTGTGGTGTATTACCTACTAAACAGCATTATTTAACATGACGGGCATATGAACGTAATTATTGCTTGTTTAGCCAATTCTTTTTTTCCTCACGCATCAGCTTAATTCAATAAAAAAGGAGACTTAAATGTGAAATTCCTAAAGTAAAATTTATCAACAATTTGTTTAGGGTTTAATTATAACTGGCTTTCTTTCTAGCTCAGTGGTTCTTCAACTGTTTGACCCAATTACCCTTTTCTCCAGTCTTGTATGGGGTTAACTCAATTAAAAACCCCACAAGTGCTTGCTAGCAGCAATCCCAAACTGGATCCTTAACTCACAAAATAATTTATTACCAATTACCCATTGCCTCCAGGATATACCAAAACATCCCCTTGTTTAAGAATTACTCTTCTCTCTCATGGTTTAGAAGATAGTGCTACTGTACATGGATGACCATTTTGTACACATACTTGGGCTTTCCTAGCAAATGTCTTCAAATTATATCCAGAGGCAGAAATAAAGAAACGGCAAAAGAAAAGATGTAGAAACTCCAAGTAATTTTGAAGAAAAGCAAACCATACTTTAATGGTAGCAAGACACGGCAATCTATGATAACTCCCAAGGCAACTTCTGATGAATTGAAGAGAAAACCAGGTACTTTAGCTGATAGCAGCTAACTGCCAAAGGTAGTGCATTTCTTTAGCCCCGTTTCTATTTAGTGCAAACACAAAGTTCCACACTGAAAGATGATCTTAACTTCCTTTTCTTCCCCACCGTCTGTATTGCTGCTGCTATATATTCCTAAGGACTGTCCACTGACAAACCATACTATTAACACTTTAGGTAACAATGAATAGGTTAATCTTCCAAGCATCAGACAGGTTTTAGTTTCCATTATCATAAAGGCTTTCTTTGGGAACAGGTAATTGGGTGGTTCGTGTTAGTAAAGTTTGGTTTTATGATTGGTTTTATTGACTTTCTAGCTGGTTATGATCTCTGTTTATAATTTACTGGTTTGTTATGTGCCCAGTTGATGAAGAAATTGGATGGCCTCAAAATTAGTAAATAATTACCCTCCACGGGCAAGGTGATATTATGAATATCAGTTTTGGTCTTCAGCCTACTTATATGTAATAATCCCATGGAAGTCAGCAGGGACCTTCTCAGAAGCAAGCTTTTACATAATTATAGCTTGATTATCCCTTTTCTGTGTGATTTCTTAATCCCTATTTTATAGCAGGTCCTCAAAATATTCTCATTGTTGCAGACAGGCTTAAAGCAAATGAAGGGTTAATGGGATTCTATAACCATCACAAGGCCCCACTGAAAAGTACCTCAGGCTATAGTTAACACAAACAATTCCCTAAACTGAAGATTTTAATATGCTTCCTATCTGCTTCTTACTCAGCAGCTAAACAATTAACACTGTTGGCTTTGAAGCTCCTGTTCTTCTCTTTTAATTGCTATCTTTCCAAGCAGCCCAGAAAAGGGAATATAATTTATACTTGTTTATTCCTTTTTGTGAATGTTGTGTCCATCCCTTGAAGTAGGTAAGGGTCTTGAGTAACCAAAGCCAATGAAAAATATGGGAAATTCGATTTCTCCTTTCAAAACTTGTTCTAGTCTGAGCTGCTGTTTCATGTATTTTTCTACCCAAGAATTTTAATCTGACCCATCTATGCTGATGTGTAATAGACTATGAAATCGGGCATGACCGATTGATCTCTGAGCATTGATTACCACGAAAACGAACAGACTGTAAAGAAAACATCCAGAGCTGTGAAAGGAGACTATTCATTTCACATTACAAAATGAATTGCTTTACTTAGCATTTTGGCAAGAAGAACTAATGAAATCCTAATGAAATAAGCAGTCGCATTGCAAGGCAATGAGGTGGACAGGAAGGCTGGGAAGATAACTTGGTTGGTCTCCATTGCATGATCATTCCAACTAGTGGCTCTGACCTATCTGTCAGCTCATCAAATTGTTCGTATTCTTTGGACTTACTGATCCCAGCAGCAAACGAATTATGATTTACAATCATTACGTCAGTTGTAAAAATAGATGTAAGTTGTTCAGAGGAAGATGAAGCAATTAACAGCGCTGGAAAGCATGTGGTAATTTCAAGGAACAAGTTTGATGTATTCCAAGAGATCATGAGCATGGTAAGCAGAATAATATCTGAAGTTATTTTAAATGTACAAAGAGGAAAATGTTCTTATTTACAAGTTCAGTCGTTAGCATGAGTCCTGCATTCTGATATAAATTGCTCACAGTTTAGTCATATTTTCAGTCTGTCCATTGTTCAAATCTATAAAGGCACTTTGAATAATATAGGTTCTAAAGCAGTGGAAACAATACCATGAAAATAGTTATTACACAGATATTAGGGTAAATTTTAATAATTTTAAAACATTACTCCTGATGGCATTTTTTCCCAAAAAGGGGGGAAAAAACCCTCTCTTACCCTTCCTAAATTTTCTATCAAGGTAAACTGGGAAGTTGGAAAATATTCTGGAAGATGGCAGTGGCACACCACTTCTGTAGTGTTGCCAAGAAAACTGTACTAATGTCCATGAGAAGCAATCAATTCTGATTTGAGATCATTCTTCATTGGTTGTGCTGGTAATTGCAGCCTTGGACAGAAATCAAGGAAAAGGTAAGAAAACTTATATGTGTATCTTTGTCTGTGTCTGTGTGGTTATACACGTATCCTTATAAAAATAAATGTCTTTTTGCAGGGCAGTCTGTTCCCATCACAAGGGGATTCTCTTCACACACCATGTTGTCAGCTTGTGGAGTTAACTGCCGCAAAATGATTTGATAGTAACTGAAATGAAACCAGATACAAATACAAATACATCAGAATCTAACCATTGTGACAGGTAATAGAACATGCTGCAATGGAGAGGCGATAATTTTCAGAAATAGGGCTATGTACAAATTTAAATTAAATTATTAAATTTTTTATGCTTTCTTTGTGAGCCTTCGAGAAAAAAATGAAAAGGAATACAAAGTTATGGTTTTAATAGGACTCTTAACAGATTTCTAGATGGATGTGTGGAAGTATTCCTCAGTAATTGTGATTAAATATGTTACATTTTTAAACTATTAGACAGGATACTTGCTTTTTTTTTTTTTTACAGAGTTAGAAACAGGATCTTGTCCAATTTTTCCTTTTTAAATATTTTTGCAAGGAATTTTTTTTGTTCACCAAAGCCACTGGTTTTCATAGAATTCCATAGAAGTTATAGAGTAGGACATGTTCTGAAATACAGATTTTTAGTGATTGGCCACACCCTCAGGGCAATCATGTTTTCAGTGTGATTATTCAGAAGTTGCTCAACCAACATGCAAAAGTTGCATTGAACTAAGGAAAAACTTGCCCTATTTAGATGTTTTCTCGAGTTATTTATCGTGGCCCGGCTCAAGCTCCAATTATCTGACCATCTTCTTGATAGCAGTTCTTCCTCCTGACTTTTAACGCCATTCCGTATGTCCTCTACACTGCTTTAGGTGATGCTTCCTTTTTATAACAGTGGGTCCCTATTGTTTGCTCACTTATTTTAATCCATGTCAAGTCAATGAAACAGAATTGCAGGCAATTTAAATTGGTACTTACACAAAGATATAAATGACTCTTTTAGTGACGCACTGCTGTTTTATTTTAGAGGGATGATCTCATAACTATGGGGGACTGGAATTTGCTGGGCAGTATCTTAGAGGAAGTTCATCTCCATTCCACCATAGTGGGCAAAATCTGGCTCACCATGCTTTTCATCTTTCGCATGTTGGTTCTCGGTGTGGCTGCTGAAGAAGTCTGGGACGATGAGCAAGAGGAGTTTGTTTGCAACACCGAGCAGCCGGGTTGCAACAACATCTGCTATGATAGAGCTTTCCCCATCTCCCTGATCCGCTACTGGGTGCTCCAGGTCATCTTTGTCTCATCCCCTTCTCTTGTTTATATGGGCCACGCCATTTATAGACTGCAAGTCCTTGAGAAAGAGAGGCAGCAGAAGAAAGCCCACCTTAAAGAGCAGCTCAAAGAGATTGAACCCATTATAGAGAATCACCGGAGAATAGAGAGGCAGCTGAAGAAGCTGGAAGAACAAAAGAAAGCAAGCAAGCCTCCCTTGCAAGGGGCTTTGCTATGGACCTATATCTTTCATATCGTGACCCGATCAGCCATAGAAGTGGGCTTCATGGTGGGCCAGTATCTTTTGTATGGGTTTCAAATGAATCCACTGTATAAGTGCACCCTTCCACCTTGCCCTAACACTGTGGATTGCTTTGTGTCCAGACCAACCGAAAAAACCATTTTCATGGTCTTCATGAATAGCATTGCAGCTGTTTCCCTCCTTTTGAATATCTTGGAGATCGTTTATTTGGGGGTCAAGAAGATTAGAAACACCCTTTGCAGGAAGTCCAAGAAGAAGCTAATGACCGCAGAGGAGGAGGCTATCTTTAATTTCCCCAAGAAACATTCAATGATGCAGCAGATTTGCAACATGAGTGATTCATCCCACCGGGATAGTTACAAATATAGGTCAGAGGAGCAAGGGAGGCTACCCGTCTCCTTGAATCTTGAAGAAGGATATGTACTTACTGAACAAAACCAGCAACAGGGCAATGGGGAGCAACAGTGGCGCAGAAATTGCAGAAGCTGGCCCAATCAGTATCCAGATAGACTGCATCCTTCTTATGGTCATCTGGGATACCCCAATGGGAATGGAGAACCTCAACACAGGCTGTTCCCCAGGCATACAAACTACATAAGTCAATGCCATAATGATGAGCATCTGATTGCGCCCTGCAGCACCGACAACATCCCAATGGAAGCAGGGCAGGCTGTCGATCTCTACAGAAAGAATGAATCCAATGCTTCAGATGAGTCCAAGAACCTTCCACACGCTTCTAAAATTTCCATAGTATCCAACCCCAGGGAGAGCCCTCAAGCAACATTTCGGAAGTATAGCTGGGAACTTAGCAGCAAGGACTTAGGAGATGATAATGGCAGCCCTCCAAACACCATGCCTTACCAGAACCACAACTCCAGCCTTTTACCCAGAATGCTGTCAAAGAGTCAGCTGGATATCGACTCAGTTACCTCAGACTCACAGAATGGTTCGGTCTTGGAAGCTAAATGGCAAGATGACAGCAGCCCTCCTGTCACACCCTCATTTCCTTCCACAAGGGGACACAGAATGGCAAGTAAACCCAAGCAATCTTTCTGCTACACTGCTATATTCTGCTATAGTGTGAATTATTGCTCTTTAGTATCCTTTTAGCCTAGGCCTCGGGCTTAGGGGTTTGTCTGTAAAAACATTCAAACATGAGAGGTGGAAAGGTTCTTTCAGATCAAGGCAAATGTTTGAAAAATGTAATTGTTTCAGTAAAACGGCATTATTTATATAATACTGAATAAAATCCGCTGAGTGTTATTTGAAAAAATGGGTGGCGGAGAGAAGGCAAGAATAATTTATTTTTTAAAATATTATGACAGTTAAGTTGTTGGACGAACCTCTGAAATGTAGGGTTTCTGTAATGTCCACATTGTGTCTTAAAAGGTATATAATAATTTAATTTAAATACTTTTTAAAGGATCTTTTCTAATGGAATTTTATTACAAGTTTGAAATAGGCATAAACTATATCAAAAAAAAAGTGGCAAGTTTGTTTGCACACATTTCTTGATAAGGCTTTTAAACAATTCATTGCACAAACCTTTATAAACTATATGCAGGTAAGAAGAATTAGTTTCTATTTTGCATTGCTGAAGAGATTTCAGCATGGGTACTTTTTAAACTCTTCTTAATTTAAATTTATATCTTTATTTTCTTCTAATCTGATATTTACTTAGTTTCATACAGTAGAACCTCAGGTGACGACCGTAATCCGTTCTGAGAATTCAGTCATCACCCGATTTGGTCCTCACCGGAAGCGCATGCGTGTAAAAAAAAAAAATGGCGCAGTGCGGAAGGGGAAATCGGTGCGGAGAAGCAAATTGCCATGGCTGTGTTTGGTCACCAACTGAGCACCCGTTCACGACCAGAGGTAAAAAATTTTGGTCGTCATCCGAATTGGTTGTGAACGGAAGCGTTTATTGAAGAATGTATACTTGGTTTCCCCATTCTGCCCAGACAACTTTTGTTGGAACTGAAAACTGTTCTTTCAAGATTATGGTTTAATTTGGATGGTGAGACTCAGAGCCCAAGTTTGTAATGATATTCAGGTTCTTGAGCAAATCATGTATATTTCACAGTTTGCTCGTCTGTTATATTCAGGTAGTCCTCAACTTATGACCACAATTGAGTCCAAAATTTCTGTTGCTAAGCAAGACAGTTAAGGAATTTTGTCTCATTTTACATCCTTTCTTGTCACGATTATAAAATGAATCACTGCAATTGTTTAGTTAGTAAAATAATCATTAAGTAAATCTGGCTTCCCTGTTGACTTTGCTTGTCAAGATTGCAAAAAGTGATCACATGATCCCAGGACACTGCAATCGTCATAAATATGAATCAGTTGTCAAGTGTCTGAATTTTGATCATGATGCTGCAAAAGACATAAATGTGAAAAATGATCATGTCACTTTTTCAGTGCCGTTGTAACTTTGAATGGTCACTAAATGAACTGTTTTAAGTCCAGGACTACCTGCATTTGTGATTTACTGAATGCCTGAGGCAACCATATTTTGATTGTGCATCTTCAATGCCTAAAGCTTGTTACCCCCTAGAGGAGAGTGGATGCAAGCAAAGACTTGTCTGAGTTCATCCCTATAGCAATGCACTCTGGTTTGGCTACATAGCTGAATTAGGCCTTAAAAACCAAGGAAAATAAGCCTTTCTAGACTATATGTGCTGTGTTTTGTTGGGAGTGGATTGTGAGGGGGCATTTCAACTGTTTAGTCTTTCCCAGAATAATAATATATAAATGCATCAAATGACATTAGCAAGCCAATTTGGGGCTGTGGGAGCAGAAAACATGATTCAGTCCTAGTTAAGGACTTCCCTTTTAATAACACATTGATTTTAGTGGGAGCAGCATATGCATTTACCTAATGCTCCCATTGAACTCAGCAGAGATGTGGAAGCATCTAGCTATGGATGAATTGTGGCCTTTTAAATCATCAGTCCACAGAAGCATGCTTAAGCTCTAGCTAGCTATTTTTTTTTATTCTGCCAGGAGCTATTTAAGATGCCCTCAATATAGAAGGCACTACTGATAATCCTCTATTTGTAACCATAATGGAGCCTGTCCATTATGGCCATAAGTCATGATGGTTGTAAAGCAGGTCATTCACCTGACTGACCCGATTTTATGACCCTTTTTGCAATGATTATTAAGAGAATGCCATACGGTTATTAAGCAAAAAATTGTTCAATTTGATCCAATTTTGCCGAAAACTGAAAGCAAATGGCGGTTAGAAAAAAACGTTATAAAATCCAGTCATGTGACTGTGGAGTGTAAAAGTGGCTGACTGCAAATGCCTAATTATGTGACTGTGAGGGGGCAGTCATAAAACTTGGAAATCAGGCCATTAAATACTCCCTGGAGCAATCTGTTGTAACTCTGCTCGCTAAGCAACCAGTCATAACTTGAGTACCTGTAATACCTTGATTAGTGTCCATTATTGAGAGTCACTTTTCATGAGTTGGGTGGCTAAATTTAATTAATTAATAAATAAATAAATACTAATAAGCAGAAGGTTCAGTTTGCTTTTGGGTTAGCTGAGCATGATAACAAGAATGCCAATTTGCTTTCGGGCCCTGTAGTTTATCAGCTCAATTTACTGGACTTATTTGATCAGCCAGTGAGCAAACTATTGACTAGCAATATTGCAACACTGCTTGGAGACTGGACCAGTGCAAAACTACTCAGAAATTCACTTTTATTTTTAACTATCATTATATTAGTAGTCTTTCATCCTTTCCACATAAATGCTAGAACTCAGGTTCATCCAAATAAATTCAGCTGATGTATGATTCAATATTGATGGAAGATTGTGTTATTTTAATAACTGTACTGTAACAGTTATACAGTACCGACAAGGTAGCAAACGGTCTTTAGCTAGCTTCCAAGGGGAAGAAATCCATCAACATTATGGATCAATTGTGACTCAGTGGTGTCCACCAGGGAACTGTCATACCCAGTTGGGTATGAGTCCTGATTGTTGGGAAGCAAAGAGCAGGAGAATGCCAATACCTGTGTCCGGACACTATGAGGAATGGGAAACTGAGCTAGAGTAAACTTGATTTGATCAAGAAGGTTGGTTCACCTTCTGAAGAAAAACAAAGAAAGTCCAGGTTTTTTCAAATGAGTAACTGACTAAAACAGGGGTGTCAAACTCGCGGCCCCCAGGCCAGATGCATCATGCACTGGCCATGCCCACCCCTGGTTTAGCGAAGGGGGGGTAAAGTCATGATATGTCACGTGATGACAACATGATGCTGCGACTTTGACACCCCTGGACTAAAATAAATCGATCAAAGCTATTTAGCTTTAATCCCCGATTGCACTGGAGTTTGTGTTTGTCCTAGAAGCTGACTCAACGTCTCCCTGTTTTCTCTTTCAGAATGTCCTCTTAGAGCTTTCTTCTGTCATGAAAAAGTAACACTAGTTTAACTGCAATGTAATGGAACAGCAAGAATCTCCCTCGTCATTAGCACACCATTGCCAATACGAAGCTGAATTATTTCCTTTTTCCCCGTCCGATCTGATGAGAAAGCAACTGAAGGCAGTTACTTAAGAATTCTACAACTTCTGTTTTCTGGGCAGTCCATGCTGGTAGCTGAGAGTGAACCATAACTGTCTCTTTCAAGTTGCACTGTCTTCTATTTTGCATAAGTAAGAGAAGCTTCAGTGGGCATAAAACAGCTTTTTTTTCCTCAGTGAAGACCATGGTGGGGGGATAGTTGATTTGTAGCACTGCCACCTTCTTATCCAGCTCAACATGCAACTTCAAGGCTCTGCTAAGATACAAAACTTCAATAAAAAAATGGGCGAAGGAAGAAGAGACTGCTTCCTTTCTTCCCCTCGCTGGACTTGATGAATAAAAAATAAAAGCTCCTCACTAGAACTTTCCACCACTACATTGCACGTCAACAAAGATGTTTTAATCCAACCTGGATATGTGCAGCTGTGTTTCTCTTCCCAGACCCTTCAATGTGCTAATCTTATATTTTTCAAAGGGCAGTGTTAGTATTATTTTGTTTCTTGGCAGTTTCCAAATGTATAAATAGATATGGGCTGAACAATTTTAATTTTTTAAAGAGGGAATGCTCCTACTTCAGAGGAGAGGGGTGTTGTTTACTCCACTTACAAGATTTCCAAAGGAACAATTTACATTTTTCCCCTACTTTGGTGGCTCCCAGTATAAGCACTTTCATAGCCTTTTTTTTTTTTGCTGCTGCTGCTGCTGCTGCTTCCTAGAGAATTGGGGGTTTCCATGCACATAGGGATTGTTCTGGGTTTTTCAACCCAGAGCTATTCCTGTCCCCAATAATATATGGGAAAACAAGGCAGGGGAGGTGGAGGGTAGACTTGCATTAAAAATAAATTATCAATAATGCACCACAAGGGAAGAAAACAGTTGCCTGGGGAGAGGGCTTCCTTATACAGTAAATAATAAAACTGCATTCCAGATGAACAGAATTAGACGAGAAAAATATGCAAAGATCTGTTACTGTGTATATATATATATATATACACAGAATTTTCAATAAGAACAGATATATATATATATATATATCCGTTCTTATTGAAAATTCTGAACATCACCAGCTAGAGGTAAACAGGAAGGCTGTTCTTAATAAGCTCAAATTACCTGAGGAGCATAACTTGGAAAGGGCCTCTATTGCAAGAAAGAAAATATTCATTACAAGCAGTCCTCGACTAACTGAGCCCAATTTGTTAAGTGACTGTTCCTCCATTTTATGACCTTTCTTGCCACATTTGTTAAGGGAATAGCTGCAGTTAATAAGTTAGTAACCCGGTTGTTAAGTGAATCTGGCTTCCCCATCGACTTTGCTTGTCAGAAGGTCACAAAAGAGGATCATGTGACCCTGGAACGCTGCAACAGTCCTAAATATGAACCGGTTGCCAAGCATCTGAACTTTGATCACATGACCATGGGGAGCCTGCAAAGGTCGTAACTGTGAAAAACGGTCCTAAGTCATTTTTTTCAGTGCCGTTGTAACTTTGAATGGTTACTAAATCAACTGTCGAGGGCTACCTGTATGAGCTAGCCTTTTCCTTTATCTTTCTGACTTTCTTTTGTATGCATCTCT